GCAAGTGGAGAGATGATGATTCCGAGGCAGAGAGTGATGATGAAGACGACCCTTGGAACTTGGAGAAGCTGCGTCGCGAGACTGAGGCTCTACGACAGAAGAAGGAAGAGGAGCGCCTCAAGGTTCTGCAAGATGAAGGATTGGTTCCAGTTGCGGTAGACAACACGCCAGAAGGAGCAGATGAGGACAACAGCGCTGGCGAGGCGGGTGAGAGTGGAGGCGATGTTACTGGAGAGGCTTCTTCGGCCGCACAGGCAGGCCAAGAAGTACCTGCTGCTTGAATGGCTGCGGAATAGCACTCAAAGCTGAGGCGATTCCAAGCTTCCCATCTCTGCGAATACTGCGTGAGGGAATTCCGAGCACCTGCTGGAGCCAGAAATGGTCAATGGTCTCCAGGAGGGCCGCGGTGATATGCTATTCGTAAAGAAAGCTTCTTGCCTTGGATATGTGGACGGCTGTGGCGGTGGCCGTACACTTTTACTTCATACCGCTACTTTACTTGCCTTGTATTAGACTGGCACCGCATCAGCTTCACATTAGAAATGATCTTGATGAGAAGGGACTCGAATGAGTAGGAAGAGAAAAAGGGAGAGATTAGTATTGCAACTGACAGTCCCCAAGACGGGAAAGCTCAAGACGCAAAACAAAGACAGGAAGAAGAGGTACAGCTGGAACCAGATACTAGTCACCCAAAGGGTAGATGAATACACTCTACAAGCGGTTTGATATTTACTTTATTGCAGACTATCAAAACAGAAATGAGAAAAAAAGAGAAGAAGAAAAAGGTGAAGGATGCGGCTATGTCACTTCTTGATGTCTTGTTAGGCATCCTAAAGCGGAAGAGCAGTACGGCTGCATTAATATTTGCATATCTGATTCGTAGAGCGTTTCTGCTTTGGGCTGTGCACTCGCTGCTCGTGTGGAAGGACTGCCTTGAGTTGCGCATAACTGGCCCTCCTAGGCCTTAAAACCGGCAATAGCATCTCACATATGACGCAGCAACTCAAATAATTACCCGTGCAGACGCAGATGAAAAGTGACACCTGCGGTATTTTCATTCGACGCAGCCCATGTCCGCTGCTGTTTAGTTGTTGCCTTGGCCTTGCTTCCGCTGCAACACAAGGTTTCAGTTTGTTTTTTCTATTTTTCCTTGGCCCGGCCGCCGCCGCCAAAAAAAAAACAAGGGACCCCTCATGATATGCTGCCTCTCCCGCTGATGACGTCCTCAAGCAGATGCCCGGCCCCATGGGCAAAATGTCATCGAGGAAACCCTCCCCTCAAGATTGGCCGTCTCATCCGCCAAAAACAGCCAATTGAGGTGCATGGGGAAAGTGACTTTTGACGATTGGGGCTTGAGCGAATATCGGGCTTGCTTCTGCCAATTGCCTTTGTACGCATCTGCCTAGGTAGGTATCAGGTATAAGTCAGTAGTGCCAAGGACGAGACAAAAAGACGGACATGTGACGACAGTTTCATCGCTGTAGTGGCGGCAGCTACAGGGAGCGCAGCAGGGCGAGATAGCAATAGCAGGCCAAGTACTGCAACTGCAACTGCAACTGCAAGGCGGGGGGCCCAATGGCAGCACAGTGCCGCGCAGTGACCTCATGCCCTATGAGCTCCCACTGCCGCAGGCTTCCCCACACCGGCTCCCCCAGTTCGGGATCTGATCAACTCCAAAGAAACAAAAAGCATGGGCTAATCCGAGGGGCTGCGGTTCGAGCTTAGCCCTGGAAGACACCCCTCACCGAGCCAAAGCATAGTTTCTGTCCGTCGTCAACCAGAGCCCTGTTGCAGCTTTTCTTCTCAGGCGCTCTGGGCCTTTTCTTTGCTTTTCCTTCCACTCTTCTTCACGTCGCCATCGCCATCGCCTCTTTGCGGGGGAGCTTATATAGCTATCATCGACAGGCAGTGGCCCAAGCAGCGTTTCACGCCACAGGCCAGGCGGCGGCATTGGCATCGGCACTTGGCGGCGGTTTTACCAGCGCTTTGCAACAAGCGCCCATCTGGCACTCGAATCATCGTCGTCTCTCATTGTTAAAAACGGTCTTTCGATTGACGTGTCGCCTCAATTCCATCTCCAACTACCACTCGACTCCGTCATTCAACCTTCTCTCTCTTGACTTTCATTCGCCTCCAGCTCAACTCCGCGCTGAAGACCTCGTCGGCGTTTGTCTTCCGATCGTCATCGTCCAAACCCCGTACCCGACTCCAGCTCTACCCCACGCTTAATCCACTGTTCTCCGGATCGAATCTTATAATCAAACAAAGACAAGAACCGGCAAACACGCATCGTCAATCTTGGGCGAGCCTCTCCCCGGACTCTGCGTTCGCGGGCTCTTGATGGACAAGAGGCTGCTGGCTGCTGGCCGTGCTGCGATCCGCGCTCCAGACTCTGGTCTCATACGAGATCGCCGTCTGAACGCGTTGTGACCGGACGCCAAACTGCCAGAAGCATGAGCGCTGAGGTCAAGCGTGGTTACCAAGATGTCACAGGCCGCTCCGCATCAGCCGTCGTCATGCCTCATTCTGGGGGACGAGACCGTGAGCGAGAATGGCCCAACGCGCTCATAAAACGCTACCGCATCGAGGTCGCCGCCAGCACATCCAGCGTCTTTTCCACGCTCGCGGCTTTTCCCCTCGATAGCGTCAAGACACGCATGCAGACGTATCAGTATCGAGGCTTCTTGGACTGCGTCAAACATACCTACCGCACAGAAGCTCTGGGGGGATTCTTTCGAGGTAGGCTTATGATGAACCATTTCATCTTTCAACCATTGTCCTGTCTAGATGCGGTTTCATCTATTATAAATAAGAGCGCCGTCAGCTAACACTTTGCAGGTGTCACTGCTCCTATGGCAAGCATCACACTCGTCCGCACCGTCTCTTTCTCAATCTACCGGAGGGCAAAGCATGTCTATTCCGACTGGGTTAAGAAACACACTGGATTTGATATTCACCGCCATGCAAACACCCCTGGAACATATCCCACCTTTTATTCAGTGGCCTGCTTTGGTGCCGCTGGCGCAACCGCAGGCTCCGCAATCACCTTTTTGGCCTGTCCATTTGAGCTCACAAAACTAAGCGCTCAAGTTTCCGTGCTGTTGGCGGAGCGTACTACAAACTGCAAGCGAAGTCGCGAGGTGGCTAAGAGCTACCAGAACAAGGGCACACTAAAGACCATGGCCAACATAATTAAACACCGAGGAATTCTGGGACTCTATACCGGTTTCCAGTTACATCTCTGTAAGCACTTTCCCCCAAATACAAACACAAAAGTAGCTCATTAGCCACTTACTTCAGTGTGGTTTTGACAATGTCTAATTCATTCGACTGAATAGTGCGTGATACTTTGGGCACAGCCATCTACTTTATGGTATATGAAAGCGGGAAACAGCTTGGAACTACATTTGCTGGCGATAGCCCAAACAACAACAAGCTGGCTGTCGTTGCATCTGGAGGCCTTTGCGGGCTGGTATCATGGGCTATGATCTGTGGGTTAAAAACTCCACAACGGTTCTCTTGAAACACTTTGCTAACCATGTAATTTCTGTTCTGCAGATCCCATCGACTCAGCAAAGAGCATATACCAGAGGAACGCTCTTCTTTACTCACGCGGCGAAAAGGTCGAACCGGCGCCGAAAATCGAATTCTTTAAGCGTCACATGTATCGCGGTTTGGGCGTGTCCATGATTCGGTCGTGTGCCGTCAACGCCATTTTCTTCTCATCTTTTGAAATAATTAAAAAACGCATCAAGCACCTCGATGATGAACCGCAGGCCTGAAAATGCAGTGAGAGTTCTGAACGCTGTGCCTGACATTGTTGCACCGACTACCTACGCGGAGTGGTATAACAATGAGGGTAATGGTTGAAGTATTGTTTTGTTCTTCTTCTTGTACTTTTACATACCAATCTATTTGGCCAAAGCCGGGCGTGATGCCTGGTTTCTCTTGCGCATTTTATTTTCTCGTTTCTCCTTTCTCGTTTCTCCTTTCTCCTTTCTGTTTCATAATTGGGGAGTGTTTCGCGGCCCGTCACGGCATTCCTCCCCAAGTCTTTGTTTTATTGCTTCTTTTCTCCCTTTAGGCTTGCGGTTTCATTCATTCTGGCATCCGAGACAGGCAATTGCGGATGGATTTACTGCTGTCTGAAGCCACTGGCATCACATCGTCGGCTCTATTATATTATGATTTGTTTAGCATCAAGGCAGTGGAGGGAAAGGTGAGAAGGTCAGAAGAGTGTACGGGCATAAGGTATACTGCCATGTAAGTCCTTTTTTTATAGCTACAACTGGGGAAGAAAGTCAATAAAAACGACGTGAATATGTCCTATATCAATGTTTCTGTGATGCCTATTTTTTTAATGACAGCATGAATTTTGAGGTTTGGTTAGAAGTGATGATTGTAAAGTACACGGTTGTCTTGATACTGGTTCAACTCATGTATCTTGTACGAGGCCTTCTTATTTGTACGGGACAATTTTACTCGCAGCCGTGTGCAAATCAGCAGCTCAATTACAGTCTCTCTAGGCCTAATTAGTGGCTTGATACAAAAGTTCTGCTGTTGGCTCTAACAAACGCTGGCCCTGGTTCGCCACCTGAGAAGCAGACAGGGGAGCGATTCCTATCGGGTACGTGACGCGGAACTTGAGCATTGTCACGTATCAATGAAGCAGCTTCAACACAACGCAGTGGCAACGTTTGCGCTTATAATATCGGGTCTTGGAAAAGCGATAAATGGATCAACTGAGCATCTTTTACGAAATTGAGCTTTTGGTTGATTGAAGGCACCACCAGGCCATAAATAGCATTGGGTGTGTAAGTGTGTAAGTGTCTGGTAGGGATGCCCCGCGATCCCTTTGTTCTTGTATGCTTGTTATTAATCACATGCATTGCATCTTCCAGGCCGCGCCCTCCCTGTATACATGTCTGCACTACGGACTATATAAACCGCCATTGCCGTCTTGACATTCTTCTCATTTGACATGGCTCTCTAGATTCACAATGAAGGCTACCGTGGAAATTGCCTTGAGCGGCCTCGTCGGCCTGGCCGCAGCCAGCAATGCCAGCAATGCCAGCAGTAAATTCGACTGGGCGACCATCACCCCGTCAGAGCATCTCGAGTACCACGACTGCTTCGACGGCTTCCAGTGTGCACGCCTGACAGCCCCCCTGGACTACAGGAACGAGAGCGACCCGCGAACAATCGCCATTGCCATGATCAAGCTGCCCGCCGCGGTGCCAGACGACGACGCCTCCTTTGCAGGATCCGTCTTCACCAACCCGGGCGGGCCTGGCGGCTCCGGCGTCGAGTTCCTGCTCCGCAACGGCAGGGGCCTGCGCGACGTGCTGGACAAGCCCGGCCGGCGCCACTACGAGATGGTCTCGTTTGACCCGCGCGGCATCGGCAGCAGCACGCCCATCGCCAATTGCTTTGCCAACGACAGGCTCGGCCGCGACGGCGCGCTGCTGGAGCAACGGGGTCGCGGATCGCTCGCCAAGGACGAGGCGCTGCCGTATGTGCTTGCGCTGCAGAGGGCGATTGGGCAGCGGTGCGAGGCCGCGGACGAGAGCGGCGTCAATGGCGGGCAGATCATGGGGTTCATGGGCACGCCGAATGTTGCGCGCGACTTGGTGCAGATGGTGGACAAGGTTGCGGAGCTGCGTGCGCGCGAGGCTGGGGAGCGAGATGATCGCTTGGAATTGAAACGAAGAAGCTCGCCAGGGGGTATCGATGATGATGATGGCGACGTTCCGCGGCTGCAGTACATTGGCTACTCGTATGGCACGGTTCTGGGCAACTACTTTGCGTCCATGTTTCCCGGCCGTGTTGGGCGTCTGATGCTGGACGGGGTTGTCAATGCAGATGATTACTCTGGAGGACCCGTATGTGACGGCGTGAATATCATCTTCTTTATGGAGGTTTTGCTGACATTGTCTGTATAGGGCTGGTTGACCAACCTCGTGGACACCGATAAGCTGGCCGATCGTTTCTTCATCGGCTGCCACTTGGCCGGCCCCAAGGACTGCGCTCTCGCCCGCGAAGACGATGGCGCAGTCAAAGAGCGCTTCTACGCATGGCTCGAGAAGCTCGACAAGGAGCCAATCTCCGCAGTCAGTCCCTCCGGCGCCGTCGTCGTCATCAGCAGCCAGGACATCCGCGAGCTGCTCGTCCAGGCCCTCTACAAGCCGCGCGACTCGTTCAGGGGCTATGCGCAGGCCGTCGACGACGCCATGAGGGGAAACTCATCCGCCATTGTCGAGAGGCTCTTCTTCCGCCAGATTCCCCGACTCAAGGACGCCTGTGACGTTGACGGTGCTCCGGAGGACTTCATTCGAGAAGCCGGCTCTGGGGTGCTCTGCGCCGATGGCGACGACATCTCGGGCCATGAACTGGCCTGGTGGAAGCACTACGTCCGCCGCCTGGCCGCCACGTCGGCCTTTTACGGCGCCTACTGGGTCAACGTCCGCTTGTCGTGCAATGCGTGGGACTTCCACTTTAAGCCCAACTGGGTCTTCAAGGGCCCCTTTACCACGCCGCCGGCCGCGTCTTCTTCCGAGAAGCCGCTGCCTGGCCATCCCGCCGCTCCCCTCCTCTTCGTGTCCAACCGTCTGGATCCAGTGACACCTCTTGCTGCTGCTCGAGCCATGGCCGCTCAGCATCCTGGAGCTGGCCTTCTCATTGCCGAGGCCCTCGGGCACTGCACCAAGGGGAATGGCGATAGTGCTTGCTTGCACAAGCATATTGCTGATTATTTTGATACGGGGGTTGTGCCTGATGGCGAGGCTCGCTGCGAAGCTGACTGCGGTCCCTGGGATGCCGAGTGTGATGCTGTTGGAGCCCAGGCTATGCTACAGGAGAGCGAGGGCTACTATGGAAAGTACCCGTTGGGTGTGTTTTGAATAGAAAGCTGTACTGGAAATACTTTTGATTGTAGCAGTGTTGGGTTTTTGCGAATACTTGTTTCTCTAGAAAGTCTCCATATATCTGAGATTTTGTGGTTAGTTTCTGGTCTCAATGTGGGAGATGGATTATATATCTACATATATGTAAACGTGATTTTGCTAATTGTACGATAAGTGTAGAACCTTTAACGGATAACGACACACTTGTTTGAGCCCTCAATGTTTCAAGTAAAGCTCAAACAGCTTGATCTAATGCCGCATGTCCGAGACGGTACGAGACGGTAATGGATATCGAGTAAAATCTGCTTGCCAGCGTCAAATAAGTATAGCAACGCTGACCGAGCCTGGATGCCAAATACCACTTCTGATGATTAATTGGTTGGCATAGGCCTAGCGGGTAGTATCAAGTATCTCATCCATTCTCTGTAGGGAGAGGTAATCATCTCAAAGAGCTCACGCTGCATGAAATGGCAGCTAGGTTGAGTCAGATTGGTTGGGCTCTTGCCTCCAACTTGAGTCATCGTTATAGATCCTCTTGTAGCAATATCATTATCAAATGCCTTCTTCTAATTCCCCCATCTGCTTTTCATCATGCCTTCCGCACCGACTTTAGCAGTGGAGCAATTCTGGATCGTTTGCTCAGCCCAACCCTGTAAATAGGTTTGGCCAGTCCCAGCGCTGAAAGCCCTTTCTTATCACCCGATCTCTCTTCTTTCTCTAGTGTAGAGTGTTTCTTTATCTCTTTGGGTTCATCTTCATCTTCCGATTTGTCATCCAGAATGGTCTGGTCGTCGAGGGAAGCTTTGGCCTTACTCTTCTTGCCCGAAGCTGCTCTTTTCTGGTCGTCTTCCGTAGCTTCTGGTTTGAGTGTTTCTTCAACAGCATCCTGCTCCCTTGGCTCTTCTGCTGCGAGGTTCTCTGTGGCAGAATGGTCACCCTCTGAGTCACTCAACACAACAAGTTTCTTTCGACCCTTGGTAACTTTCTTCTTCCCACCGGTCTTCTTCTCACCCCTTACAGCAGGGGTGGGAGTGGCGGCAGCAAGCAGAGCGCTCTCGACAGCGGGCTCGTCTGACTGCTTCTTAGGCCTCCCTCGTTTCTTCTTCTGCGTCGTTGGAACTGGCGATATTGCATCAGTCGCCGGCGCAGGACTTTCAGCCAGCTTTACTGGTGGCGGCTCATCAGTTTCCAGAGACTTCTTTGGGCGACCTCTCTTCTTCTTTGACTTGGCAGCTGGCGTAGGACGTGCCACGAACTCGGCATCACTCCCCTCCGGCGGTAGCTCTTCCGGCGGTAGCTCCTCTGGTAGCGGAGGTTGATCAGCCAAATAATCCCTGTCGTCATGGTATTCCTGATCGACCTTCGGCTCAGGATTTAGATCAGGTGAATACCTTGGCTCAGGCTGTAAAATTTCATTAGCTCTCTGAGTGTATCATGCTCGGACAGTAGCCCACTTACAGCAACTTCATCCAGATCAGGTGCCGGCGCAGAAATTATGTCAGGAGAGGAGCCTCTTCGCGAGATGAAATTTCGATATTCTATTTTCTTGGTAGTGGTTGTGCTCTCCTGCTCCTCAGGATCCTTACTGCCAAAGCTCGGGATGGAGAACATTTGGTTCCGCGGTGTGTTGATGTTGGTAGCTGATCCACTTGATCCAACCGCATACTGTGTTTGCTGTTTCAAAAGCAGATTATTGTATCTTGGGATAGCACTAGATGCTCCGTTCACGGCATCGCCAGGCACACTTTTCACTATAGACGAGTTGTTTTGGAATGCCGAGTTGGTGTCGCCAATGGGTATGGCAGGGAGCGAGGTGCTCGATGCTGCTGCCGTCTCCAGCTCGTCATTAGTGCTGATAAGTTTGCTTTCATGAGGGGACATGACTAAATCAACGTCATTGCTTTGAGACAGAGCTGCTTCGGACTCGTCCAGCCGTCTCCGTTTCTTATCTCGACCTTCCATCCTTTCAAGATCATCCCAACGATTTTCAAGGGGCGTATCCGCACCCAGAGGAGACTTATCTCCCCCATAAGATTGATCCGGCGCATCTCCCCCCTGATCCTTTGCTTGTTCTTCCTGTAAGTTAGGCGCTCCCGGGCTGCTTGGTACTTCCCAAGGGTCCACTGCGCTCTGCGTCCTCTCCTGCGTCCTCTCCAACGTCCTTTCCGAGGACCTCATTGCTGGAAAGTTACGAGACATTTCTGAACGGGGATCCGTCACCGATGTCAGGGATGAATGATAGAAGCCTTTGGTAGTCCGCTGAAAGGGAACATCAGGGATTGTCATAGCCGAGCTTTGGTGTGGCGCATCTTCCAGCTCTTGTTGCAGTTGAAGCTGCAGTGCCCTCTCACAAGCAGCGGCATTCTGCTCATTAAAAATTTGCTGGAACAAAGCTGAGTCTGTGGAAGCAATTGCAAGACTCCCCTGTTCAGATGATCGCGTTTGCGCCTGAGGGACTGTCACTGGAGAAGGAGCGACAATCTCCTCGTTTGAGTCACTTTCTTCATCAGAATCTGCAATCATTATAGGGCCCATTCTGATGAGTCACAGATTCGAGAAAGAAAAGAAAAGAAAACAAAAAAACAACCACCTCCCAAATGCCGGCCCTGCTGCTTTACTTGCGAGTTAAGCTAGGAGGCTCTGACGATAGCTGGCACAGTATTACAGACGACAAACGCGGTTAGACGCCCAATTGACGCGCAAGCACGTGACACTACGTTCAAGAGCTCATCGCCTTCCGACGCAAGATGATTGCAAAAATTATCAATGGTATATATATTACTCTCGCATTACCAGCTTTTCAAGTGTATGCCAATTCACGCTATAACTGTAGATTCGCTAGCACAGGACGCTGCGGCTGGCCCTTCAAGTGCGCTGCCGAGCCTTTGTACAGACTCTGCCAGATAAATGCTTCGCTCAAAAGCAACTCAATATCCTTTTCGGCCCATGCCTTCGTGGGAAGGCTTTGCAAAAACATCATAATCTCCTGGAAATCCATCTTCACCAATTTATCAGACCACTTTACAAGAAGTGCTGCGCAAACGTAGAGATGAAACTCCGAAAAGCCTTGTTCTTCGGCCTAATCATCCGATTAGCTGGCTGTTGGCAGATAGTAGGCCAATAAATAGGGGTTTTACTCACAAGATATGTATCCCACATGCGAATCGTGTTCTTTACGCTGATTTCGCGCATAAGGAGACAGTTCATCCATCGAAAGCTAAACTGTATAAATTCAACACCCTCTTGCTCGAGGTGTTTGGATAACTTGGAGTCAATCCTGGCAGTCAGGTCACGCAAGGCTGTCACCTGTCTCTGAATACCAGGTTGAGCAACAATATAGTGGTCTTGAATGCCGTCAAGAAGTTTGGTAAGGCACCAAAATGAGTCTGCTTCCACAGCGTCCAAGACCGATTTAGGCAGCTGGCCTGGATCCATACCAGTCTCAATATCGGAGTCTGTCATGTAGAGTCCCAGGAAAACTTCCCAAAACGGAGTGACAAGGTCGTTGATGCCTTGAACGTATCCGCTGGCAGGATGCCTGACGGCCCAGACGTAGAGGATGCGTTCCAGCGACCTCTGCGTTGCCTCGTAGCTATACAGCTCAATATGAGGGTTTGTCCTGGGTATGTCGATGCTGATTTGGTGCCAAATAGCCTCATCTAGACCCCTCGCTTTTCCAGCTGAAGAGCTGCCGGTTGATGTTCCGCTTCTTTCAAATGCTTGCTTGACTCCATCGAGGTACTCTTTCCTCTTCCTCTCCAAGGTAGCGACTCGCCGCTCGCTATTCGTAGGGAGGTAGCTGAGAAGTAGTTGCCAGGTCATGGCACGCAGTTCATGCGGTACACCTGACCATGCTAATGAGCGAAGGTCGGGAAGTGATATCGATGATGCTTGAAGGAGTCGTTTAAATTTATTAATACGGGTAATTCGAGAATTAATTGCATCGGCTTCTTTCTGCGGTGCACTACTAGGAATAGAGGGGTAGTTAATCAGATGAAGCGCATTTGCCGGGTCTATACAGAAGTTAGCGCATCTTTCAATAGCACTGTAAAATGCTCATCAGAGTGTCAACGGGGTGTTGAGGTCCAACCTTTCAATATGTCCTTATATTGCGGCCGAAGGATCTTTCCTTCGCTCTTCTTTGGCATGGGATAGGTTGGTGCCGGTCGCTCAGCTGAAATATCTGCGCTGTTTGAATATCGCCGGGCCCGGACGCCGCCAAATGAACCGTCATTTGCGTATATCGAAGATCCTTGGCTCAGAACAGACTTGTTCTGAGTGGCTATTCGTTTTGATCGTCTCTTCATGTTTGAGAGGCTAGGGAGCCCAAAGTCGTCCCCATCGTCATCTTCATACCCTAGCATTTCGTCTTCGTCCGCTTTCCAATCATCGTTGGTGTTTGAGAGGAAGTTGATATAACTTTTAAAGGGTGGCGAGGTAGAGGCCGCAGAACCACGTGGTGGCGGCGGAGTGGCGTCGTTGAAGCGATTTCTGGAGGACGACGTTGAGGGAGGAGTTCTGGGGCGAGGCAAAGAAGAGCTGGAGAGGTTTCTTCATCATTCAATGTTAGCGATATCGAACGGGCAGGATGGGGCGATCTGCGGCGGTACCGTACAGAGTGTCGAATTTGAGGACATCCGCGTGGGAGTATGCCGCCCCAACAACCAGATTGGAACCATCTCGGCCAGCCGGGTTCGTGGCACTTCTTCTAGCTGTGCTGTCTCGCAACGGTGGTCTCCAAAATGGAGAGGCTGATCTGTAGCAGGGAGTGACGTTAGCGAAACGAGTGCGCTGGAGTTGGGAACGGGATGGGGTGATGCGGCATACTCAGACCGATCTAACGCGCGAGAGGAATCGAGCTTCGGTCAGCAACATGTCCCATTGTTCGGCGCTCAGGGCGCATTGTCCCTCGCAGACGACCGCGACAGAAGGCTTCAGATAACATACCGACCTGCACCATCTCCTGTGGCTGTGGAGATCAGCTGTTAGCATCCTCGTTCGTCGCCAGTTGTGACATAGGCCCAGGGGAGGAGGGGGTCTGCATGCAGGCACTCACTGAATTGACCGGCTTCTTGCCGCTCCCAGAGGACGACCACATGTTCACGAATGGTCGTCGAAAGCGCAAAGGGGAGGCCTCATTATGCGGGGTGTTGGGCGAACAAGTTCAATTAGTGACCGTGCCAAGCAAGTTGTAATCGCTGATGTTGCCTGTCCGTGTCTTGTCCACTTTGTCTCAGCCGAGCTCCATTTAGGCCACGCGCTGGGACGATGCATGTACAAAGTCGGGTACAGCAGGCACCGCGCTGAAGTGCCGATGCTAAGGCGGGGTAATGGCCCTGAACGGCCACTGAGCGCACTGCTATGGCGACTGCTAGCGCTAACGGCTGTACTTTTGCCTCGCGTCGACAAGGCTGGCACCTCCTGGCCACCTGCGGAGACACCCCCGACTGCGTACTCTACCTAAGGGCACCTGCGCGCTATCGGAAGTGGGCGCAAATCCCACACTAAAAAGATAGTCACTTAGTACTAGAGCGTATATTCTACACCAAATGCAAAGCCCAGCCTTGTTTCACGGAGAGATATCAGGGTGCAGGAACGCCAATAAGGACGACTCAGAGCCTTGGCCGTATGCAAGGCGTGTATTCTGTACAAGAAGCTCTTGACCACTCACCACTTTCTTGGCGAGAAACAGAGCTTGTGTTGCACAAGCACGTTCAATCACGGTCTTCTCCGTACCCACGATTGCTGCCTTAGTCAGCAACTAGGCACAGCAAAGCGCGGTCTGCTTTTAAGCTTTGCTAAGGAGCAACTTCATCCTCATCCTTACACCCAACACTGCAACACGTCGCCAATCTCTTCAATCTCTCCACCTTCTTTTCTCCACGCCGTCATCAAATCATCCGTTGCTTTCTTTACAGCAAAGGGATTTCACTAATCTAGATACTCTTCTGGTGTTGATCCGAGAGAGATTGGCGCTGCTAGCGATTCATTATCGCGGCATCCGGGATTTTCGCCTTACGTCAATTCTAAATTTACCTCTCTCTACAAACTTCCATCATGACAGAAGCTGAGAACTTCGAGGACGATCTCTTCGCCGACCTGTAAGGCTGTTTAATTCCCCTAGATTTCTTCTCTATTCATGTACTAATCTAGCGCGCTTATAGGTACGAAGATACCGACGCAAAGCCCGCCGCGCCGGCTGCGAGTGCTGTTCATCACACCGAAGCTAAAGCTCCCGAGCAGCCTGAGCCAGTGTCTGCTCCTGCTCCTATTAGTGAGCTGGACGATGGTGGCCACGATGCGATGAACCAAGATGTAGACGACGACGAAGACGACGTTGACTTCAACCTTGGAGGAGGGGGAGCCTCCACCAACACCCACATGATGCCACAAGACGACATGCCGTCAACTCCCCCATACGGGACTGTTCATAAAGCCAGTGCCAAGGAAGATGGGTGAGTTCTCTTGTTATGTGAAGCCAACAATACTCCGTGTATAATCCTTTTTCCCATGTTACCTGCGACAAGTGTCAGCAGCAGTGTTGCGATGTGATAAGAGCTATCAGCCAGCGCGTAATCCTGCATCCTGCAACCATATGATGGCATACATTTGCTTTGAGCAAAGTGACTGGCTTGATACGATGGGGAAGCAATCAGGTTCAGCTCAGGTTCAGCGGTGGAATGGCCTGGACTACCAGGAAGCACAGTATCAACGACCATGAGAGTTGTCGGCTGGGTTTTATCCTGATATTACCGGGAAAGAGTACAATAAGACGCCATCCCAAGTGAGAGATATTCCAAGGGAAATAAGAAGAGGAGGCAATGGCCTTTGCCCGTCTAGAGGCTGGTGGGGGTTCAAACTTTGATAAAGTTGAGGACAAACAAGATGACCTACCGACCAACTCTTTTCAATTCCATTATGGAATCTCTTCTTGTCTATTATAGCTCTCAGTCGCAGAGTCTTAAAATAGCCCGACGAGAGCATTTGCACTTCTCGGGAGGCTGTAGCAAGATTGACAGCGGGTAGCGCTTAGGGTCAACTCGTACCTAGCAACAGACAGTCAGAGACAGAGTCAAAACGATAGCACAAAAGACGAAAGACAGAAAAGAAAGGAAAACATATTTCGACATATTTCTGGCACATTGCGTCCCTTGCAGTCGCTGTCATGCCATTGGATCTCTCAAGCATCGCGTCGCAGTGGAGCCCATTTAAACGCCGTCAATGACATCTGCTGTTATGACATCTGCTGTTATGACATCTGCGGTTATGACATCTGCTGTTATAATCTCTGCTTCAATTCCGACAAGTAAGAGGGAATGCTTTGGACATGTATCGCATCGGATTTGGGGAGGGCCGACGGCCAGATACGTGCCGCCTGAGGTCCTGCGCATATATTCACACCTAAATAAGTCCTTCCTTATACGACAGGCGGCAGGGGCAAGCACACAGCCTTGACTTGAGCTATATGCATGTTTCCTCAATTGGCAACCCCTCCAAGGCCACTCGACCAGGTGACAGCAACAACGTATTGCGATGGACACTCACCATGGATCCCATTTTTATCTCAAAGAAAGCCGGCAACTGCCACATCTCTCATGTCACTGCCTGATGAAATCTCAGTCGCAAATCTGCATACTGCATGAATGAATTTTGATATATTTCGATTTGATTTGGCTTTCATTTACATACTATTCACAAGGAGCCCATAACGTTCGATATGCGATTGCTAACGTTTGCTAATATAGAAAAATGTTCATTGGTGGATTAAACTGGGAGACGACTGACCGTATGTCCTAATTCATCCCGCGAAGTAATTTACAGAGATGCTAATAGTTGACAGAATCTCTCCGAGACTACTTTTCCCAATTCGGCGAAGTCGTCGAGTGCACTGTGATGCGAGACAGCAGCTCCGGCCGATCCCGAGGGTTTGGTTTCTTAACCTTCAAGGACGCCAAAACTGTCAATATCGTCATGGTCAAGGAGCATTTCCTGGACGGTAAAATTGTGGGTCCTATTCCCTGTCGATACCCTGATGTTTGAGAAGTGCCTTTGTTTTTACTAACTCTGATATCAAGATTGATCCCAAGAGAGCAATTCCTCGCGATGAACAAGAAAAGACCAGCAAGATTTTTGTTGGTGGAGTCAGCCAAGATACTACAGATCAAGAGTTCCGGGAGTATTTTGCCCAGTTTGGTAGGGTCGTTGATGCCACGCTGATGATGGATAAAGACACAGGCAGGCCTCGAGGTTTTGGGTTCGTTACTTTTGAAAGCGAAGCCGGCGTCGATGCTTGCATCAATGTGCCCCTTGAAATACATGGAAAGCCCATTGAAGTTAAAAAGGCCCAGCCGAGGGGCAACCTACGAGAGGAAGAGGAGGCGTCGAAACGTGGAAAATTCAGAAAGGGTGATGACCAGTCCGGCCAAGCCGGAATGGGTCAACAAATGGGTGGTAACAACTCAGGTATGACACCACAGGTCATGGCCCAATACTTCCAACGAATGCAGCAATACTTTGCCATGATGCAGTCACAAATGGCCATGTCTCGAGGCATGCCTATGAACCCGGCCATGTGGCAGCAGATGCAGCAGATGCAACAGATGCAACAGATGATGGGACGTGGTGGTGGTCCTGGACAGAATATGATGAACAATATGAACCCCCAAATGATGCAGCAGATGCAACAGATGCAGCAGCAAATGATGCAGCAGCAACAGGGCGGTGTTCAGGGCGGCGGTGATGGTAGCTACAATGGCTATGACCAATATCAACAGCAAGGTTCCCAAGGCCATGGCAGCGGCAGGCGAGGTGGCCGCGGAGGCTATGGCGGCGGCGGATACAACAATATGGGTGGAGGTGGAGGAGCTCCTACATCTTGGGAGGGCATGTACGACGATGTGCCACAGCCTAACGCCGGCCAGGGATCATCTCGACGTGGTGGAAGCGTTGGGCAGGGAACCCCCGACCCTCAGCACTCACCGCCGGCCAACGCTCCCACAGGGCCAAAGAACGCTGGAAAGCCTGGCGCAAACTACCGTGGTGGTGGACGTGGCGGAAGCAGAGGCTTCCATCCTTACGCTCGATGACCGAACTGATTAGGAATTGTTACATCCGATCAGGATGATTCCCAGTTTGACGTTTTCAACTGTTCGAAGAGTCAAGTGGGAAATAGGAGGGACCGCTCAAACTGTTATCCGCTGCAGATGAGCCTTTTCGCCGTCACTCCTTTTTTTCTTTCGGAATGATGGAACTTGTATTATTACTACTTACTGAATATCCAGATTGAGGGAACCGGCACGATCTACTGGGCTAAGCATCTAGAAGAGCATGGAAGGATGGTGGATGGGGGGAGGAAGGGGACGTTTTTTTCCCTCTCTTACTTGTGGACTGATTTGATTTCGTTTAAAGGTTTTTCTTTTTTTTTTTTTGTTTAGCTATGACAGGTGGAAAGGGAAGACGCTTGCACTTATTTACTACTATTACTTTTTTCGAGAAACAGGGTCAGTTTGTGGACTCGGGGACAAGAACAAAAAAACATGGGTCGTTTCGTTTACTACTATCAGTATGGTATAATATATAGTATCAAAGTTTAAACTTGGCATTGTGATGTTGCAACTTGCGCAGAGAGGCGTCAGAATACGAGTTAGACAAGTAGCTTTGCTTGGGGGCATAAAAAAGAGGGTATGTATGTATATAACTTATGCGTCACTGTCTTCTCTTGCAAGACTCACCCTCATAGGAATTAAAACTGCTGAGTGTTTGGGTTTGAAGGGATCAAACACGTTGTAATGCGAATAATAAAAAAAAAGACTGTATTTGGGAAAAAAAAAAGGGTTCTTTGCTATCTCATGCATCCAATCCGGTTTGGTATATGTTCTATCCATGCCCGCTTCCCTGCTCCTAATGAGCTCCTCACAAAATCTCAACAAAACGCTTCATGCGCCTTTCAGAAAAAAAAAAAAAATACTATATGCATCCCGCTCTTTAGTAAGACTAAGTAAAACCATTTGCCGGCCGTTATATCCAAGGCATGCTGGGGGAGAAAAAGAGAGAAAAAGAGAAGAGGAACAAAAGTAAATGCCACAATCATGTGTATCATAAAGAAGAAAGAAATAAGAAAACAAACGAGAAAATAAGAGATAAATCGGAAGCAAAATAGCAAAACAAGAAGAAAAAAAAATTCAGAAAACAAGAGAACAGAAGAGAAAAACCTTCCCTAAAATCGTCTATAGTTATCACCCTCTTCAAGCTTCTTCAAAACACCAACAGCATCAGCAAGCAGGATATTTCGCCCGCCCAGACACTCTTTCTCGAGCGTCGCGCGCGCAAGGTTCACCGCGCCGGAGCCAACCTGCTTATACCGCACAGTCATTTCCTCAATCTGGCCAGGCTCCATGCTAGACACGTCAAGGAGCCACTGTATGGCGGCTTTCCGAGTCGGCGCCTTTGTCTCGGTGCGGCTGATGCCAATGTGTCCAAAGGCCCAGCAGATGAGGGCGCAGACGTAGATGCCCCAAAAGTCGGAAATATCCTTTTTCTGAGCGCGCTGGAAACGTGGAGATATGGAGGAGGCGGAGGAGACGCTTCCATCCTTGCTCGCGAATCTCGAGATTCCGAGGAATAGGTTGAGAGCTCGAGCGGCAAAGGCAGTTGCGACGGCGGCACTGCCAGAGTCTCGCCATTTTTCGAGCTCTCTCTGGTGCTCCATGAACTCGGTGGCTTGGAGCACCTTTTTGTTGAAAACCCAGCTGTCGCCCGAGACTGACAAGAGGGTATGCAGCGGTGTATAGTGAAGGGCAAGATGTGACATTGCGACTGGTGAATCTGGGAACAGATTCATAATTCTAAAGTGACTCATGCTAATACTTGAGGCATTGTCCAAAAGATCAACCTTTGTAAGAGTTTGTCGCTGGGGAAGCTGAAGAACGAATGCGAGCAAGAACAGCGATGCGTCAAATGCAGGAATTGATGCAATGTTAGCAGCAGAAATATGCTCAAGACTCGTCGCTCCAATGGTCTCTGGCATAGCTGCTTGGCTCATGCGACTCCATTCTTCATAGTTTTGTGCATCCCATAGATGTAGCGTGCCCATTGACAGCGGCACCGGAAGAGTCGCAGGGTCTGTATAGTCCAGTCCAATGACTGCGGCACGAGGCTGTTCCAGATATGACGATGCATGGACGTCGAGTAGGAAACAGGCAGCCAACAGGCGCCTCCTCGATTCCACATGGACCCAAATGTTCCATTGCTGGGAAGTGTCGCACGACTCCATGTTCGATGGGTAGGTGGTTTGTGCGTTGATGACCTGCATTCAAGGGAGAAATGAGTAAGATATAAGATGATGCTTTTCGTTTTACCAGACTTTAAATGGAGAAAAAGAAAATAAAAGAAGAAAAAAGAAAATAAACGGTAGAAAAGAAAGTAGAAGAGAATAAAAAGAAAAGAAGAGAGAGACGAAAATAGAGATACAGTAGAGGAAAGAGCCAATTGATATTGAGCGTAAAAATTCAGATGCGATTTTGAAAACATAGACTTGAAGGGGGCATCATGAGATATTCGTAATCATGCAACAAGAAGAAAAAAACAGACATAAAATTCCCAGAAAACAGCATAATAAGAAAGAAAAGAAGACAAAAGAAAACAAAGATAAAACCAAAAACGCTTCACGTGAGGGCAGAAAAAACAACGTCGGTTCATGAACGAGAACCAATAAATCTAGTGAGGACTAACCATTTGGAAAAGTGCCTCAAAGCGAGGCGATTTCTGATATGCCTTTTTATTTCTTCCTCGGAAGACGGCATAGTATTCGCCTAGAATTGTAGCTTGCACAACCGGCCATTCTGGGGCTCCAGAGTCGGTGTACTGGATTATGAATGTTAGCTGTTACTCGTCTATTGCAATTCATATGGGTTTTCGTATTTCTCTTACCATCTTTGCCTTGTCCATTGCATAGGTATGCAGCTGGTGTCCATTGGCGCGATGCTCTACATGCTCGAGGAATTGGGTGGCGACAGCCGCCATGGCGCACTTTAGTATCTCGAGTTGATCTTCGGGTATATTCGTAGGGTTTTCAAAAGTTGGTCTGTGAATTATTGGATGCTGGGAATGCACTTTATCCCAGTACACCTCGATGTAAGTGGGGATCATGTCTCGGATTTGCTGGCTTAGAATTGCAGGCGCGGGCATCAGAGTATAAAGGCCCAGAGCATCTACAGGCTCGCGACCGCCATTGCGAGGATACATCATGCGGTCTACGGGCAGCGCAGACGGTGCCGCGATCATGGTCTCACTCGACTGACCCACGATCATATGGGGCGGAGTTATGCTGCGGACCGAGTTGTCAAGCATTTGATGCGGGCTGTAAAGATTCGGGGCATGTTCGTAGGTAGGAAAGGGAGTCCCTATGCTATCCCCATAGACTGAGGAATAGACTTGCGGAGGGGTAGTAGCGTAGGGAAAAGACATGGCGTAGCTGCCATCGGCAATGACGGGGCTTGGGGATGTGGTGTATGATGGAATTTGCGCTGTCCATTCGGTGTTGTGAGCTCGACCCGATGAATGTTGAAACTTGGAGCTGCCAGGTGCAGGGGTCGAGTAAGCACTGCCTGAAGCAGTTGATGGAATGCCCGAGCTATCCGTCCAGGTGATGCTTGGAGAGGTGGTTTCAGGCATACAGAGTTCGGGAACGGGGGGGTTCAACGCGCTCAGTCCAGCAGGAGGAGCTTCGCTGTAGCCGGAGACGACTCTGGAATCTGGCATCTGTACAGCCATACTGGGGTCTACCACGCCGATATCCGCCATCTGGTATGTGCTCTGTGTATCTCGCATGTGCGGCGACTGCATGTGCGGCGACTGCATTACGCTTCCCTGAGGCGTCGATCTGTTGACTGATGACCAGTGGCCAGGGTGCACTCCCATGCTAGAGGCAGGCGTTGTGGCAGCGGCGACATAGGGTGAGGCTGCTTGCATCGAGGGTGCCGGTGGTGAACTGCTGTAGGGTCGAGCTGGGCTGCTATCAGATCGACGTCGCCGGGATGAGTCTCGTTTCAGTCTACCTTCTTGCTCGCCACTGATGCCTATATTCAGCACTCGTTCGAATCGTTGAGATGATGTTGGGCCAGTTGAGGAGACTTACTGTCTTTGTAGATGTCGGTCCAGTAAATCCTTGCGGTGGAATACCTTCTTGCAGCCGGAGACGGTGCAAGATAGCTCAGGTGGCTGATGGCCTAGTTGATGTCGTCTGTAGATATGAGAGTGAGCTAACATTCAATGATGAAAGGATGAGATGAGAGAGAGAGAGACTGTGTGTGTGTGTGTGTGTTGAGCATCGACATACCTTAGGTGTTCTGCTCTTGTGAATGTCTTCCAAGTGAGAAGAGGAGATCCCATGTTAGCACAAGCTCTTGACAAAACACAAGATGTAAGAGACGATGATGATGAATGATGAGTGAACATACCTTTGGTGGTCGACAGGTATCACACGTATGAACAGGAACCCCCTTCTTGGCTCGACTGACTCTTCCAGTAATGGGCGTCAGCTTGACAGGGTGCTCCCCTGAAGAGCCTCCTGGCATGACGGGCCTCATGTTTGCTCCGGTGTAGTATGCTGATGAATGGTTCTGACCCTGCCCATAGGAAGAGTCCATGGAGTCAGTGCTCGTGTTGCTGCGTCGACGGCCTCCAGGATGGTTATTATATCCCAGGGGTTGTGCTGCGGGGTGGTGAAGTATGTGAGGAAGAGATGTTTGGCCGGACAGATCCACAGGGATGTTATATCTGGGCATGGGGACGGAGAGATCTTGATCGATGGCGATTCTCGAGGTCGGCCTTCGGTCCCTTCTTATGGAGTGAGGATCGGCGTGGTCGTCTTCGACATTCATAATGTTCCTGAGGCTCCCCATTGTGGATAGAACCCAAGACCCAGATCAAAGATGAGATGCAGGTTTAATAAAGATGAAGGAAGCAGGTACCAGGGAGTCGTGGAGCACAAGAGGCTATCTTAGTATACACACAGCCCAGCCTGCTGCGAGGAGGTACTGCTAGTGCCGTGACGTGTGTGAAGTGAAGCTGTAAAGATCATGGATTAAGATGCCGAGACTCGTTGAGGAGACAAAAGCACGGGTAAGGGAGAGCAAGGGTATGTTGGGTGGTGTAAGAGAGACAAGAGTGGTCGACAGGAAGTCAACCCGCGGCGGGTTGGGGTGGGCGAGTCGGCGATCGTCCCAGCCTCAGCCTCGCTGGTTCACAAACGCCGTTCTCCAGATACGATACGACGTTGGATGCCTTTTGAGAGACAAATATAGGAAACAGGACAACGCATTCCCCGCGGGTGCTGGAGCATGGAGTATGGCAGTCGTGACGGCGGCGGCAGAGAAGGAGAGAGAGAGCGCGCAAGTAGTCTACATGTATGTCCATGTGTGGGAGCAGACGGGACCCCGGCGGGCCACCAGAGCCGGATTCCATGGTGAAGCCCTTGGATTCATGATCCTGGTTCCATGACGAGCCGTGGGCGGGCAGCTGAGCTATGGGGTGCATGTAGAACCAGACAAAACGGCATGGGATGGGCTCGAGAGTCTCTCAAAGCGGTGTCGACAGCATCAGCTCGCGCGCCGCTCGTACTGGGTACCTGTACACGGACGTGCGAGCAATCCCTCTGGCGCACGCCCAGGCCAACCAGAGCTCCCACAGCGCAGCTAGACCCGGTCCGAGGCTGACAGAACCATGTCGGGAGGAGAGACGAGGGTGGAGACGCCGCCGCGTGGTTGAGCCAGCCCTGTCCGCGGGAGCGAACGGGCCATGACTGGGGTAGACACTAAAAAGCTCCGTCCAGATGGGCGCTGCGAATCGCATGCCGGCTGCGGTCTCTTCATTGGGCGCAGCACGGCAGAGAGGGTGGCGCGCAGTGGAGGGGGTCAGAAATGTCTGCCTGTCATAAGCAGCGCCATGATTGATGGGTGTTGCGGCCGCGCCAAAGTTGGGCACACAAGGATTCCTGCTCTGCCATGCTATGCCATGCTATGCCAGACTCAGCTCCATCCGGTACAATGTGCGTCGTACCGGTCGTAGGGGAAGGCCTTGGCTAGACTCTGGATATAATTAGAACGCTGCTCCTTATCGACATGCAGGCCAGGCCAGGTCAGGGCGTCCATTGCTGATGGCCTGTTTGGGCTCGAAGATGCGCGACAGGCTGGAAGCAGACGGTTGTCCCAGTTTTTCCCGTGGGCTGGTACGACCACCGACAGGCCTGTGCACGGAATTGATGAGGTCTGGCACATATAGTAGGCCTACAGTAGATACATACATACATGCTGACTTTGCAAAGATAGGGCAGTGCATCAGTCCCCACGGCAGAGAACGCCAGCAAGGGGGATCCAAGGACGGCGCGGGTATGGCGTCAAGGTCCCAGTCCCGCGGCTCCAGCGGGGTTGTTAGATGGGAATGGCTGTCGTGGCTGTCGCTCGCCGGGTCCCTTGGCCGGAGGCTGCTTCTTGCGTATATTGGAGTATTCGTGTTGATTCCGGCTGCTGAGGCTTGCTGAGACATGGCCATTGCTTCTCGTGAGGTGCGCGCTTGGCGACAAAGGACAGGGGCAGGGCCCGTCCATTTTTCCGGCGAGAACCAGCGCTGACAGTAGATCTCGTCGCACAAGAGTGATACTGTACTTGGCCTGCTCGTACTAGACGAGAGTGCTCGATTCCTCTGCACAATACCTACCTAGACGACTAGCAGCAGTATTACAAGAGTGAGCGCGGGTGGGCTCCTCTGCTGAAGCGAAATCCGACGGCAGTGGGGCGTCTCTTGTCTCTCCGACAGGCCATCCGCCACAAAAAGCAAGTCTCGCTGAGCGGTGGTTGGCGCCCAGGGCATCGCGTGAGTGAAACCGGGATTTTCTGGCGTTCACGAGAACAGAGGCGTGTCTGTTGTTTTGCCACCGAGCTGTGCGCTCATAGGCCGGCGCTGCGAGTCCTCTCTTCCCGCAGCGCGCATCACGTAAAAGATGAGACTGGAACTAGACAGCAAATGCAAATACTGTGCGTCACCGTCTGGCCAGAAACGGCAGCGCGGTCTGCGCAGTGGTTCATGATCATCAGCCGGGGTGTCTGCTTCGCCCGTAAACAACAGCTCCCCTTTGGCGCATCGGCGGCTAGTCTGGGCGACAGGGGTGGGCGAAGAAGGTTTCCCCGTCCGTGTCTCTCTAGCTCTTGGTGTTTCCAGCCCACCGGAGCCACTGGCCAGAGGACCTCCAGTCTCCAGACGCTTACTACTACTACTACTACTACTACTACTACTACTACTACTACTAGTATACTGTACCCTCGAAGGATCTCCTGCAGCACCTTGTACAGTACTTACTGTAGGAGGGCATCGCACTCTTCTATGCATCCGTTCTAGAAAGGATCCTGCAGTAATACTGACACAAGTTGGTTTCACGCCTCCTCGAGCTGCAGGTGATGATGCGTGATGTTCGTATAATCTCGTTAATGCGTATGCGCGGTGCTATGCAAGTGTCCTCATGCCGCCTCCTGCATCGCTCGCACAGAAGAATAGCTGCGTTCTCCTTGCGCAAAAGGGGCCATGCGGCTGAGAAGGCATCGGTCACCTCCGCGCAAAGAAGAAGGCAGGAAATTGGAAGCCCCTCCAAACACGGCTCAATATGTTCTTCTGCAAATATCGGTCAAGCTGCCAATGAGCGCCTCCTCCCTGCCTTGACGGTCCCGAAGCGACGAATCATGGCCGGCCTCTGGTTTCAGCAAGGACAGCGGCTTTGCTAGCGACGCAGTGGCGGCCACCTTTTGCGCACCTCAGCTGGCGGAGCGCTGCAAATGAACATGTAAGGAGGGCCCAGAGCTGAAAAAAAAAGGTCCAGTCCCCATCTGTCGAGCGTCCATGGTGCGCAGAGCTGACGTCCCGGTGGGCCAGGGGTTTGTTTAACATGCGCACGCCATTCGCGTTAGTGCAATCCCAAGAGAGAGAGACGTCAATCAGTGATGGACAGAGTAGGCTCCGCGTCCACGAGGCCATGGCCCGCTCCCGTGGAGCCCGAGAGTGCCCGCCTTGGTGCTCAACTAGCTCGCCGTATGGTGATGTGAATTGGTGAAGCTGCTGCTGCTGCCAAACGCGGGAGTGCCGTGCTTGCAGCGACCGCAGAATCCAGTCCGCTGTGGTCAGAACTATCGGCGGTGATGCTGCTGATAGCGTCCTTTGGAAGCGGTTCTTTTGCGTCCCAAGATCCATTAGTAGCGACTACCGGAATGCCCACCTCACTGGATGGGCCCCGGAAGGGTGGATGAGCAGAGCGAGGAGGAAAACCAGCCGTTTGGGTCCTCGTACATGCACCGTGGCCAGGAACCATGTCTTCTCTTAGTCACTGCCTCTTAGTCTCTGTCTGCCTCTCTCTGCCTTCTGATTCTGTCTCTCTCTCTCTTGCTCTCTGTCCCTGGAGTTCGGTCGCCAGAACAGTCGTCGTGCATGGCCGCATCCTGGTAGATCTGGCCTTCTCCAATCTCATCTCATCTCAGCCACTCGAAGAAAAAAACATCCTGTTCGCCAACAGCCCACGCTCTCTACTCGCAAGTTTATTTTTCTCCTCCAAAGTCCAAGGACATGAGATGAGGGACCCAAGCAGGTGGTCGCTAAAGATTTGCGGGCCAGCGGGCCAGAGTTGGGGGCCAGATGAGCTACAAATCCAGCTAGTGCGTCGCTAGCGCATCGCTATGTACTGGGTACGGCTGGCGGCAGCAGCTCCCCTTGCCTGGATTCGGAAATGAGAGCAGCAGACCCAAGATACTGCTGCTGGGAACAAGACATTTGGAACTGCGGTCAGCGCCCGCTGCGAGTATTACTTGTGGGCGATGTGCCGCCAGGATTCAACCAAGTGTCTCTTCACCTGCCGTTTGGATGATTACCGAGGACTTGGATTACCCATCTCATTACTCGCTACCGACTAGGAGCAGTAATGGGGACATGGACTCATCATACCTGTAGTGCGTGCAGAGGCAGCATCACCACCATTCCCGGATACCTGTACTGCTACTACTACAAGTCCATCAGTGCCGACAGCCACTCCCCCGCAAGTCATGTGTCGCAGGGGTTTCGGCGAAGGATGTGGGATCAACACGCTCGTTTCATCTTTCTTGGACATTCCATGTACTCCGTATAGCTTGTAGGTATACCTTACATTGGGCACCACCGGAAGCGTTCCGTATCCAGAGGGATTGCATATACGCAAACTGGTGGTGGCTTCTCCAACGTACGTGATACCTTTACGCTTATAACACGTAAGTGCCCACTACCTACTACCTTGCCTTTGACACCTCTCAGGAACCTGAGCACACAGTCACCGCCAATGTGACCGCAGCGCTCATTCATTTTAAAACTGCCTGTCTCAGACAATACCATCATGAGCTCTGACGCGCAGTTACACGAGACAAGTCGCAGTGGTACGAGTGCGTGCTGCGAACAATAACATGTTCCTTGTGGCAGCCGGCACGTAGCGGTATTCAGTCCCACGTTTTTTGCTGCAGGTCTTACTCCAACCTTGTCAATCTTGCCCGCCGGCGCTTATCTCACTGCCAGTTGCTCCGGAGTCGTTTGTAGAGAATGAGGGTAATCAAGGCGTCTTGTCTACGGGGCATTATCTGGGTCGCTGGTTGCTGTGCCGGGAGTGGGTGTGGCGAAGCTGTCCCTCCATATCAGACGATCGACGATGTGGGAATGGGAAAAAGAGGATACAGTAGGCCCGTACAGCTTAGGTAGCATTGAGATTATTACATACAGCATGACATCCTTACCTCATATAGACTACCAGGTACCTAAGCGAGCCAGAATGCTAATTAGGGATTTGAATGCAATACTAGATGAAAAAGAAAAAACCGGTAGCATTACTACCCAAACATTTTGTTTCCATCAAATGCCACCCTCTTTCCATCCCATCCCTCGTCTCGGCGCTTACACTGCTGCACGTAATTCCAGTTCAGCGACAGAAATTGGAGAAAAACGTGCTGCATCCCGGATTGGGCCTTAGCCTATGAGACGCAGGGATATTTTTAGAGATTTCACCCACACCGTTTCCAGCAAAGAGGGCTGGGCTGGGCTACATGTTCCCCATCACACGACGACTTTTTGGCAAAGCAGTGAATGTAATGCACCACTCATGCAATGCCGGTGCGGTGCGGCACATCGGACCAACATACTGCAGCAGAAAGAGAAGTATAGAACGAAACCTTGCATACGAGGCTATGGCCACGCGAAAGCGCGCTTGTTTCGCCTATAGGGCCATCCATCCACTCTCTCTCTTTCCTTCTAACCCACACTGCGAATCTGCCGCACCTGTATACAGAGATGGAGAAAGCATAAAGTGGAATTAATAGCACAGCCCAGTTGCAAAGAGCATCCAACCAACCAACCAGTCCATCAGTGCAACCGCTCACAAGCGCCCAGGACTGCTGCCACATCAACCCCGTCAAAATCATCCTATTCGTCGTTTATACGCGCCGCCCATTGCTCAACTCATCCTTGACGAGCAGCGGAAATGTGGATGTCTCGTCGGAGCCCGATTCAAAGAAACACACACACAAGTCTTTCTGAAAGTGGCACGAAAGAGTGTTGCATCCCGTCGCTTAACACCGCAGAGTCGGCCCCCCACCTCTTTCGAACATGCAGTCTGCTTTTTGTAATCACTCAGCCGGCCCGTTGTTGTAGGGCTGCTGCTGCTGCTGTATGACTGTACACGCATACTACTACATAGACTTACACGCATGTCTTGCTCCTTGCTCACATTATCCCCATAAACAATGACTATAGCCTTTTGCAATGTAACGCATCCCCCATCCACATCCCACAACATCGCCTATTAGCCGCCGCAAATGCCAAACCCTCACACCCTCACACTCTGTTAGCCGCAATAAGCAACACCAGGCAAGCAACCCGGATTGCCGGAACCCCAAGCCCAAGCCAAATACTATCGGAGGATGAAAGAAACGAAACAATTTTCTAATATTAGCAACTCGGCGACATCCATCTAGATCCATTCTTACTTACGTAGCCTTCCGACATCAGACGAAACGAGAGACATCGGGGAAAGGAGAAGCAATACAGTGGCATGACATGACATGGCCTGTCGCGGATAAGGCTGCATGGTAGCAGTCGTATCGGCATGTTGTGAACCCCCTCATGCCCGTCATCTGCCCTTCATCCGTTTGTGAGGCTACCACAGCGTCGTAATTGTGAACCTCCTGTCACAAACAGCCCTATCAAATGAGTACGTTCAGCTCGTTTTCGGCCATCTCCTTTCTCCTTGCGTCTCTTCGTATATGTAAGTGTCATCTGAGTCAGTAGCAAAACCAACACTCTATAACCAAAAGAAGAAATACGCCGAGGTAGAGTGCAGCCCATGATACGACGACTGCATATACGTAGCCTCGCAGACATTGAAGTGTTTCATATGACAAAAATAGCTTCCATTATACAGTTCCCCAATACTACGGACCGCGAATATTGATACAACGCTCCAGAGTAGATACTAACATCGGAGCAAGAAATCAAATGCAATTATCATTTTCGGAGCCCTAAAACAAAAGCCCAACACGCCAATACTAGTACCACAAATCCATCTATTATCACAAATTGGCCTTTACGTTCCCTTCTTTGTCACGTGTTTTGACACCATAATTCTCAAGTCCTCATTCTCATTCTCATTTCTCTCGGTTCGGTAAGCAATACGGCCGCGCACAGTTGCTTTTGACATTTGGAGCACTTCCTTGATGCTTAAATCTACGCGCGGCTTGAAGCGGCCACCTCATGGTTGTCCTGCTCTGCCGGCCTTCCATTGCCGTCACTCTCTTCGGAGTCGTCATCGCTTGCGGGGTGGCTATCCGTCACTGTTCTTCGGTTCTTTGACATCTGCAATAACGGGGGCATGATGTCAGTATGGTAGCGATGGGGGCGATGAGAGAGAGCTTTGAGGAGTTAACGAACCCATGATTTCACACCACCAACCAATCCAAGCGCATAGCCGGTAATAAACTCCTTCGAGTTTCGCTCTCCAGGCGTGGTAGGAGATCGTGCAATATCGCTTCCTGAGCTGTTGAACCGGGCTGGGCTCTGTGGTCGACTGGTAGGCCAGAACTGCTTCAGTTCTCGGCTGAGCTCCTGGCCGGTCGTAGCCCAGTTGTTGGTGATATTGTCACGGAGGTCTTGCACGTGGCGCTTGAGGTCTATCTCGTTCTTCTTCAGCCAGCTGACATTGAGCTCCTGGCGAGAAGTGCCACGCCTAAACTGTCGAGTGATGTATTTTTCGTAATCACGGACGACCCTACGTAGACGTCAAGTTAGCCATTGAACAGAGCAACAACCATGGATATGTAGTAATTTGCGAGCAGCCAACTTACCTTGTAATGATGCCAGTGGTGCTGACACCTTCCGTTCGCTGCGTAACAAGGAACTTGCCGGCCTTCTTTATGGGTTGATAGATGTCGTCTCCCTCGTCTGCGCCGTACGGGATGTCGTCGTGGGCGACATAGTCGAGGCGGTGCTCTTCGAGAAACTCTGGGGTGACGATCCATGGACAGTCTTCAATCACTTCGTCTACCCATTTGCAGTGTCGCACGGACTCGGCGCGCTCCTTTGCAGACATGACCGTCAACCCCTTGCGCTTGTGGGTCTCACCATCGCCAGTGACGCCTACGACGAGGGTTGTGTCGGGGAAGGCCTTCTTCGCTTGCTCAAGCTGGCGCATGTGTCTAGCGATCCGGTCAGTTACGTCGCCCACTCTGGCTTTGAAAGCAACACCAATGCATGTCTTGTCAAATGCAAGCACTTACCCAAGGTGGAACAGGTCAAAGACTCCGTCTGCGTATACTCTCACGGTGCGGCCAACCGGAGGGGCATTTGTCTTGAAGCCCACGGGATGCGTGAGTTCGCCAATGGGCGGTGGGGCCATCGTCTTCTTCTTCTCCTCCTCGACATCCTTGGATACGCTCTTCCGCGCTTTGCGGCCAACCCTCTCAGCAATGTCGACACTAGCTTCAGTGGTGTCACTGGGCTCACCAGGATCGAGCACGTTGTTGCTGTTGCCATTGTCCAGAACTCGCTCTGGATTGGCCCGTTGTCTCTTGTTAGGGTTCAAGCTCGTGCCATTGGCGGATCGTCTGGTTTGTCGCGACGACTCTGGTGCGGTGGTATCGCCCTCCTCGCCCGAGGCATCTCGCGAGGATGTCTGCAGAGCGCCGTCCTGTAGGTTGCGGTCGGCGACGGCGGCAGCGGTTCTCTTGCGCTTGCCGCTGTGGGAGGATCCTGATGGCGATGACATGTTGGCGACGGAAAAAGGCGATGCTGGGTCGGGCCTCGACGCAGCCTGACGTATCTGACGTAGGTGGTCCAACTTTTTTGCGTGGCTCTCTCGTGTGTTCCGCAGCGAGAAAAGCAGCTCGCGATAGCTTCTCCAGCAGATGTGAAGCTCCTTATCCTAGACGTACATGGACATGCAAAGCACAAAAAAAAAACACGCTGTTGTCTGGCTTGGCTTCACTCGTGACGCTCGCGTGCGCAATATGTGGAGAGAAGGCCCCGGGGAATTGACGCTGAAAGTTAGAATTCTAACCGGGGAGCTTGTGATTTTACCCACCTTTGAGGTCGGCACCAAAAATCAAATTTCCCACAGCCCAGCGAGCTGCCCGCACTCCATAATGACAGGTGGCGTGACCATACTGAAAAGGGGTTGTGAATTAATGCCAAAGTAGGCAACGCCGTATTCGGGTCCCAGCAGTTAATTTCTCATATTCATGTGCACCTTTCTATTCTACGCTGCAAAATGCTACCTTGACAATGGGCATGAGGCACTATCCCGTACTATCATCCTGGTTTTTCCCGCAGTGCTGGGTCTGAAATGGAGTACCTAGGCGATTCCTTAGCTCAGTTGTTGGGGCGGACTTGGCGCTCGCAGCTCTTTGAATTCCAAGACACCATGCTACCTGTCTTGAATCACATGCGTGGTCCATATTTGCAATTGAGATGTCAATGTGCTGTGACAAGTCAATTACATGTAACTAGCTGTAGAGCAGAAAAAGGGAGAGCCTTTGATCCTTCACCGTTTCATAGACCCAACACCAAAGAAGAAGAGAAAAATAGATGATGCTACAATCACGTGTCAGTGATACAAAAGATCTCGATCTTCCTTTTCCTTCTCCCGCTAGCAAGTGGTATCCATTGCTTGTCTTGGACCAGGTTCTTCCCCAACAAAAGCATGGAAAATCGTTATTTCATTTCCGCATCACTGCTGCACAGACCACGGAGCATTACTGCGGTTACATACGAGGCGGCCAGAGCGGCGTTGCAATAGGGGGGTTGAGTGGGATATCCCTTTCACTTGTTCCTCTCCAGGGATCAAAAAGATGCTAGTACGAGATAGTTTCTACGCTGCTCCGCTTCATCCTTGGTCAGGAGTTTCACAAGGCTGTGGCGAACTGCATTCAGCCCAGAGATCAATTCAGGGTAAGATGAGCATCGAGTGAGCATCGACGGGTGCTGGGAAACTTAAATATTACCTACGATGTAGAGTTAATCGCTGGTCTTGGCATTGATGATGGGCGCTACGTCATATCGTTGACGACATGTGTTCTTATCGCCTTGTCTTGGACCTTGGTGCCGCTCAGATGGGCCGGGTGTTTCTATTTCTGTCATGGACGTGCGGATTCCGTTCCATACGTGTTGCTGGCGGATAGCATGATATCAGTTTACAAAAATTGCCGAGGACAATCTTCTTATCAAGTCATCGTCGTTTCAGCATTATAAACTGAACACCAAGTAGGCCTAACATCCCCTTTATGATAGCAGCCGGGTGCATATAGGTCCAAGTCTTGCCTCGCACGCCAGATATTGACAGTCTTCTGCGCAGTACCACCTGCCAACCCCAGACCAACTCGCTGCAGATTCTTGCGTCAGCAAGCCAGTCTGATAGGACCAAAGCATGGCTGCCACGAAGACAAAGTGGGATCTGTCTTAGACGCTGCATACTGTCTGCAAGCCCTTTCCCGAGCCCTCACACAAGCGAGTGCGAGTGCAGGCGAATCCTATGCCTCACGAAGACGGCGCATTACAGCTTATTGCTACTACTGCTATTACTGTTACTGCTACTACCGCTACCGCTACTGCTACTAATGTTATTGCTACCGCTACTGTTACCGCTACCAATGCTACTGCTACTGCTACTAGCAGGAGCTGCATAATTGAGAGATATATTGCGTGGTTGGTGAAACAGGGCGCCTTCATGTGCCTTCTGTCTCGCGCAATCCGGTGGGTGCTATTGGCTCGGGCCGTCAGTCATTAAAAGTCCGCAGTGACGCCACCCAAGGTTTTCCGTATCTGCATGTTTGAGTGCATCCCTCCGCTGGCGAGTAAGTAGAGCACTGTTGGCTGCAGCTGTGGTGCGACTGAGACGCCGTAGCTATTTACGTAGATCACGTCAGAAGGGTATGGCCAACCCCAGAGCTGAGCAGTAGCTCCGACAGTATAAGCTGGAGCAGACAAGCACTGTGGTTTAGAGACACGCAATGACGTCGCGATGAAACCTGGGCTGTCCGCACCGCGCCGTCAAGAGGCCTCGAACTCTGCGAGTTATTGCGCTTGGCCGCGCCTGATTACTATGGACGGACTGGAATGAGCACAGTCAAGAATTCTTCAACAGAGTTATCGTCAGTGCAGCTTTTTTTCCTTGCTAGGGTTGGTGCATCTAGCCAGAGTAGTACCGAGGCCCGGCCCTTTGAGCCGCCTTGGATCCATTCAGATGGATATTTTGGCCTCTGCCAACATGCGCCGCTGCCATGGCCTTCTCGCTTCTTAATAAAGTGGAGGCAGGACCCCAGGGCGGTATCGAGTGATAAACGGAGGCCATCCGGAGGCTGATGTTCTTTTGCTAATTTCACGAGCGGTGGCCTCTCAGCCGTTGCTATTAAAAGGGAATCGCCAGCTGTCCTTGCGCAGCTGCAAATCCTCACTAAAGCGCCCTAGCTGAGTCCACGACTCGGAGCTTTTGCAGCACAGTGCGCCTCCAACTGTTGTCGCCATCGCCAGCACTGCCCGCCGCCAACCAGCTCCCGTAGCGCCTGCTTCGGGGCCCTCCTCTCCCTACAAATCGATCGATCACAACATACAGTAGCGACTTGAGTGTGTGTAGCTCTCTACCCACTTAAGCTTGCACAAGCTTCGCCTTTGCAATGCGTATCCTCCCGAACCGCCTGCTCTCCTCCTCTCCATCCCCATCCATCGGTGCGAATTCGAGAAGCGAGAGCCCAATGCGACCAAAGAACGACGGCTCCGGCCTCACGGGCAGTCCAGCCTCTGGACTGGCCCTCAAGGTGGTCATTATGCGGGTATGGCCATGGCTTTGCAGCCTCCTCGAGAGTGGTATTGTACTAAGACGTGAGGCTTCATAGGCAAGGAATCTGGCAGCCAAGGACCGTAGCGGGACCTCGGATCCGGTAAGTACATGTGGCAGGAACACTTCCACCATTGCGACTTGATCACGAGCTGGTCCAACGCGCATAGTTGAGGCGATAATCGCCGCAATTTGCCAAATCCCCCCCTTTCTCCTTCTCCCAATGCTTTGCCTTTACATAGCCAACACTTCGCATTTTTCAATCATGAACAACAGCTTACAAACAAACTTGTCTGTCTTATAGTATCTTGTGGTCACACTTGGCGACTCTCGGGTTGTCACTCACTCCGTCCCCAAAACGCTGAATCCCGAGTGGAACGTTATCGAAGAGCTGCCCATCAGCTCTGTACAAAGTCTGGTTCTCGACGTCATTTGCTGGGACAAGGACCGTTTTGGCAAGGATTATCTCGGCGAGTTTGATTTGGCGCTCGAGGAGATCTTCCAGAACGAGCAACCCGAGCAGGAGCCGCGATGGTTTCCCCTCAAGAGCAAGCGGCCCGGCAAGAAGACGAGCATCGTTTCCGGCGAGGTGCAGCTCCAGTTCACTCTGTTTGACGCCACAGACCCTACCATCTCTCACCAGCAGTTGTTTGAAAAGTTCTATGCTCTTGTTGGCTCGGTCCCTGTCGGCTCGTCCCGAAATGTCACACCAACCGAGACCCCACTACTATCTCCGAACGGGACAACGCGATTGGGAGTCGCATCGTCTCACGATGACGATGACGATGAGGACGATCTTACTGAGCTTGAGGAGGATATTGGCGACGATGCTGAAGACCCCTCCAAACCAGAGACTGCCGAGAAGCGTCGGCGGCGCCTCCGCATCAAAGGCCTGAAAAAGAAGAGACGGCAGAATCCCTACGCTTTGACAAATGGGGAGTCTGATGTTGTGGGAATCATCTATCTTGAAATCTCCAAGATCACAGATCTTCCACCCGAGTCCAACTTGACCCGGACAGGCTTCGATATGGACCCGTTCGTTGTCGCATCTCTTGGCAAGAAGACGTACCGCACGAGGCGGGTTCGACACAACCTCAACCCAGTTTTCAACGAAAAGATGATTTTTCCTGTCCAGGGCCACGAGAAGCAATATTCATTCGCTTTCACAGTCATTGATCATGATAAATACTCTGGCAACGACTTCATCGCCTCTTGCAACCTGCCCATCCAGACGCTTATAGAAAAAGCGCCACAGGCAGACCCGGAAACAGGGCTGTACGAGGTTCGAACTCCAGAGCCAGAGACACCCGCCCCAATTGCCACAAAGTCTCGCCTCCAACGTCTTGGAGTGTCTCGTTCTTCGTCGACATCGAGCTTAAGCAAGATGATGCGGTCACAAGCGTCACCCCCTCGATCTGTTCCTTCAAATGGCGACGGAGCTGGTCCACAGTCTAGCAACACGTCATTGTCACCCCCGGATGCTCTCAATAACAACGTCGTTGAAGCACCACCGGAGATGGACTCGGAAGATAATGATCTCGCAGAGTACTCTATACCATTGAAGATGAAGAACCTGGACAAGTGGGAAAGCAAGCACAACCCAATCATCTACCTCAAGGCCAAGTATGTGCCATATCCAGCTCTCCGCCAGCAGTTTTGGCGAGCGCTGTTAAAACAGTACGATACAGACGAAAGTGGCCTCATTAGCAGGATTGAGCTAAGCACGATGCTTGATACTCTTGGCTCTACCTTGAAAGATTCCACAATCGACAGCTTCTTTTCCCGCTTCCCTCACAAGGCTGCTGATAACGAAGACTCGTGGGAGCTGACCTTTGACGAAGCCGTCCTCTGTCTCGAAGATCAACTGCAAGCCAAGAGCCGATCTGGTTCCAAGTCTTCTACTCTGGACGTCAAGAACCTCAGCCTTTCTGGCAGGTCTGATGATTCGGTCGGACAGCCGGGCGGCTCGGGAGATTCAACGCCTCAGATTATGGTTGAGCCACCAGCCGAGGCCACCACGCCAAACGACGAAGGCGAAGAGGGGTATTTTGACACCGAAGACAACAAGGAAGAGCATGTTGTGGAGATTCGGGAATGCCCCATCTGCCACCAACCCCGTCTCAACAAACGCAGTGACGGCGATATCATTACACACATTGCTACGTGTGCTAGTCAAGACTGGCGCCAGGTCAACACTGTCCTCGCGGGAGGTTTCGTCACAGCCAGCCAAGCACAGAGGAAATGGTACTCAAAAGTCATTACCAAAATATCCTACGGTGGATATAAACTTGGTGCCAACTCGGCAAATATTCTGGTTCAGGATCGCCTCACTGGGCAGATTAACGAGGAGAAGATGAGCATTTATGTGCGGCTGGGCATTCGACTACTTTACAAGGGTCTGAAATCTCGAGACATGGAGAATAAGCGCAGTAAGTGATGCATTAATTAATTTTTTTTAGCAAAGCAAAAAGAATGAGGGTTTACTGAGTTTGACTAACGATTGGATTTCTAGTTCGGAGAATGCTAAAGAATTTGAGCATCAAGCAGGGCAAGAAGTTTGATGATCCTGCTTCGCGAGATGAAATCGAAAAGTTCATCGAATTTCATCGACTAGACATGTCTGAGGTCTTGCTGCCGATTGAAGAATTCAAGAACTTCAACGAGTTTTTCTATCGTGCGCTTAAGCCTGGGGCCAGGCCGTGCTCGGCGCCGGACAACCCTCACATCATCGTCTCGCCAGCAGACTGTCGAAGCGTCGTCTTCAACCAAATCACCCAGGCGACTAAGATTTGGGTAAAGGGCCGCGAATTCAACATGAAGAGGCTACTTGGGGATGCTTACCCGGACGACGTCTCGCGATTTGAGAATGGTGCGCTGGGCATCTTCCGACTGGCCCCTCAAGATTATCACAGATTCCATATTCCCGTGGATGGCGTCATGGGTAAACCCAAGACCATTGCCGGCGAGTATTACACGGTGAACCCGATGGCGATTCGTTCAGCATTGGATGTTTACGGTGAGAATGTGAGAGTGCTGGTGCCGATTGATAGTGAAGTCCACGGGCGGGTCATGGTCATCTGTGTCGGTGCCATGATGGTGGGCAGCACAGTCATTACACGCAATGAAGGCGAGCGTGTGCGTCGCGCTGAGGAGCTTGGCTACTTTGCATTTGGCGGTAGCACACTGCTGGTGCTATTTGAACCCGGCAAGATGCGATTCGACGATGATCTCGTGGATAATTCTAACGGAGCTCTCGAGACATTGGTGAGTCTTGTTACACTTGTTGAAAATGACAGACAGATTGCTTACATTGTGATTTTTCCTATTGCAGATTCGAGTCGGTATGTCAGTTGGCCACTCGCCTAACCAAGCACAGTGGACTCCAGACATGCGGAAGAATGAGAAGGACATCACGGAGGCAGACAAGCAGGATGCGAAGCGACGAATCCAGGGCAGTGCGGCGATGGAAGAGGAGTCGCCCGGAGACAGTGGCAATGATGATCGGGCCAAGAAAAGAATGTCCATGCCACCCACTATCAACACAATGGCAGCATCAGCCCTGTAGCAAGGGATGGCGAGGACAGACCATGATCGTGCCTGATCAGTTTGATAACGGCTACTGTACATTGAGGCTGAGAGATGATTGCTGTCATTGGATACAACTTGCATGGAAACTTGAGGATTAAGGACATTAGCATGTTTACTAGCAGATTACAACGTGGCGCTTCAGCAGCATATATATGTGTGTTTTGTTTTGAAACATGGAATTTTATTTCTCGATTGCTATAACTCCCTAATCGTAAGGGACGATGCCCTTTCCCAAGCAAAGTAAACCGAGTCGGATTGAAAATGGTACGTGAAAGTCGGATGGCAGTTGCACGGTGATGCCCGCCTACTAGACGAGTCAATAAGTTGACTCCTGGTAGTGAGATTCCCATCGCGTGAAATGCCGGGTATGTTGATTAATACGAGATAGAAATATGATGATGATGCAAGCAAAACAGTTTATCCCTGGATTCCCTTGAAACACGATATCGCCAAGACACTTGGAGAAAAGACAAGAAGGAAAAAAAGAAACGAAAACACATAACAAGACTCTTTTCAAGTCATAACTGGACGCTCCCATCAACATCAATGCCTAGATGGCGAAGACGAAAGTGACGATGAACTCGACGAGTTTGAAGATGTGCTTCCTCTCCGCTCGGGAATCTTTTCAGGCGTGGGAGAGCGGGACGGCAGCAGCATGGATGATGAAGCTGAGGTTGAGGGAGCGGCTGACTTGACTGCTGCTTCTGTCGTGGCGTTTTGGCGACGGGATTGGTTCCATGATGTGTAGAATTGGCGGCACAGGTGTGCGGACATTGTGTATGTGGGAGACATTTTTTGTTGTGTGAATTTTGTGAGGGAGCCTACGATAGAGATGAGGCTTGCTGTAAGGAAAAGATATGTGCGTGTGTTGAAAAGGGGGGGCCCTTTTTCAGTGTGAGATTTTATCGTATGTTCAATGTGTGAGACTGTTTGTTGGTGTGTGCTGTAGTCTATTTGTCTTTTGCTGATCTTGGAGTTTCTTTTGGGCGAGATGTTCCAAATAGGAAAGAAGACGGCAAAAATAGAAGGAAGAAGAGCAGGAAGAATATTAAAAAAAAGAAAAGAAGAATAGAATAGAAATGTGAAGGGAAGCTGGTTTAAGAAAGCTGGATGAGCCCATCAGCCAGGCCGCCTAATCATTATTAATAAAGTGTAATACGGAGTACTCCGTTTTTTTCGCACCCCATGCTACTTTGTATGCTGAGCGGCAAGGTCTCTGTTTCGTGTCGTGTACTGTGGGCTGCCCTTTTTGCCAGCACATAAGGTAGACTATGGGGTATTATTTTATGTATTTTTTTTTATTATTATTTTTTTCTTTAGTTTGGAAATATTTTTTTCCCTTTTTTTTTCGTTTGTTGCTTCGCTTTTTTTGTTGAATGTAAGGTTATTTGCAGAGACAAGCCGAGAGATAACAGACAATACACAGCACAGTCCCGTCTTACCTTGATGGACGTACAAGCCACACAGTGGTAGCATTAGGCAGCATAACCACCCGGAAAACAAGGAAAATATACTTGATCGTCTACATCCTCCACGCATACAATTTCGCCCAGAACAGAAGGCCCTGCGGTCGATCTACGCAGGTACCCTCCCTTGTACCTATTACCGATCCGGCAAGTAGCCATGTCATAAACCCGCCAACAAGGAAAAAAAAAGAACACAAAGAAAGAGACCAAGCACACGAGCAGAGTCACATCACATCATGGTTGCGTTAAAAGTCGTTCCACCGCCAGGGGTCTGGGAGAATAAAAATCCTTATTAAAACAAAAAAGAGAGAGTGAGTGGCCAATCGGGTGCTCGGAATGAGGCGGGACTGCCTGTTTGGGATCCAGAGAAAAACTACTGGTTTTGGTGTAAGCCCAACTCTCTCACTCCCCCCTTCTTCATTCTTTTTTTTTTTTGCGAGTCACGTAAGCAGATCGTTGTGGACCGTTGTTCGTTATAGGCATTATTTTACCGAGCCGATCCCCCCTCCCCTTTAGCACCTTATTTTGTCTGGGCATCATTTTTTTTATACACATTTTTCTGCCTCGTAGGATTTGCGTTGTGCATCTTTCATCTTACACAGTGACTCGCTTAGACAGACGGTGTGAGATTTTTTTTTTTTTTCCTTTCGTACTCGTAGTCGGTGATAAGAGGGGATCTGCCACGGAGCCGTTGTAGCATGATATTTGCTGTACCTACAAATGTACCTTTTATTATTTAACGGGAATTACAGTAGTGCTATACTAGATGATTAGCATACGGAAACTAGAGTCGAAACCCAATTGAGCGCCACCCAATAGTGCTAAAACATATCACACGATGCCCCTAAAATGATGCAACGCCCCCCGTCGAATTCGCGAGTTTGCTGTCCAATCACCTTCTCTCTAATTATGCTGACCTTCTTTTGTTTCCCTTGGGGGGGGTGGGTGGCGGGAAGAGGACCTGGACCTGGGGCCTCAGCCACTCCGGCTGGTTGGGTAAAGGCTCTTCCCTTTCCAGCTTCTGTGCCCATGACTTAACTGCTGGGAGTGTAAAGTACGCAGACGGAGATTACGGAAGTGGAGGCAAAGGGAATAGTAGAATTGTTCACTAAGCATAGTCTGGTGCTGGTGACTGATGTGCTGACACATGACTGATATGTGTAAGTCAATCAACGGCATTGAGTCACGGCCGAGAAGTTGCTTTGCAAGCAGTCCCTACAGAAAGAATGACAAAGTGACCGAAGCAGACAGCCACATATTCACTCTTCATCGTACATAATTCATAATAGCACTTTTCCGAGGCTCATTCATCCATTCAAGACGTTAACAATAGTCATCAAATCCAGCTGTGCTCATAACATTTACAGACATAGTTATGTATATGCTTTATTGATAACCACTACTCATACACGATAGTAATAAGCCAATTGTTTCAAACCCAACAGCTGTTCCTGCTCTTTACGTATACATTGTTGTTCCAAATGATAGAGAGCAAGTGAAAATAAAGAAAAGAATGCCAACTTTTCGTATGCTTTTTGGATGAGGTAGAGGACCAGATAGCAATGTCCATCTCACCATGCAGAACAGAAAGAAAGGCAAAGACGCGGGAAATTAGAAATAGAGATAAAAGATAATTCCATAGGAAAAATTCTTATACCCATTCAAATTCCTCCCTCCTTGCCAGGTACACACACACACGCCTAACAAACCAGTCATAACCATTGATTGCTAATCCACTATAAATAAAAATAAATAAAAATCCTTCCTCTGAGGAGGGATAAAAAAAAAGAGCGCCGTTGCCATGCATTTTTGTCGCTAGCAGCAATATCCAAAAATTTCAGAACGCGACTCTTCATATCTTCAGGAAAAGACAGATGAGACATGAAAAAAAAAAATGAAAAAAGACAATAACGTAGGGAAATCATATAAAATTTATCATGGAGACAAGTCGGGAAGACAGAAGGAAAGTCGCCAGAAAAGTGTCATTTGCGAATCTGTGCGACATCTTAGTCTGCAATGGCGCTGTCGTTATCTCGAGCCAGCTGTGGCTTCTCTCCATTCTTTTCGGTACCTGGCAAGTTGATGTTGGCTCGAGCCTTGCCTTGCGCTTCCACAAATCTGTCCCAGTATTCGGGGTCGCTCTCCTTCAATGCCGCAAACAGCATATCCTTGTGGTCCTTGAATGCCTGAACGGCGCCCTTCTGCTTGGCTAGTTCCAGGAACTCACCACCAACATCGTCTGCAAGATCGGCCAGCACACGGACGTGGTTGGGATCGTTTTCCACGTCGTCGAGGGTGGAGAGAAGGTTGACATGGTCGGTAATACCGGATCGGAATCTGTGACCGACACGGTGCACGCGACCTTCTTCCTCGGCCAGCTTCCTGCCCAGTATGGAGTTGCTACGCGAGAGGGGTCTAGGCTCACGAAGTTCGCCCTCTTCCTCGACGTCTGAGCCAACTGCCACCGCATCGTCTCCAGCAGGTGGCGACGATGATAATACCTCCTTCTCCCCTTGAGCTATCGGTACATGGGGTACTGCGTCCTCGGGATGCTCGCGAGTGTCGGGATACTCATCCTCAAATCGTTTGATGATACCTTGCAGCGTATCGTCCAGGAACGTCAGCTTCCGCAGGTTCAGCTCATCACTCGGGTTGCTTCTGGCTTTATTCAATGCCGGCTGGAGACGAAGACGGATCTTGCGAGCGCCGGCAAGCAAGTGTTTCGAGAAATCCTTGGCCTTGCCACCAGTCTTAAGTTTGGGCCCAATAAAGGGTTCTTCGTCCGTAGAGCTGAGTTCCCGTAGGAATTCACCAGACGCCCGGCGGGATTCATCGCCGCGGTTCTTGAGGCAGCAAGCAAGTGCTTTGACCACGCCTGTACCGCCGATGACGTAGTCTTCGTCCGGTCCTGAACCGTCGTCTTCCAGATCATCTTGGAAGAGGACATCTTGGCCGACAATATGTGCGAGCACATCAGGATAGGAGGCGAGTTTGGTATCGACAGGCTCTCCCTTTGCCTCGGCGAGCGCCGCGGTCACCGCCTTGTTAATCTCGGCATCATGCAGATGTTCAATGTTCTGCAAGCAGTAAGCCACAACTTGCTTTGCCATCGCCTTGACAATTTCGCCAGAGTCTTCACTAGGAACTTCGATATCCACGCATATCATGCTCTTAGACAGCCTTGCGGCAGCCATTAGCGATGCATACAGCGCGCAGGCTTCCTCTTGCGCTTCCTCCGTCTTGGCGTTGGCCAGAGCCATGATCTCGGTGTTTCCAAGAAGACTGAGGTGGCAGAGGTGTTGAGCTTCTGGCACAACTTCGACGATTGCAATGGCCTGCTCAGAGGTCATGCCGACATCAGACAGGTGTAGCCGTTTGAGAGTTTGCATTTTGGGTAGATATCTGCAATCGCGTTAGCTCTTCATTCGCCTTTGTCGTAAATGATTCAATGAGCCCAAATTCTCTTACCTTCTAAGTAGACCAACGGCATTGGGTGTTGATTGGAACAGATCATGGTTGTGCGAAAGGTCAATGAAGACGAGATGCTCTAGCTTGGCCAAAATGGGCAAGATCTTGCACAGAGTCGAGGGATTGATGTTGCAGTCAGACATGCTCAACGCCCATAGCGGGTCCGTTTCCTTGATTGACGAGGCAATAACATCCATGTGTTCCTTGAGATCGATCCCGCCTAGATCAAGCCCTTCGCATTTTCCAGACTCCAGATATCTTACCACATGCTGGGCACCCTCTGCGTCGAGCGGGTTGCGAGCCATGCCGAGCCGCTTGATGCCACACTTAATCACACCGTCTATGACTTTGCCGAGTTGCTCCATGCTGGGTTCGGTCTCGCCGATACTAAGCATCTCGAGAGTCGATCCAGTTGGGCGATTTGCGAGGGCCTTGGAAAAGATGTCTCCTATGGTTAGAGGCAGATGGACGCCGTTCTGAAGAGCGCCGTTTGCATTGGCGGGCGCTTGGCGTGGGAAGGGGTTACAGGAGAGATCGAGATACTTGAGCGACCGGCACTTGTAGATGAAGAGCGAAATGTGCTTCCAGCCATCCGGGCCTAGCTTGTTTTCTTTCAGGACAAGTCTCTCGATCACTCCACCCATTTCCTGAGGGAGAAATTTCGATTTCCTGCGCTTCGACGGTTCTGCGTTTTTCGCTGCCAAGAGGCCAGCAAGGATGACTCGAACGCCTTCATCGCTAAGGCCGCTGTTTTGCAGAATAATTTCTTTCACAGGAACAACAGCAAGATAATCGCCCAGTGTAATGAGATCCTGCAGCTGCATGAAGTAGCCTGTTAAATCTATCTTGTTCACACAGCCGTTGGGCGTAACATTGTTGGCATCGCTCAACTGCTCAGTGATTTTCTTAAGAATGGGCGTTTCGCGAAGTTGACAACATCTGCGATAGACTCTGACCGGGCATGTCGTCGAATACTTGCCATTGAGCAACTCTAAAGAGCCAGCGGTGTCGTAATGAATCTCTATGGGAATGCTTCCGTTTTCCTCGGCAAGTCGCCGCCTCTTTTCTTTTCTAGCTTTGCGTTCTTCTTCGCTTCGCTTCTTCTTCTCCTTCTTTCTTGTTGTGTCCTTTGGAGGGGCATTTGAGTCGTCTGGGCTGTCCGTCTCCTTTGCGCCATTGGTCGTCGGCTTGGTTTCCTTGGTCTCGGCTGCTTCGCGAGTTTTGGCCTCAGATGTGACACTCTCTGTTGAGGAGGAAGATGCTTCTTTTTGCGCCTCGGCAGTTTTGGGATGCTTCAATGCCTCCCCTTCGCCCTTTTCGCTCAGCTTTTTCTTCTGAGCATGGTCGGCCGTTAGTTTAGGCTCTGCTTCGGCATCCGCATACTTTGGCATTGGTGCAACCTCGACATCAACGAGGAAAGACACCCGTCTCAGCTTGTTCTCCTTCAACTCCGAAATAGGACACCTCTCTCGACCACGATCCACATTCAAAACGCGGCGTTCCACCAAGCCGTGGTTCATCTTGCCGGTGGGGCCAAGGGGACCGCCTCCTGATGAAGAAGACAGGCGGCGAAATACGCCGAGTAATCCAGCCTGACCGGATTTCGGTGGGGCGGGCGTGTACGGTTCATCTCCTTCCGGCTTGAGTCCATGCTGGAGAACAGCGTTCTTGGTTGGCGTAATCTTGGGCACGGGAGGATCCGGGCTTGTTGAAGGCGCCGGTTGTTGTTGCTGTTGTTGTTGCGGAGGCGGCGGCTGCTGGGACTGTTGATGTTGAGTATGGCCTAGTACATTCCCATTTCCATTTGCTTGGGGAGCTGCTGAGCTTGAAAATTTGGCCGAGATGTTGGAGAACCATGAGTTACGTCGGTGAGGCGGTGTCGCGCTGGAACTGTTCTTTTCAATTGAGCCCGATCGCGAGAGACGCCGGGCGTTGCTTGAGCCATTGACGGGAATTGGCTGTGTTTGGCCGGCGGGTTTCCCGTTGGCTTCAGGCTTTCCATTGACCTCAGGCTTGGCCTCGGCCTTCTCTGCGGTTGAGGAAGGGCTCAGCTTGGGCGGGGAATTGCTGGGGACGCTTCGTGGTTGCACAGTCGCAACGGGGGATTTTGCGGGCGCGAAGACTGTCTTGTTGAATTTATCTATGCGAATTGTTAGTCTCCAATGTCCAATATCATTCATACGTCAAGCGACCATCATCGCGACGAAAGAATCTGAACACATGCGGGCAGCGAGAGGTGGCAAAGCGACATGCCTTTGGGCGAGCCCTGCGTCATCCAACTGACGTCGACGCCATGGACTTGTTCCATGTTGGAGGATTTACGCGACGCTCGCTCGCGGTTCGAGGGGTTGTGAGCGACGACGAATGATGCAGCGTTGTGGTGGAAATGAGCGAAAGGAGGGAGAAATAAGAGGCGGCGAAAAGGGCCTATAAGATGTGATCAAGGTTTGGATTACAATATCAGCCTCGACTCGACGGAAGCCCCGTGGCTGCTCCAGCTGCGTGCGATCTAGGCTGGGGTAAGGCGAAAAAGATGGGGGGAGCGCGAAAAAAAGACGTCAACTAAGCCCGCTGGAGCAGTGCTATCACTTAGCAGCATCCACTGTAGCGAGAGACCTGGCAGGCCAATAGCGGGGTAGATCCAGTGCCAGACAGACCCTCTGTGCAGCCGTTGACAGTCCAGCCGGCCCTTCTGCGCCCAGTAAGCTTGTGCTCTCCTTTGAGCCCGGGCGCGTCAACCTTGAAGCAGTACTGCGGATGTATCCCCTTAACAAGTCCGCCGCAACCGCCACCACGCTGAGCGTTAGTGCATCCGGCACGACCAAGTACCTCAACCTGCCAGCGCGCGGGACGCTTCCCACTCGGCTAGGCCCCCGGTAACTTTTTAATCACGAGCCCCTCCCCATTGAGTGCTTTTTGTTTGTCTCACTGAGCACAGCACAGTGCAATTGGCCGAATAACTTGGCTATTACTGGATTATATTCGCCACAGAGTCCCCCCCCTGGAACCATGGAGATCGCTGGCATGCGATCAAGTAAGAAACAAAGGATGAGAGGCGATTTCCTGCTGCCCGGATTCGTTACGTACTCGACACCCGCGCGTGACGATTTGCATGCCAGCCAAGTTTTTGTGCGTAGTGTAGCTGACTGCGCTCGCAAGCCACAAGACCTTTATTCCAGCTTTGATACCACCACTACCAGCAATACGGCACACGAAAATTTTATTCGAGCCTTTTTGTGGATTGAACTCTTTTAACGTGGCCCCAGTTTCTAAGCACTTGCCGTCTAGCTACCAGCCCGGCGCTGACAGGTCCCTGCGGTCTCCAAAAGTCTCTTTGTCCGCCATCGGATTGGCGCTTTCTGCTAGTGCCATGGGACCGATCCCGGATGCGCAGCCGTGATGTGATGCTTCGCAGAAAGTATACCAGGCACTCGCTGCGAGTACACGTATCGCCATGCTGCAGCCGTCATGGATCGTTTAGAACTACTGCGAGTCAAGAGCTCAGCAAGGCAGCGGTCGCTATGATGCGCAGGCGACAGTCCGTACAGTGTTCGTCCTACCGTAGAAGCTTCTGCTTGCTTCATGCAATTTCATGGCTTGTCTACCGAGCTCCGAGTGTGCCGAAAAGCCCGCCGGGATCAAGCGCAATCTTATAACCCTTAAAGCTGTGCATACACGTATCGGCGTCTCCTGAGCTCGAAAAGGGAAAATAACAGCTCAATCAACCTTGCCAGCTTTCATCAATGGGTCGATATAAAGGGCCCTTTTTCGGCTACAGAACTGGGTTAATGGCTCAAAATCACGAGAGCCTTGCTGCTGGCGAAACGCTTAGCACGTGAGCCCTGGGCATCCGAGTCTAGCGCAGGGACCGACTCAGCCAAATGAAGATCTTCTCTCATCTTTTCCTTGTTGCTTTCCATACTCACCTGTACGTCATTTTGTGTCAGGCGTAGCCACGGATCTGCCGCTGTGCAACCCCAAGTACCTGCTTAAATTGCTGGATACTCTATAGACCTATGACATAGGCCTATTGCATGTCTGATGTATAGCCATTCCCAGATATGGACGTACAGCTCGAATAAAACTGTATTCCTGCCAGCGGCCTCTTCGGGTAGTGTTGCAAAATACCGTCTTACATAGATACGTACGTACGTGTACTACATCCAGCTTGATGACTTCGCCGCCTTCGCAAAAAGTATCCTCGATGACTGCATAAGGGGAGTGAGGATATTGATTCCGTCAACGACAATGACGCCGCGGACCTATTGGGTGATTTTACACGCAACCCGGAACACGCGCCGAGTCTAGTAGTACATACATGCACTCGTACGTTAAACTGTCTCCGAACCTGACCTCGGGAATTCCCGATGCATGCCAGAAAGGGGTGGCGGCTGCTTAAACCGTCCAGTGCCCAGATGTAGACTCGACGAGATCGATGCGGAAATGTGCAGCTTTGCCGCGGGTATTGCAGCTCTGCAAGAGGTTCCAGATCGGTGGAAGCGGCATTTTTTTTTCTGTTAGTCTCCATGGAGAACGGAACAAGTTTGATTTACTTCTGGTTTTGGAGCTTGGATTCCACTCGGTAAGCGAATACGTGTAATTCAACTTGTGTGAATATTCTGTGGAAATGAGACGTCATTTGATGCCGGTCTGCGAAATACTCTGCAAGATTTACTCCTTACTATCCTCTTCTAATGCCAAGTTTGATCTATCAGAAATAGATTTCCTATTTCCGCGAACGAATAGTATAGTATTCAGGTAAGGAGGCGTATATGTTCCCTCAGATTATAGGTACAAGGCCTATAGGCCGAGCGGGTTTATTGGCGCAAAGCTAGAAACGCCTATAGTAGGAGTCAAAGAACCGCATACTTTTTCTCATAGTAACGCTACTAGGCGGGCGTGAAGGCTCAGGTTGCTAGCTGTTTCGAGAAAGAGAGAATGGAGATGCGGCTGCGATATTTTTTCCCCCTTTCTTTGTTTTATTCGGCATTGTTCGGCAAAGGAAGAATCGAGGGAAGGAAAAAGGGAGAGAAAAAAAAAAAAAACTCAGGGTAGGGTAGCTGCGAAATTGGCAGCAGTGGAGTGAAACATGAGTCGAGAATACTCCGATTCCATGGACTTGGTTGTTCACAAAGATGGGTGGAGTATACAGATCAAACTGCTCTCCAGGAATCAAGTTTAGTAAAAGAGACTAACCCTGTATTCAACAACACTCAGCAATTCAGAACTGCTATGTGTGTACTTCATATTCAATTTATAACTGACGCTGGCTTGGAGACTGACTTAGGTATATCCACCTATCGCTTGATTGGGTATCACTGTGATTGACATATGATTTTACTCGTACTGGATACTAGAGAAAATTGATGCACGAAGCAATGGATCGTAAGATCCGGAATCGAAGGTATCTTTTGATTTATTTTACCATGACCGACCCTTTCATTCCTGTAACTCCGGACCCAATATATCGAGAATCAAATTGCAACCTGCCTATATGCCATGCCCCATTTTTACTCCTCAGCCAGGATCTTCTGGATCTTGGCCTGGACGTTGGCAGCCTTCTCCGCCTTGGAGATTCTGGCAACCTTGTGCTGCTTGGAGATGGCCTTCCACTCCTCCTTGGTCTTCTTCTCACCCTCGGGCTTCTTGAAGGGGTCCTCACGGATGGCCTTGTGGGCCTCGGTGTAGAGGTCCTCGAGACCGTCGGCCTCAATGTCGTTCTCAATGTACTTGACGAACTGGCCGTTGTAGCGCTCCTCATCGTCGTCGGCCAGAGTCTCCATGTACTCGGCGACGTGGCCACCGTAGATGTACTTGCGGAGGGTCTCGGCGTCCAGCTCCTTGGACTCGATGTCGTAGCCAGGGAATCGCTTCTCGGAGTGGGGGATGAAGATACCACCGTCGGAAGCACCCTTGAGGGCACCGAAGACACGGGCACCGGTGGAGGTACGGGCAAGACCAACGTCGAGGAAGGCCTTGAAGGGGCGGCGCTCGCCATCATCGGTCTCGGCGGACTCGGTGAGGGTGAACTCACCGTCGGCCTCCTCAACACCGACAAAGGTCTTGTCGAGGCCGAGCTTGCTGAGGACACGGCGGGCGATCAGGAGACCGGTGGCGTAGGCGGCGGACCAGTTGGTCAGACCGTTGGTGATGCCGTAGGCCTTGAGCTCGTGGGCGTAGGCAGCGGCGAGGACCTTGTCACCAGAGATCTCAGAGCTGACGATCTGCATGATGATGTCCTTGTTGGTGAAGCGGACGACCAGGCGGTACTTGGGAGCATTGTACTTGTTCTTGGCCTGGGTGATGAGGCGCTTACGGGCATAGTAGTCGGTCTTGCCCTCACGTCTTCTCTTGTACTTAGTCTGGAAGCGACTGCATCAAATTATTAGCTGTATTCTCAACCGGCAGTTTTTATGAACATCTTTTTTTAGAAAATTGCATTCATTGCAAAAAAAAACTCACCTGTAGTACGCGTTGCTCTTGATGACCTTGCGGAAACCCTGTCAAGATAATCCCCGAGTCAGCAATTTGCGCTTCAGACTGCTCGTCTTTTATCCGAAGCAACTTGCGACGACTCTCAATTACGAGCAATTGAGGGCATTTCTGCCACTTTGCAATTGTGGAAAAGATCCCATTCACTGGGAATCTTCCTGATAGGCCTCAACTTACCATTTTGATGGTGATGCCTGGAGATGGCTGATGTGCTCCTCAAACTTGGGAAATTTGATGATGAGGATAGAGGAAGAAATCTTGGTGGGCTTATTTTTGAAGCCCTAAAATTTCTCGTGCGCTACCGCCTCGCCTAGCGCCGCACAGTTGAAGCCGGGTTGGGGACGAATCGCCTGGCAAGGTTGGGGACGAATCACCTGATATGCTTTGCTTGCTTTTTTGCCAGATTTGATTTCTTACTCAGCAATTTGTTTTTCTTATCTTATCGCTAAGTCGGCGTCGGTACCTGGGTACTTGTTCCCTGTGGAGCGCGGACCGAGGCACCGGCAAACTGTCTGGAATCTGGGGACGCTGGCTTGGCTGGATCGTTGCCGCCATTTCGGCTTGAATGCGAGTGAGCCGCTTCTTCTTTACATTGAGTGAACTTGTTTTTTTGGCATGGACCCTGAAAGCTACTCTGTTGATCAAATACTGGAAGCAATTGATATCGAAATGGAAAATCTGAAACCAAAGGTCCTTCTATTTGACATTGGCGGTGTTTGTGTAAGTCGCCCATCTAGGAACTCGGTTCTCGCGTCTGTAGCGCTACGCGCTGCCTTCGATGATGAAACCAAAATCAAGCCTCACTTTTTGATTTTGCTCAAAAATCTAACATTCATATGTATAGGTCAAGTCACCTTTCCAAGTCATTCTAGACTATGAACTTGGCTTAGGAATTCCGCCCGGCTGGGTAAACTATTCCATATCAAAATCTGGCCCAACCGGATACTGGCAGCGGATAGAGAGAGGAGACATTCCCATGGATGACACCTTCTTTGATGGATTCAACAAGGACCTGCATATTCAGAGCTTATGGGAAGAATTCTACAGGACACAGCAAGCAAAGAACCCGCGCCTAGCCAAGGAAACCCCTCCGTTACCAAAAATTGACGGTAAATGGCTGTTCAACGAGATGATGTCTGGCTCAGGCCCAGATTCGTACGATCCTTGGATGTTTCCAGCACTAGAAAAGCTCAGATCCAGCGGCAAGTATATCCTAGCAGCGCTGAGCAATACAGTCATCTTCCCGCCTGGCCACAAGCTGCACAAGCAAAACTTCTACGACGAGCCCGTCCGCCGGATATTCGACGTATTCATTTCGTCAGCCCACGTTGGTGTCAGGAAGCCGGATCCAAAGATGTACCAGCTCGCATTGGAAAGGCTTAATAGCTTTGTTAGGGAGAACGCAAGCGACCCGAAGCATCAAGGCAAAGGCTGGGAAGCTGGCATTTCACCAAAGGACATTGTTTTCTTAGATGACATTGGCGAGAATTTGAAAGAAGCGCGCAAGCAAGGGTTCAATACCATCAAAGTTCCTCTAGGCAGAACGTACGAAGCTGTCGAGGAGCTGGAGAAGATTACGGGGTTGTCGCTTGAGGGGCCGCATCCAAAGATACCCATCGAGCCGAAATACCGCGAGCCGCGGGCCAAAATATAGTGATGATTATAGGTTGATAACAGCGATGAGAATGAAGGGCACATTTGGAGTACTTTAAGAGCGAAAATGATTTGAATAGATGTATTGGGATAGAAATACACTTGGTTACATAGTAGTTACTGTGATTTCCATACACACATACCGTGGGCAGTCTGTCATTCTCACAAGTGCATCCTAGTATCCAAGATGCATGCCACCGCTGGCATACAAAACGCAGAACATCATACACCCTTTTATCCAGCGCGATTATCGATAAATAGTTTTAGAATTATGATAACAGCGGGAGCAGTTCATCCTTACTGCCTCTTTGTGAAAATAAAAGAATCTAGACATCATATATTAGCTTAGCCAGGTCATTTACTTGGGGGTATATGAGTTCGCACCTTTGTCGTCGATACCACCCTGGCGATATATCAAAGTATTTCCAATCGATGAATATTAATTGACGCCGTCCTTATCTGACGTCGTGTGTTCATCTGCCACTCCTATGGCTTTCCAGGTGCCATCAACAGCGATCTGAATCTTCTTAACTTTGCCCATGCGCTCCTCTAAAAGCTTGTCCCTTATTTGAACGAAATAGTCGTCTATTTGGAGGTTGCTGGGCCGAGCATCTTGGCCACATATCGGGCATCCCCAAGTATCGGCCATTGTTGGCTCGCCCGCTTCTGGGGACGATTTGCATGGGCGTGAATTTAGCCAGTTTTCCAAGTCGATACACTCAAGATGCCGACAATTGCGGCCTCGGACCGGGACGTCGAAAATTTTAGAACTAAAAGAGTCTGCGACTGAAACTGTCAAAGTGTCGCTGCTTATGATGACTTCATCTATATCTAGCTGTAGTCGCCTCTTGATCTCGGCCTTTGTCTGATCAACGCTAATATGAGGCGCAGAAGTCACCAAAGCGCGAGTAGAGTCATGATCTAGAGTGACAATGAGCTCTACAGCCATAAAATAGGCAATGTTTTCTTTAATATTTTGAGGAAAACTCGGCATGTGCACTCTTATTGTATTCACCCCTTTAACCAAAGCATCGGTCAGCTCTATGGGTAGGTCCTTATGAAAATGCTGCTTGAGAAGAGGAGAAATGATTTCGCCATTGAGTGATATAGTAATGTGTGACGGCCAGTAGGTACGGCTTGTAGCCCATTTTGCAGTGTCAAAAGCCCGTTCTTCATTATCACTCAGCTTATTGCGCCCACACATGCGGAGACGGTATCGTTGAGAGTGGTTGAAGTATCGGCTCACAGGCACTTCCATCGGTAACTCGCCCACAGGCAACTCAGATGGTTGGCTGGTAATAGGGCGTCGAGCCAGGTCTTCTTGCTCGATAAAAAACTCCAATCCACTGACTCCCATATGTATCTTCATCTCTGTTGGTTCCACCACGAATCTAGAGAGGAATTGGTAGTAACGGTTCTTCCCTGGGCTTGGGCCCGGGCTAGAGGAAACCCTTCGAGGGCTACGCACATGAGTCAGATGGAGGCCCGTTTGCAAGGATGTCCAATTATATGGACTAGTGGGATATTCCGTGGGAGGGGTTTGGTGAACCGTAAAGTGTCGGCGAAATCGATTGGGTGTAGGAGTACGAGACGCCTGGGACGCAGGCTGCTGTTGCAATTGTGTTTGATGAGATTGGGATGCTGGCGATATTTGCACAGGAGACTGATGAATACCGAGGCCCTGGGGAGTTGGGCCGGCCTGAGGTCTCTGAGCCGTCAAGTGGACAATGGCAGCCTGAGATTCCTGAGGCGCCTGGGAGATCGTTCTAGGTTGGGATCCCCGATCTATCTGAGGATCTGGTGACACTTGAATGCCTCGAGAATCATGGGAGCTTTGAGGACTCTGAAGAGCGGGAGAAGGAGCTTGCAGAGCTTGCTCTGGCTGCATATTTTGCGGATATGGCTGAGGGCATAGATGAGTTGAATCGCTGGGCTGCGATACTAGCAGGTGCATATTCTCTTGCTGTGAAATTCTTTCTGTTTGGACTGAAGGAGTCTGCGGAGTTGTTTGCGATTGGAGTAAAGCCGGTTGTGTGGAATATTGGAGATGCGGTGGTGTATCTCGAGCATCATCCGGCTGCTGTAATTGCCGTGGACCTGGCTGTTGTTGCGGCATCATTCGCTGTGGCTCAGCGCAAAGAGGCAGATTTGCCGGAGAAAGCAAAGCCTGATTCCCCTGAGCACGCTGTGTTGGTGACTTTGGGGCTAACGCTGGATACTGCAAACCTGATGATGAAGATTGGCTTTGGGGACTTGGCCTGGACAAACTGGGCTGGCCTGAGGCTGATTCAGGAGTAGATTGAAGCACAGGGACTTGCGGAGAGATTTGCTGAGGGATTTGCTGATGAGAGGGAACTTGTTGATGAGAAAGGACTTGCTGATGAGAAGGGATTTGCTGATGATTATGGGCCTGTTGATGATGAAGGGCCTCTTGATAGGTACGAAGAACTTGCTGGTGATGAGGGACTCGTCGATGAGGGACTTGTTGATGAGGGACTTGTTGATGAGCAAGAGCTTGCTGATGAGGAAGAGTTTGCGGGTGATGAAGAGCTTGCTGGAGCTGGGCTTGCTGCTGAAGAAAGGCTTGCTGCTGGAGGTAGACTTGCTGCTGGGAAAGGTGCTGAGGAACCTGTTGAAAGTTTTGCTGCGAAGTGACTGGAACATTTGTCTGAGGATTGTGCGCTCGAGTGTGTCGCGCTCGAGCTCGAGGATGCGTTTGAAGGTGAGGTTGAGCCTGGCCACGTGCTTGAACTTGGAACTGAGGGTGAGGATGAGCGTGAGCGTGAGCGTGAGCGTGAGCGTGAGGTTGAGGTTGAGGCTGAGGTTGAGGCTGAGGTGGGTATGGCAATGTTTGTGATGGAACGGAAGAATGCTGCTGCTGCTGCTGCTGCTGTGGTGGTATGCTATTAGTGCTATTTACGCTGTGATGGTAGTTGTTGTTCAGGGGCTGTGCTGCAAATTCCTGGTCCAGGTGGCCAGCTGGTGGTGCAGCTGCGGCCGGTCAGTCTCGCGAGCGTCTCTGCACAGCATGAAAGGGCATTGACGAACCTTGCATGGCAGCATGCGTTTGCTGTCGAATACTTTCAATAGTCTGTTGGTAACTCAGTTTCATCGATTGCCGAGCCTCGGCCACATCCGCAACAGGCTCGTTCAGCTCTGCATACAAGCGTTCTAGCTTCTGGTCCAGGTTGAAAAGAAGAGTAGCCTCGTTTGTGAATTGATTATCTGGCACTCCAATGATTCTGCGGCTGTGGACGAAGAGCTTGTTGGCCATGGTCAACGACGGGCATTTAAGCTGCTCGCGGATTTGGCTTTCCATCAGCGGCATCATTCGGGCCTGGGCGGCCTTGATCATCTCTGGCCATTGGGCAGAAAACGCGAGGATAAAGTCTTGGATCTGGCTCAGCACCTGAGGGACGCAGTGAACGTTCTCGTCCAACTCGGGGAATCCTGAAAACCACAGCCGATGAGGAGGCGAAATCCGCTCTTCATCTTTAAACATCACTCTCATCTGGACAAAGGCCCTATCAACGTCGTGGGCAGAAAGGTGTAAATCGCCATATACGGTCGACTTATCTACCAGCCAGCAACTGTAGTACCGATGAATTATGAGAAAAAACAAGTCTGCATTCACACAGGCCCCGTATAGCAGGCTGTATCGTGCCTTCTCTTCAGGGGCCATTGGCTCGTTTCCGGAAGCCCGCCCTCTTACTATCGTGGAAGCATGGAGCATGACATGTTGCAAAGGTCTTCGATATGGAGTAAGTTGCTGTGGTTGTTGTGGCTGTTGCGGCTGTTGCGCTGGTATCTGCTGAGCGACATGGCCAGCTTGATCACCCAAAGGCTGCCCAGAAGAGTCCTCGGGAGCGGCGTGAACAGCAACCGCTGTTTCCTCGACAGTAGCAGTTGAATGGGCGTCTACTCTGCCCTGGAAATGCTCGCTTGCGGATGTTGGACTTGTTTCGTCTGTTGGAGGCGGAGAAGGCAGCTCAGCTACTGCACTGAGAGCATCCGTGTTAGTATCGCTGAGCATAGATGAATGGGTATATCTCCTGAAAGGGCTCGAGAAATCCGAGGCACTTCAGAAGACTTAAAAGGGGCGAGATACTAATATCAAGTAGGAAGAGGCGGTTCGGGAAACGAGAACAGGAAGACCAACTATTGCTGAGGGCCGGCATATGGAGCGGCGGCAGTATATGAAGTCGGCCATGCATATTGCTTTGGTACTTGTATGTGCGAGTCTGGGGCCGGTGCGAGATCAGAGACCGGCGGGACAGGCGGCCAGGGTGGATTCTGGGTGTTGTTTGCGTTATCTGTTGGCTGTACATTCTGCGGATTCTGGTCACCATGCTTGCGTTTCTTTGTACGAGGCAGCCCAGCGTTACGGGGATAGCCTCTGGGCATAGTTGTTGGTCTGTTGGCGGGAAGGGTCTGTTGGCGGGAAGGATCTGTTAGGTACCGGGACTTGGACGGGTAGATGCGCATATGGAGCCGTGCTACTCACCAAGCAAGCGTCGATGTTATCAATTGATCTTTGCAATAACTTGAGTAAATGCTTGTGTAGGTAGTAGCGGTATTTGATTGTAGGAAGCTTGAATCTCAATAAGAGATGGCCGGATAAGTTGATGATAGAAAAATGTGTGATGAGGAAGGAAGCGATAGTGAATGAAGCAACAGAAGGAGGACCATACGCATGTGTACCTATTTATACCGAGTATCTACTAGTACCTTTCTACCTATCCTTTCAATAAGCCATCTGGTAGAATATGTACATGCATGTTTTACTCTACCTTGTAGCCATCACCGCTCACGGGCAGAGAGAACTAGCAAGATCGGCAATGGAGCCTCGACGTAATGCGGTCCTGTGAGAGAGACCATCGCAGCCAATGCCCGCGTGCTGGCAGAGACAAGAGCTGAACGTAGACGCAGAGTTGCGGGGATGTCAGTCGATGTACTGTTTGCCACACCCGGCTCTTTTCTTTTTCCCATGCAGCCAGCGTCGGTGAGGTAACACAAACATGCGGGACTATGCTTCCGGGAACCAGGTGCATGCATCCAGAGCCATGGCTCGTTGAGCGGTGAGAGCAGGCTCTGGACCAAGTTGCGAGCAATCAGAGGTACAACTTGCATGAAAGGATGTCCAGCTGCTGCTGTTTGTATGCACGAGTGTCTGGGCATGGAGTAGCTTCAAGGCGTGACTCTCGCAACTGTCTAGGATACTACGAGTAGGTACTCTATATGCTATGCTATTCGCACGTAGGTATGAACAAACTGGACTGTCTACAATATAAACTACCTTATATAGTTGAATATATCGAAATACCATGCTACAATAAGAAGTATATATGCACCGGTGGCATCAAACGCAGCCTTAGAAGCTCCCCCTCGACACTGAGGCTCCGGCCATGTGCTGGGCAGCAGCACAGACGGCCATCTGCATGTCGTAACCGCTGGGTGCCTGCTGATAGCAGCCGTCGATGAGCCAATACAGGGCGAGAGAGAAAGGGAAAAAAAAGAGACATTGGCAACCTAGTGCCTTTGATAGGGTGACCAGGAAGGGAGAGATTCGGTGACCAGGAGCTGCTGGGAGATCCCTGCCTGTCCTTTCTCATCTCATCCCGCTTTGTCGTGATATTATTAGACACCTTATCTTGTTTGCTTGCTGTTGCAGCCGCTAGTGATCCTGCTGCAAAAAGCAAACATGAACAATCAAATGTGAACACTCAAACACTCTGGTCGCCAGGGTGCGTGTACTGCATGTGCACATGTACATGTACTGATGTCGCTCCACCTGCGCCGCATCGCTCTAGGAGCCCTTCTCGAGAGTACATGTACCAAGTACATGTTCAGTCCTTGACCATCAGCCGCACAAAAGCGAACAGCATACGACAAGTTGGGTCCAAACAAACGATCCAGCCTCTGGGCTAGAGCGGAGGGCCCATCGCCGCATCCATGCTAACCGTTGCACCTAATGGCGGCCGAAACGAGAGTTGAACGCAGCTGTAGTGGGCAGGGCCAGAGCCTCGAAATACTGACGGCACCAAGGACGGGGGCAATTAATGGGCTGCATGCAGCTACTGCCACTAGTACCTGTGCTTGCAAGCCACACACGCTGCCCCGTATGGAGCTCGAGTCGCGGTACTGTAGCTCTACGGCTCTGGGCAGCCCCTGCAACAGCTCTGACGTGACGCCTGATGGTTGGACTCAGGTCATGCAGGGAGACGGTCGACGGAAAGGAATTGCTTGCGAGGTATGTGAAGTGAAGATAAAGCAATGCGGAGAAGAGAAGAGGAGGGAATCTCAAAGAAATTTGCTGTGTGCACAGTATGCTTGCCTCTGTACAGATTCACGGATGGGTAGAAATGCAGACAGTTGGTGCTGCTATAGTGGGAATATTTCATCAAATGTTTTCAAATCAATTCAACATTGAGAAAAAAGTTATCCGGCACCCCAACTGTGTTATCCAGCACTGCTGCTACTGCTGCTACTGCTGCTACTGCTATTTTGAAATGTGTTTGGCAGTGGTGGTGTACTTGTGTCTTGATACCTATGTGGACTGGCTGCCCTGCTGCGCTATAGCTGGGGTGTTGGATAATGAAACTGGGGTGCTGCATGACTCCCTTTTCTGATACTGCGTTCAACACACGAAATACGGGTATTGCTCGCATTACTTGCAGGACCTCCATCAGCCTGCCTGTTTCTCGCCTCCTCTTGAGCGTCCATTGTATCAGGTCGCAAGCAGGGAGTATGTAGTACATACAAGCGAGCGCGCACGTTCTGGGCCTCGTCGTGTTTTAGGCACCCAGTGGAGCCCAACAGTGCCGGGCAGCCTCTGCCAATGTCTCCCCGGGCTCCATTCCTGCAGCGCTCGCTCAGCTGTTTAGGGCACATTCCAGGTACGAGGTACCAGCTAGCCGCCGACAATGACAAGGCGCTGGGCTGCCGGCTAGATCTCGCTCGCCCCTGCCATTGGCTGCCGCCCTCCCGCCTGCCAGCAGCCCGCCCAATCGCACCGCGGCACGCTAAAAGCTCTTTCAACCATCCCGACTTCCACATCGCACAAGCCGTCCAATCATCCCCTGGTCCGACGAGCGCTTCATTCGACCGCACAGCCCTCTTGGCTTCTGCTTAGTCCTGGTTGCTCTGCTGGACTCGGCGCAGCGCCTCTCGCAGCATAGCATAGCATCGCATCGCATCGTATTGCAGCGCAGCGCAGCCACCGCGGGCCACCGGCGAGCCACGACCTTCCTCTGTGGCGCCCACATCTCACCAGCTCCCAACTCCCCTGTCTCCAGTCCCGAAGCCTTCGCAGGCTCAAAGGGGCGTCGACAGCTGCAACGCCTCCACGCGGCCGCGCTGCCAGACCGTACGAGACGCCATCTGAGACGACGAGCAAAGCGCGGCGCAGCACTCGGCCAGGCGATCGCAAACGCTCTGCTGCTGAGGCCGTCTCCTCCTCTCCTCGGCCCAACGCAGACTCGGAGCAGGGCCGTCGACAAAAATCTGATGGCCGCTATCGCCCATCACCATTCATGAAGCAGCATCTTCACCACTAGCCCATCTCCGAGCAAATAGCATCCGCATCCGCACGCGGCATCGATATCCGTCCCGCCCGCCCTCTGGCATCAGCCATCACGCATCTCGGAACCACTTTCGAGTTTTCATCTTTGCGGGCTACACTGCTCTTTGTTTGCTGCTTGTTTTCGCCGCACCAGCCCCCGCCATCGAAACAATGGCTTCGCGAGCACCGGCCGACGGGCCTTTCCGACCCGATGTGGGCGATGTTCTAATGGTGATTCGTACGTCTTCATTCTTCTTCCCAGCTCTTTGACAGGCCATTGCGCCAAGACTCTAACTATTCCCGCTCCGCTATGCAGATGACTTTCACGCCCGCAGCTCAGATGAACTGAGCCTCAAGAAGGGGGATCGAGTTGAGTTGCTAGAACGAGACGATGAATTTGGCGACGGCTGGTTTCTCGGTCGCCACTTCGCAAACAACAACACTGGCCTCTTTCCTGAAGGTAAGCAATTCTCCTTTCTGTCGAACTTCTCAACTGTTACGAGCTTCTACTGACTTTGTCTCGCTAGTTTATACCCGACCAACCCCAAGAGCCGTTTCGAACCCAACATCAACTCCTGCTTTCATTGCTTCGCAGCCACTTTCTCCATTGGTAGAAGTCACACAAGAAACCGCTCTCCAGGGCATCGCGAATGCTCCTGCATCGGCTAGCACGTCTACTGTGCCTTTAGCCTCAACCGAAACACCATCTGACAATCGGCCTTCTTTGCCCAAAGCTGAATCAGCCCCTGTGTCTGGCTTGGGTGGCATAGGCTCTCCCGTTTCCGGGCTGGGCAGAGGAGCCGCACTTTCGGGACAAGATGAAGTTCTCAGCGAAACCCTCAACGTCATCGACGAGCACATCACTCGCTTGCAGTCGCCGCCTGGCACCAGTACCATCAATGCTGCTGCTACAGACTCTGGTAGCGAATACAGTGTTGCTATTGACCACCGAATGTCGTACATCCAGGGTGAAGAGACGGACGAAGAAGAGGAAGCTGTACATAGTCGGGCCGAAGTTGTGGCTTGGTCTCCGGATGACGTGGCCGAATATCTCTTCACTGAGGGCGTCGAGAAGCATCACTGCGAAGTTTTCAGGGATCAAGAGATTTCTGGAGAAGTGCTACTGGGCATGGATCAGAGCTCCCTGTTCATCAAGGATTTTGATTTAGGCTCCGTAGGCCGGCGCCTCAAAACGTGGCAGAAGATTAAGAATCTCCAAGATGAGGTTAGCGGCGAAGAACCAGATGCAAGGCGAGCCACACATACCCGCGGTAGCGATGGCGGATCCGAGGACGCGACGAAACGAACGAGAAGTCGAACGAGCACCCTGACAGGGAACTCTATATCACGACCCACCTCTGTCCAGGCTAGACGCCTGTCCCTGGCCCAGTCATCTAACAAGGCTTCTCCAACTGCTCATATAACCCCAACAAACGGCACTCAGGAGAGCCCATCACGCACGCACTTCAAACGGCCGTCGGCGGCATCCATCCGAGACCTGAACCAGTCACGACGACATTCAGCATCGACAAACGCGAATCTATCTGCTGGTGATGGCGTACATAAGAAACAACCTTCCTTTGATCGAAACTGGACCCTTGGCGGCGCTGTCTCGCAGACCTCTCAAAGGCCACTTTCCTCAACGGGACTGCAAGAAATGCTGGGCACATCTGAGCCGGATCTCCAGGACTCAGCCGTTGAGCTAGACCGAGGCTACTTTTCTGGCACAGAGGTATTTGGAAAGAAGCGCAATGTTTTGCGGAAACGTGGCAGCGCTAACCATGGGCGACAACAGAGTTACGCAGACGAGCAGAGGGTGCGCAGCGCTACGGCGCTCTCCCGGCACTCGAGATACGGTAGCGTCGATTCTTTCCGGGATGGAGCGCCAAATGCCGCTCAGAAATACTACGGCATCTCGCCGACCCCCCACAAACGAACTGCCTCAGCAAACACGACGGATTCTGCTCGACCGCCGCCTCCAGCTAAAGATGGCCCAGCTCCGGCCGTCACCAAACTGGATACCGCGATCGGTTCAACTCACGCAGAAGCATCGCCAGTCTCCGGCAGACCCCAAGGCCTCAGTGCTGATTGGCTCACATCAATGGCCAAACCAGTTGGCAAAGCTGCCCGACCGGCTATGCGAGCCATCTCAGATAAGCTCACTTTTGATAGATCCAAGGGATCAACTGACCTCTCAGCCAATGATCCGTCTTCCATGCCTTCTCCAGTAAGAACAGGGTCTAGTACCCCCTCGGCTGGACAAAGCCTTGATCTCGACTCTCATGACGCGCTCAAAAGCCCCGTCACAGCGACAGCCCCTTCTAGCAAGAGCAGCAAGAAGAAGGGCAAAAAGGATACAAGTGCTTATACACAAGGCTTGTTAAAGATATCCCCTCAGGTCGCCATGAAGGACGCTGATTACTACGGCTGGATGAAAAAGAAGAGCTCTAACCTGATGACCACTTGGAAGCCCCGATTCTTTGTTCTCAAGGGACGACGGCTGGCATATTACTACTCTGAAGACGACGACCAAGAAAAGGGCCTCATTGACATCTCATTCCACCGCGTTCTTCCTGCCGATAACGAAAGATTGACTGGATTGCATGCTACTCTGACCGGTGCAGCCGGTGGAGGGAGCATGCCAGGCAGCCACAGCATACCGCCTGCGAGCGACGATGGAGCCATGGAGAAGGGCGACGACAGCATGTTCATCTTCAAGCTGGTGCCACCTCGAGCGGGCCTATCCAAGGGCGTCAGTTTTACAAAGCCAACCGTCCACTACTTTGCGGTGCCCAATCTCAAGCAAGGCCGTTTGTGGATGGCTGCCTTGATGAAGTCGACAATTGAACGAGACGACACACAAGCAGTCACGACAACGTATCAACAAAAGACGATATCCCTAGCCAAAGCGAAGCAAATGCGCCACCGTCCTCCTGCGCTCATGAATGCCGAGGAATCTGCCGCAGCCAGAGCAGCTGATGAAGCGGATAGCGGCGTGGCGGGCATGGCAGCCCTCCAGATCGACGGTGCTCGATTAAACGTTAATTTTGACAAGGATAGCTCGCCGTTGAGCGCATAGAGCGCGCTGCGATGGAGGAAGACTTGTTGAATGGCGGAAATGAATCACATGTGTCACGAGAGGCTATGCTGACAGAAGTAATTTGACATATAAGAAGAATTGGCCTCATGGCCAAATGAGAAATAACTTTGAGAGATTCAATCGATGATGAAGACTATGCAGCACGAAACCCTTGCTTTTCCCCTTTCCTTTATATATAATAGCATGCCTTTGTCTCTCCTTTGTCTACCTTTGGTCCGTGTGGACCATTTGTTGGAAGGTCGACTAGGTTATGTGTCTGCTTGCTACGGCTTGCTTTTTTTTATTTTTCCCTTTCTTTTCCTTGCACCAATTAATCACCAAGGGGAAGCGTGTCATATTCTTCTTCGATTGCTTTCCTTTTTCTACAGACTCTCCAAAGTGGCTATCTGTTTCGGCGTTGTCATGGATCAAACATAATCTAATGGGCTGTTTTTCTTTTTCTTTTCCCAAAGAAAAGCCAGAAAAAGGAAGAGAAGAAAAAAGATGCCAAAAATGAAATTGATGATTTTTGCGGAATTAGGAGGCTAGATAACTGCTAATATATATATATATCTATATATTATCTTTTTCCTAATTCAAATTTCTCATCTGTGTTATTCTTTCTTTTTCTCTGTCTCTATCTCCTTTTTTTTTTTTTTTTTTTTTTTTTTTTTTTTTTTAAGAGTCTTCCTGTATCTAGTTAAAGGAACGAAGTGAGAATGAAATAGATAGTCAAGCGGTAGATCCTCATATATGGCTCAACAAAAAAAAGGAGGCAATTTGACTAGAGATAGGAATCACTTTCACACAGCGAGAGACGGAAAAGTCTTTACAAACTATCAAATGGCTATTATATTCGATCCCTGAATGGCAGAGATGGGAAACAGAGACGCTATCATAAAGCAACCAAATAATTGTATACCCGTGTCCGTCTTTTTCATCTAGTGGCTAGCAACGCCTCCAAAAGTTCCTTTTTGCGTCCCGAATTCACCACTACCTATACGACAGACAGTGCAGCCATTGTAAGAATTGCCAAGTCATGTTCATTCGTTAAAAATAACAAACAGATCCTATAGTATTATTATAATCATCACTGCTCACTCTTCCCAGATTTCCCAATGCTCTTATGAGTCGCCTTGTAGCTTCTGGTTCATGCCTTGCAGAAGCTGGCGGATTGATTTCATAAGGTGCTGCTCTACTCCCTCAAAGTTGCTGGCTGGCTCGCCCTCTGCAGCCTTTGGCATTATACTTGCATCTGCGAGGCCAATAACCCGATCAATAGCCGATAGAGTTACGGCTTCAGCCTTGGCTGCGCCCAGGCCCGCCTTGATCGCATTGACAGAGGCGTCTTTGAGGCCATTTAAAGCCGCCAGCACCTTGGGCTCAAAAACAGGCGGTGTGTCTGTTGGTAGCGGAGTAGAGCCGCTAGGTGTTGGGCTTTTGCCTTTGGTGAAGCCATCAATGACTTGACGAATACCCTTAATGCAGATTGTTTCCATCTTATCATTTTCAGTGGCTTCTTTCTTGAGCCCGATGCACCGGTTCAGAGCTGACATGACGATAGCTTCGGCTTTGGGGTTGCCAGCCTTCTTCAGATTTTCTACCAGGCCATTCTTGAGGCCCACTACCGCAGTGAGGAGTCGAGGCTCGATAATCGGCCTAGCAGGCGTTGCTGACGGCCGAGCTGGGGTTGGGTGGCCGGTACCAGCTTGGGTGGCAGCCAGATGCGATGTCGACGCAACAACTGGCTTCGACTCTGCGGAAGCAGCCGAAATGGATCGCTGACCAGGCACAGCGGCAGATGGTACACTGGCACTGCCATCCTCGGCCTTTACAGGCGGGGTTGTCAAGGGAGGCGGCCGTGAGGCATAAGGCGAGCTGTAGGCTCCTGGCTGAGCCACGCCAAGCTGAGGGCGAGCTGGGGCTGCAGGAGGGCCGTATCCTGACAGCTGAATAGGGGCCGGGGGTGGCGCACCTACGATTTGTTGGACCGGTTGGGCCGGTTGCACTGGTACCGGTTGTGCTGGTTGGACAGGTTGATGTATAGGAGGGGATTGAGAGGCACCGTACTGCACCGGGCGTGCCGCATGAGCCGGTTGTCCAGCATATGCAGGTGCCTGATATCCAGGAGCTGGCGTCTGGCTAGGAGGGTAGCCATGATGCGCGCCGGGAGCCATATGCTGCGCAGCATATGGATATGAGTAGTGCCCATAGGCCTGCGCAGCCACCAATCCTCGGTCAGGAGAGGCTGCCTTTCGCTTCTTGCCAGCATCCAACTCCACACCGGGCACTCGAGACCACAGATTTGTCGTCTCATCTTTCTTAAACGCTTCGTTCCCAATCAGATTATGGCGAACGCTACTTTCCCATCCCTTGGTCTCGGTGTGGAAATAAAACCACGGGTATCTTTGGCAAATCCTCTTGTATATTTGCTTCAATGTGAGACCGTCAGGGCCTGCTGCCGTCAATGTTTCGTCAATAAGAACTCCGTAGTTCTTATTCGGCTTCTGAAGTTGCTCTTCTGTGTAATCCTCGATCTTGAGCTCCAGAGGAGGTGACTTGGGCCGTGACTTCTTTTCCTTCTTCTCTCTCGCTCGTCGCTCCGCATCAGAGCCTTCGACACCATCTTCATTCTTGGGTTTCCGCGGCTTATACTTGCGCTTCTCTGGGCGGTCAGTTCCGTCTTCGGGCAACGGGTGTTTCCTGGGCCGGCCGACCTTGCGCTTGAGGGGCGGTTCAACTGGTGGCGCTTGAGGCAATGTCTTCTTGGCCATCTCTTGTTGCTGTTTCTTAAGCAAGCGTTGTTCCCTCTTTGACATGATACCGTTCTTAGGAGGCCTGCCAGGGCCTCGCTTTCTAGCCATCTGTGGCATTGAAGGGTCATTGTGAGCGTCTCCTTCATCTTTGATTTCAGAATCTCCTTCGATGGATGCTTCAAGCGCATCCAAATCCCCATCTTCTCCGTCTTCTCCATCTCCGTCTGCGTCTGCGTCTGCGTCTCCTTCGCCCTCGCCATCACCCTCTCCTTCTACTTCTCCTTCTCCTTCTCCTTCTCCTTCTTCTTCAGCAGCCTCCTCTTCATCTCCCTCTTCCTCATCATCTCCACCAAAATCGGACAGTTCGACCGGGCTCACTTCCACATCTGATAATTCATCGCTTGTGTCTTGGATCTGGCCATTACCGTGAGACTGTTCAAAGTCGAAGCTCATGCTCTTTCCTCCATGAGAATGCCGTTTCTTAGCAGCGTCTTCTTCTTGGTACTCTTCTGCGCCCGTTCGCCCCTTCTCGACTCCATTAATAATAAATCGGAAATCAATGTCCTTGATCTGTAATCGGTCGCCACACCTCAACACAACCTTTTCGCTCTTGTAATGCACATCTTCGCAGAAAAAGCCATTCTTGTGCAGTGGAATGGCCTCAAATACACCCTCGGCTTGATTGTACGCAATCTTGAGATGCTCCCGGGAAATGGCTTTGGTCTTGCTTGCGATGTTCGGACCAGGGGAGTGGATACCGATAAAGGGAACGTGCCAAGGAGAGGGCCTCAACGAGGTCAAGTCGACAGCAGCCGCCCCAGGGGTATGAGAGACGTATTGGCGATTTGAGATGACGTTATCTTGAGAGTTTTCCACTTCTTCATGTGACGATCCTGTGGTGCTAGTTTTGCGCCGTTTTGTTGGACGTCCGTTTTCTTCGCTATCTGATTCGGGACCCAGCATGCCACCTTCCTCACTGACATATGATTTACTAAACTTGTGGCGGTCCTGGACGATGGGAGATGGCGGTGGAAGCCCTTTGCTAGCATTCTCTTCAGTTCGCCGTTTATAATCATCAGCACGTTTTTCATCACGCCTGGCCTGTTCCAGAGCTCGCTGATCACGGCCAATAATGACGGCGTAGGTGGTCATCTGGAAGACACTGTCGGCAAACTCAACACGAGCAAACGACTCGAGGCCCATGTCAGTGGCAGTCCCAGACTGCCGCAGATTGTTGTTACTGGCCGGGCCCATGCCAAAATATCCGTCTCCCATTATGTTAGGTAGAGTCACTTGAGAGGGGGTTACTGTTGGCGGTGGTGACATGGCGGGCGGTGCGGCAGACATGGAAGCCAAAGCCATCATCATGTACGCATGTCGATGGTCTATCGGGGCCTGTGGTGCGTAGGGCGCTGAGGGTTGGAATTGCTCAGTCGAAGACATCTGAGGGGCTGGCATGGCAGATGCATGCGATAGGGTCTCGGCTACAGCAGCAGCAGTTGTCGCACTGACATCAGGAGCGTCCATCATCGTAATATCCTCCGTCTTGATCTCTCCAGATGCAGGTTTGTCTCTTGATTCGCCAGATCCTCCAGAGGCAGTTGCTATTGATGTAGCGGGTAGATGTTGGGTTGTGTTGTCGGTCTCGGCACTTGCGTCGGGTTTGGATGGTGGCAATGAGGTTGCAAGTTGGTTGGTGATGGGGTTTGCGGAAGATGAGACTGCCGAAGCCTCTACGGCGGCCGAAGGAGCAGATGTAGTCGCGGCCGTTTGCTGTTGCGCCGGAGCGGAATTTGATGAGGGCGATGTTGTTGTTGTTGTTGTTGTTGTTGGAGGAGGAGGAGGAGCAGCGTCGACAGCAACAGCCACCGCTGAAACGGGGACGTCACCGCCTTTAGAGTTTGGTTGCGCATCCGACGAGATTTTCTGTTCCGCCGCCATCGCAGGCGCCTCTGCCACTGCAATCCCAAGCTCTTGCGCCGGCTCTTGCGCGGCTTCGGTCTCTATTGAGACGATCACAGCTTCTGGCCTGTCGGACGGCGCTGTTTCCTGCTGCGCAGCGGCCGTCCCTGCCAGAGGAGTCATCGCAGCTGCAGGGGCTGTAGCGACCGCAGCCGGGGCGTTTGCGTGAGCGTCGACTTCGGGATGGGCATCGTGGTTCTGGTCGCGGAGGCCGTCGTGCCCGGCGCTGGACGAAGTCATCGCTGCTCGCTCGCTCGCTCGCTCGTGCAGCGTCCAGCTCGTTCGCCGCGGAATCGCTTCGTGGTGAATCTCCCTTCCACGGCTGCCGTCTGACTTGTTTGCTTTTGTTTGGCGCTGATCGAGCAGCAGCAGCAAAGCAGCAGCCTCGGGCGAAAAGAGGAATTGCGATCCGATTCCCTTTGCAGCCTCTTCGCTCTTGCCTTGAACTTTCTGGCGCGATTGCCGGGGAGGGTCACAGGCGCGATCCGGTGCTGTGATTGGCCAGCCTGGCGGCAGTTTGGAGCCTCCTCACCTGGTCCGGGTCGCTCTAGCCGCTAGCAGCAATCGGCGGAAAAAAAAAGATGCTGGAGCCCAGCAAACTTTGGGCATCTGCAGGAAAGAGGCGTTTGTTTGGCTCCCCCGCGTTCGCCTCTTGCCGGCGTTGCTCTTGCCGACTTTTGTTTTGTTTGCGTTTGTTTTGTTTGGCTTGGCTTGCGTTTGGGCAATGATTGATGACTCATGCAGGTTGAAGATGGGAGATTGCTTTGTATGATCAATGATGCTTTGATTGGCGTTCAATGTCAAAGTTGCCGACCGATGAGCGGTTTTTCTTCTTTTAATCGTGCCGTTGCTTTGCGTAGCATTCTGCATGCCGCCTCATGAGTACCTTCCGCGAGTACCCTGCGATGGAGTTCGACTCCTGTCAAAAGCGACCAGCTTTTCTTTCCTTTAGCAGCTGTTCAGCAGCGATAGTATCTAGCTCTGGACATTTCCCAGTCTTTCATGTATAGGTACACACTGGCAGTCGCGATTGTTCTCATGCATGTGCGCCGAGTGCAAACCCTCGTTATGCACATCATACGACGCCCAATGCCGGCGGGTTGAAGCGTCAGGATGGCCCCATGGCGTCCAAATGATCGCTCGGCTTGGCTTAAATAAGGTCAAAGTACTTGCAGCTCAAGTACATGGCTAACCTCTTTCGCCGATCACTCCGCCTTAGCTCTGCTGCCTGTACCTGCCTTAGCCGTACCTCTCGTCTTGGAGATTACTACTAGTACTTGGTAGTATGGTCTCAATTCGCTTCGATGAAAACACATTGAGCATTGCTATCTTACTTTTGTGTCTTCACCATTTGAACCCACTCTCTGTTTTTCTCTCACAACACTCAAATGTACCCTCTTTGAACAGCTGTCTGAGCCTCAAAGGCATGTCTCACCCGATTGCCGCTAGTGCCACAGCCTGCGCGCGGCTACTGTAACAGCAGCGGAAGGACCACAACCACTCAAGAGTTCGTATCACGACGTTGTTCAAAGAAAGCTGTTCAGAAATGAACGGCAACGCCACAGAGACAGGGGGCCGGGAATGTTGCAAGTGTGTTTGATTGCCTGCCAATAGCACAATGAACTGTCTCTGAACAATAAGCAAGGGATTGAGGCTGCGCTTCGTTTGTATTCGAGGGTAGGCAAATCATAAATGTGAAGGCTAACCGCTTCGATGCCTGCCATCCTCTCTTTTCTCTCTCCATCTCCATTTTTTTTTTCTCAAGCGTGGTATCATCCGTTTCTTCTCAAAATTTGACATACATTTTAGTTTCTAGATAAGCGAGACGCCAAGATGCCGATGTTTGAAATCGAGCTTCATCGTCCGGGTCATAGTCACGGGCCCATACACATCCAGCACTCCAACTCTCGGAGCCCCAACTCTCAGCACTCTTGCTCTCAGAGCTCCAACCCTCAAAAGGCCAGCTCCGAACACTCGCGCTATGTCCAAATGCTCCTCCATCAAGACGATATACCCCTGCTACACAACATTCTCGCCGCTGTATTCGTCTGGCTCCTGCTGGCGGGCTTCCTCGTCTTCCCCGGAACGTTTACCAGCCTCCAGAAATCCGTCGAAGGCCATGACGCCGAGACACTAAGCGACCAAGCCGCCAGGCTCATCGTAAAGAGCATCAAAAACATCCCACTGCTGGTCATTGCCGCGATAATGTGCGGCATATCCGCTTCTGGCATGCTGTATCTCGCCTTCGCGCACGCTAAAAACTACGTCTGGCTCGTGAACAAGCTGTTTATGCCGGGCATGACCAACTCTCTGGCTGGCTTGGTGTCGACTCTCATTGGCGTGTACTCTCAGCAACACGGCGCCTGGAGCATCACCGCCAAGATCACCGCCATGGTAGAGGGGGCCTCGCTTTGCGTATGTGGAAGCCTTTTTCTCTTATACCAGCTAGCTTTCTTGAGACAGATCAAAGCCAAGCATGGGGAGCATTATAGTGGTTGGCCCGGCCAGCAACGGTATTCAAAGCAACTGTTCCCTGATAAAGCATAGTGAAATCTGAAACGAAGCCGAAAACTGGATATAATGATACCACAAGCTTACTTCGCTGGCGAAGATATTCGACTGGATGAGACTTTCTTTCTTTTCTTTTCTTCATTTCCTTTCTTTTTTTTTTTAGGGCTGGATAGGGACAGCATAGACACTATTTATTATTCGCTTCGTACATTAATCAAGACAATTTGTTTGCTGCACTCCCCCAACACCTGTACAATTCTCACCGTAATAATGGCGCTCGTTCGCTCGAAATGATAGAGTCACTGTTCTTCCAGCCCATGAATCGTTCTGAGAGCCTATACGAGAAATGACAAAACATGCCAGCCAGGAAGCCAACTGCGTCATTCTTAAAGGCCAGGATCCCAGCCGTCGTCACCAGCATAATGGTCCATCGTTCCAGACGTTCCCCATCCGATAGTTGTCGATGTAACCTCGGACTTACAACGCCGCCCTGGCGAGCAGATTCGTGCCACAGATCAGGAGCGCCTTGGTTCAGCGTATGTCCAACTTTGGCCAGCTCCAAACCGGCCGCCACGACCATGACGCCGAGAAGGCCATGTGGGATCTCCGTCAGTAGATTGACGAGCGTCTGGCCGAATAACAGCCCCAAGATGACTTTGAAAAGACCCAAGATGATTACGCTGGCACCGCTGCGCGCACCGAAGCGATACTGAGCTGCCAGGCCTCCGGCGCCGTGGCACACGGGCATGGCTCCAAACCAGGTTCCCGAGAGGTTCATGAACGCCACGCTGAGACCTATAGACGTGACGGACGGAGAGGGGATATCCGGCAACAAATCACTAGCTAGCGCACTCACCGCGATAATGGAATTCAGTGTCGTCAGGGGAAGCTGCCCAACCGCCATCCACAAAGCCGGGGCATCTCCCGCGCCAATCCACGATGGAAGCACAAAGTGCGGCCGCCACACCTGGAACCAAGGCAAGCTGCTCTGGTCATCGGAAACCAGCACTTGCACGAGCGCCAGCACAAGCGCCAGCAAGAAGAAGCCCAGGGCATAAGGGAACCGCGGCATATTCTGTGTAAATATGAGCACGAGAAAGGCCGCCAGGGCCCAGAGGCGGTTGTCCAGCGCGGGATGCAGCCAGTGAAGCGGCTGCAGGAGGGACGAGCCCGCGCCGATGATGAGGGAGAGGCCTGCGCCGAGCTGGATGCCCTTGACGACGGGGATGGGCACAAAGGACACGGCGGCGCGGAGGAGGCCCGTGATGCTCATGAGGAAGACTGCTGCGCCGACCCATTGGCCTGCGGCGACGACGACGCCCATGGAGGGGTCTTCGCGCGCGGAGATGGCGGCGGCGGCGATGGCCTAGGTTTGCGGCATGTTAGCGATGAGGCTTTTCAACAGACAGACAAATGGACTGAAAGACAACTCTTTGTCCCAACGAGGTAATAAAGAAGTAGCAGCAACAAAGAGATATGCCGAGGTCTCTTAGCTCTAGGGGCAAAAAGATAAAGAAACGGTTATATGCTCCACATATGTACAAAGCGGCATCGTATGTCAACATACCTTCATAGGCTGCACCGGCAAGGGTATGCCAAAGACAACTCCGGTGAGCACATTGAAGATGCCGGAAAAGACAAGCGTCGAGCCCAGGTCAATGTACCCCTTGGCGGCGAGGGCGATCATCAGGGGAAGCAGCGTGCCCAAGTCGCCCAGAGAGCCGGATATCTCGGCCAGGGGCGCATCTCGAAAGGTGCGGAGGTTATGGACGTTGAGGCGCCGCAGCCGGGCCAGCGAGGCGGTTGCCATGTTTATTGCCTCTTCTTTACGACTCGTATGATAGGTGTAGGTAGGAGATAGAGCGTAAGACAATACGTAGGCAAATATTGACGATGGTGAAATACGTATGAGGTGTTATAAGACCAAAGGTGAAAAGGAGGGGAGAGAGTCTCAAGACACCACAGACTTATCTTCTTTCTCCTTCTCTCTCCTACTCCCTCTTCTTCAATATGGCATAGGAAAAATAGCTTGGTGTATTTTCCTTTTACAAAGGAAGCTTGAGCACTTACTCAAACCTTCAAACCTTAGGCGCGGGCCGCCATGGTGGACTCACGTGGGATGGATTACGTCGGCGGATTCAAACAGCTGGTCTCACGTGGTGCCATCTCCAAGACATGAGCGATACTATCGACACTATCTCCGCGGTTTTTATTGGAGAAGCTGGTCTCCCTTTCATAGGTTGTGGGTGTGACACGGGATAAGAAAAAAAGAAGAAGATGGGAAATGGTCACATTCTACTGGTCCTCTCGGGATTCAAATGCCAAAAAAGAAGCGCTTGGCCAGCTGGGCGATCAAGAGCTCGTCAGCTCCTCCTCCCCAGGCAGAATGTCTCGCCCGCAACGCCTCTTCCCGCAGCGCGCCCTAGCGTCGGGTAGAGGAGCTGAGATGACGTACGGGCCGGTTGCCCAGTTGCTTTATTGCTTTATCCGGAGAAGCTGTCAAATATCACCGCTTGGTGAAATCCGAGAAAAATCGTATCTTGTCTTTGCCACAGCAGCCTCCCGAACAAGAATCTGTTATGCTTTTTCTTTCTTTGCCTTTGCCGTGCATGTAGCTGCACTTTAGCTCGATTGAGCTTGTTTCGCCAAGCATGTTGTCGGCAGGGCCGTTGACGATGATGTCCTGTCACGTGACTCGTAAGACGGACGGGTCGGTTAAGGGCTCAGAGGCAGAGCTCAACAGCGATCGGAGTACGAGGGGCATGATTCGATCCGCGCGTATCTCGGGGATGCTGCCGGTGCAGCAGTATCGCGAAAGATGAGCAAAATAAATGAGCTCCCTGGTCATCAAGTCTCTGTCTCAGTCCCCAAGTGACGCTTTTCTCTCCAGAAAGAAGCGCTCTTCTCAAAACAGGAGAGATACGCAAACAAGGGGGGTAAAGAAAGATAACACTGGTCAGCTTATGTATTCGTAGTGCCCGTTCCATCAAATACCCAAATGCAGGCCCCCAAATAAGAATTGGAAGCGTCCTCGTTTTTACTGTACTATCAACGGAGTTCCACCGAGGTAGTTTGGCACGAAAATCGCTCTGGGCCGCTCCGATTATTATTAAACATCGGCCCCGTACTTTTAGGCAGGAGAGCTCATTACCGGAGGAACCGCCTGTACCGGATTTGGCGCGAGCCGTGGAAACGCAGCATCTGGACTGGAGGGGACTAGAGGGGACTGGAGACTGGAGATACGGCCGCGTGCTAGGCCCAGCAGTGAATGGCACCAAAACGTTAGCACCAGGTGCTAGTGGCGGTGCGCGTACGGAGTACCTGCAGCAGTTTTCTCCGATGCGCGGAAATCGATATCCGGTGTTCTCCACGATGGGGCCCGCCGCGGTGAGCGAAGAGGAATACTTGTAAGACGACAGTCTAGAAGTCGCAGAGGGCGAAAAAAGGGCTGACCGCCTGGGGGGACTGCGGTGCTTTTTGATCTTATCCTGGACATGATTATGCTGTGTTCTTTTTTTGGTAGCACTCGCTTCTTGCTGTAGAGGCTGGTTTCATACATCAATGATCTGATAAAGGACTTACATGCATCGTATAGCGCGAAAGTAGACGTACCTCTTGGAGGCACCTGTAAGGCAGAAAGAGGCGCATGAAGAGTCAGTCCATGCTTGCCATTGACGCTCAGAATTTATGTTTAATGAAGCGCCCCAATGCAGATGGAGACCAGACGATGCGCTAGTGGCATGGCGATGGCTACCTTTCGCATACCAGCAGTTGCCGCTAGCACAGGCGGTATCTACAAGTACAGCTGCTGTTCGCAAACGAACTCGACTCTCCTGCAGAACTGGGTGCCAAGGCCGGGGTACCAGAAGCAGGATGAGGTCATTGGCCGACCGCCGCCAACGACCCCCGTTTTCGACGCGAAAAAAGCGACGCCAAAAACAATCTAGAAGCACACGACTGGATTCCAATCAGCGCGTAGCTGATCACTGGTAGGGGCAAGGGGGGGTGGGATCCTCGCTGGAGCAAGGCCAACAACGGCTGACGGAGCTAGCCTGCACCTTTTTCCCTTCCTTTGCGCGTAGCTGAGGGTCCCCATCGTTGCGGTGCCCTGAGTCGAGCATGCAGGAAGGAAACTGCACCGAATAGGAAGGGCGGCCAACGTCCGAGATTTTGCCGGATCCACCGAGCAGCGAGCTTTGTCCGGAGTCCACGGAGCGGCTTTTATTTTGCAGCCCAAGCCGCCAGCATGTCGGGCTTGCCGGGTAGCGAATTTAGGTGTGGAGTTTGTTCTCTCTAGCCCGTAGGGTCTGCCGCAAGCAGAAAAGGGCAGAATTCGTTGTCACTCTGGACCTAGGCTGGAACTGGGCTTGCCTGGATTTGCGCGCTGCCGGTGCCGTTGCCGCCGCTGGCGGTGTGTGCGTCTGTGCTGCCTTTGCACGGCCAAGACGAGCGAGAGCATGATGCTGATGGGATGACTGGGGGCGTTTTGCTATGCCGACTGGAGAGCGGCAACACGGAACAGCAGGTGGCATTGATTGCTGCTTGCGGCGGCTGATGATTGGACAATCGGCAGAGCCCTGGACTCGTACTCAATCGGGAGCACGGGAGGCCATGGACATGTAAGGCAAAGCAGGTTTGGTCGTGGTTCGTGTTTGTCTGGCCCGGCCTGATAGTAGGGCCGCTCCCAGGGTTGATGTGATGCTCTCTTCAAGTACCTGCTCTCTCCATCGAACCGAGCCTCCAGCTGACGGGATCGGTAGGAGAAGTACGGCATCGGTACAACGAAGCACGCATCGTCCCTTTCAATTGATTTCCCTTCTCGGTGTTAATGAAAGGGTCTGTATGGGGTACTACGCAGAGCCACAAATAATTCGCTCTCAGCACAGAATCTGCATAATGCCTCCATGGTGTGACTGCTAGTCGTGATAACAATGACTCCGTATCAGCTAGCAGCAGGTTAGCTGCGAAGCTTGGCGTCCCTTTCTTGTCGCTCTCCTACTTTAAAAGCACATAGAGAAAGTGAAATAGCGGCATATATCGGTCAGGCCTTGGCTCGGTGATGAATGATGGAGCCGTGTGTTATGTACAGGTAGGGAGTCAAGTATACGAGTCGGTGCTAGTACCCAGTACGAACGCACCGCTGGCTGCTGGCATGAAATGCTCGCCGTCTGATTGAAGGATGGGCTCTGCCGACGCGCGATATCCGTTGCAGCCGAAGCCGTTGGTCACTAGGCAGAGCTAGAATTCTGGAGGACCTGCGCACAATCCCTAATCTCATTCGCGCAGCCAGCTCGTTCGGTTTCCAGAATATCACTCAAATAAGCCACGCAGCTTTTGATACGCGCGCGAGGGCCGGGTGTCAGAAGGTGTGGTGTGGTGTGCCCCGTTGTTATGGCTCGCCGGGGCGAATGTACGGGGTACTTGCAGTAGCAGCTGGAGCTGGAGCTGGAGCGTGCAGGCGGCCAGCGCAGCAAAAAGTACCTAGACTCCTTTGCCTCGTGAAAGAACACGCGAGAAGAGCAGATAGAGGACGAATGGCCCCTGGAGATGATTGTTTGCCTCCTGGAGGGTGCGTCATACGGGATAAGACAGCTGTGAGCAGATAAAGGTGGTACTTGTATACAGATGTCAATGCCGCGGAGGTAAAGCGCTGATGAAGGCTGCAGCTCGTATGTGCCTCCGACTGCCTGGTGCTACCGTACCCATGTAGCGGTACTTGCGAATGCTTCATGCAATCGACTCGATTGCATTGATTCGGATGCTTACCTAGGTAAAAGTACTTTGAATAGGATGTCCAGTTCCGACTCAATGGGCGCTCGCGGAAATATCACTTTCATCGGGGGGCCAAGGCCCAGGTCCAGGTCTTCGCAGGTACTCGGTACACGAGACCTGGGACGTGCGCTCCGTAGCCTCTTTTTTCTTTCCTCTTTTTCCTTTAACAGGGCCCAAGTCGGCCGGCGCGATTAGCAAAATTCGCGCAGGCAAAAAGAAGGAAAAAATCCACCTGGTATGGCGCCGTCATGATTTCCCCACATGGGGCGCCCGGGTAACCTGGGCAAAAGAGGCTGGGAGAGCGAATAATGGCAGCCAGCACACCTAGCCGGAAGAGGTAATGCTACAGTGCTAGTGCGCATTCGGTGTAAGATACTTGGATACCTGCTAACCGTTCATGGGAGAGCAGTGAGTGTGAGAGAAAAAAAAAGAGAGCAGGAGAAAAAAAAAAAAAAAAAAAAAAAAAAAAACTTGGCGGCACCTCTTGCGAACAAGAAGTCGCCGCACGTACCGGCCGAGGATGGGCGCTAAGGCGGCCAGGGTCAGGCGCATGCCGTGTTCCGATCAACGACTACAAGCTTTTTCGCGCGAGCCGGCCGCGGTGTAGCGAGTACCTCCCCCTTCGCCCTCAATGGGCTTCCCAGCTCATGACATGCCGTGCCAGGCGCGAATCCTTTTTCTGGCTGCCAATCCGCCAATTCTTTTTATTTTCGCCCTCCTCTTTTTCTCTTTTCTCTTTTCTTTTTTTTTTCCTTCCTCCAACCCTCTCGTCGTCCGTGCCTTGGTTCGTCTCGTCTCTCCAGAGCAGTTTCTGCGTGCCTCTCTCGCCAATCGTCAATCTCGCCCATCGACAATCCAGGCTACCCCGTCTTTTTTTTCTCTTCCAACCTTTTCGCTAAGCAACAAGACAAAAAAAGGTCAGAGCGCCAATTCAACCCCCCCAAAAAGCCAAGTTTTCCGGCACCTCCCCCTGGGCATTTTTTCCCTCCCCCTTCGCCTCGCCTCGCATCTTTTTTCTCTCTCAATTGCCAGCGGGTGGTCCGTGACGTGCCTCCCCCCACTTTTCCCCTACCGAGCTCCCGCGCCTTAAAACAAAACCTCAGCGCAGTCCACTTACGCGACTTTTTTTTTTTTCCAGACCCTTTCTGCCTTCATCCTCTGCACGTCTCACGTCTCACCCAACAGGTACAGACAACCCGCCCCCAATTGGTTCATTTCTTCTACACGTCGAACTCCAATGCACTGCATATGCGGTGGAAGCATCAGCTGCGAATGCTCTCGACGTCGGTTCTTTTTCTGTCTCATTGGATCCTGGTCTCGGGCGCAATCTGAGCCACCGCTGCTCCAGATGTCAAACCTTGTTATACTTCGCTTAGGGCTGCCACGTTGGCTGGGGACTTCGCGGGGAAAAAGCCATGGTTTGACACGTCTGTTCGGCCTGCCACAATTTTGCACCACGAGATTGATTCAATGAGATGGGAATTGCAACTGTCGGCTTTTTTGAGGCATTTGATGGAGTTTCCACATCGCCCTGCCCCTGTCCCTTACCGCTTCCTCTCACCCCCTGGCACGTTCCTCGGCCCTGCTCATTGTTCAATGGAGGCATAAATATCACTCAAGCACCCCGTCACTAACTCGCCTTTCTTCATCCAGACAAAGCAAGCTCTCCCCTCAGACACAATGGCCGCCATCGACAAGCAACTCATTGCCGCCCGGGATGTTGCCTCCCAGCTCATGAAGCGAAAGAACTTCGCTGCTAGAGAGCCTGGTGTCATTGTCGTCTTCTGCATTGTCTTCATCGGTAAGTCGCCGCCACTCATACATGCACTTGATATAGAGCAATTCTTCTAATTCAATCAACCTCTACAGTCAGTGTTGGTGTCCTTGGTCTCCTCATCCACAAGTGGATCCAGAGGAGAAAAGCCGCCACCAAGTCTCAGATCTAGACGACAGTCTGAGGCTAGGGGGAGGAGAGAGGGTTGGACTCAAAGGTGTCGACGGAGAGGGGACGCATTAATGGACCGTGATTGTTAAATGGCGAAATGGTGTTGCGCGACATTTCAGCGTGGTTATAAAACAGCGACACGTTGCGCGCGTCAAAAAGAAGAAAACACAAAAGCAAGCCGCCCAAAGTATAATAATTATTATCCGCCCGACCCACGAGCAACACCAGCCAAGTCGTCATCTTTGTCGTCAAAGTTTGTCAACAACAACTACAGCATGCACGATCTTGGCCAACTAATGTATATACGCATGCGTTATCTGCTCGCAGCTCATGACCACCATCGCTCTATGATCCGGTGGGCTTAAGCTATCTATTGGTGTCGGATATTTTGAACGGCGCGCTCGTGCTCGTGGCCACAGGAAGCTGTATTCTCTATTATCTAATACTCCTGATACCTCATACAACAATCTAGTTATTATAAAGATATAAAGTTTTCCTATTGTTCAATCATAACTCGCTCTCCTTGCGCATCTATTCTATCAGTGATTTGGCCAAGACCCCAATACTAACGTTTACAAGTCCCCTTTCGAAAGACAGATACAAGTACAAGCTATAATCCCTCCTTGGCCAGCATATCCGCCACATCCAGGTAAAACGCAACCGCATTAAACGTCCTCTTCATCCCCATCCACTCCCTCACCGTCCACGCCGCCCGATTCGACCAATTGATCAAATCCAAATGACTCACCCCCATCAACGTTCCCCGATACACTCCCCATCGACTGCTCTCCACGCTCACCAGCCCATCATTCTCCCCCTCTGCCCTGCCCACCACGCCGTACGGCAACCGAAACGCCCCCAGCAGGGAAGGCTCGTCAATCGCCGCCCCGTACGAAAAGTACCTGACCGCCTCGTCGTCTAGGACCTTTGTGTTGAATTCCTCGCGCATGTACCGCGTCGTCAGCTGGCCAAACGCAGAGGTCCCCAGCCCCGCGCGCCGAATGATGCTGTACAGCCGGGGCAGGTGGATCGGCCCGGCGCCGCGCTCGACGAGGTAATCCGCAAAGGGGCTGCCGCGGTGCGGCGTGGCGATTGTCACGAGCGAGGCGACGCGGACGTTTTGCAGGACGGGTTTCAGCCGGGAGATCATGTAGCGCGCGTCGAGGCCGCCCATGCTGTGGGCGATGATGTTTACCGTTGGGGTCTCGTGCTTGTCTCTGCTGGTTTGCGCGACAATGTCGGCGGCGAGCTTGGCGGCGCGCTCCTCAATGGAGCCCGACGGTGGGACGGACGCGGTGATGACGGCGCAGTTGTTCTGCGTGAGGGCCTGCTTGATGCCGTGCCAGTACTCGATGGGCGGGAGGAGGGCTGAGACTCTGAGCTCGGAGAAGCCGAGGAGGCCGTGGGCTAGGACAATGGGATATTTCGGTGTTGCTGTAGTGGTGTCAGTAAATGTGCCAACTTCTTTTTGAAGACGAGCGCTTGATTCAATCATACCGTAATTCTCGCGAATAGTAGCGTAATCATCATGTATGCGCCTCCCAACGTCCCGAATGCGAGGATCGCTGCTGTCCTTGAGATACGCCTTTGCGGTGCTGAAGAAGTGATGCGAAGGGCGTAGATTCGGCGGGGGAAGAGGAGAGAGGCGAGGGCCACGATAATGAAGAAGCCATTTTCTCATGGCTCTTTAGTTTGAAGGCTATAGATGAAGCATACTTGAGAGCAGTAAGCAATTGGGTGGTGAGGAGGAGTGAAGGTTGCTGGTGATTTTTGCGCCTTGGTGAAGCTAGATGCTGTTTAGTGTCGCAAAGGTTGCTGACGTCACTGTCGCAAGTTGGGTTCTTAGGACGGTGGCCTTCTACGTAAAATGGTGATGGCAATCAGGATTCAGTGGATTCCTTTCTATTTGGGTTACTAATCTGCACAACATGTATCGAGATATGCCTTAATTTTTATTCCATTACTCGCTCACCACATGCATTGTGGCCAAACCAACTTTCAAATTCGCTGTGTAACGAGCTGCTAAAGACGCTGCTCGTTATTTACCAACCCATTCCTCATAACATAATATATAAACAGGTAGACTATAGACATGCCATACGCATGAGCCCATCTCCCAAATCTATGCTTGTCCAATTCTTTATGTACAAAAACACTTTTCAAACAAACTCCACGTAACGCAATATCAGAGAAAGATGCCGCCTCTCCTCCAATGACGCAGCCTCTGATCGGCAGTAAGCTCCTAGCCTTTAACCGGGCCCGAGGGCAGCTGGCTAGGTGCATTCTCATTAGTCTCGCCACTATAGGCTGGCCGAGGCCGTAAACCGTCAAACGGCCCAGACAGGTTCTCTGCAATGGCTTCGTCGTAGCTCGGAGGCGGCACGTCTTCATAAGCCGGAATATCGCCTGGAGGGAGCTGCGGAGGGTATAAAGGATCTTGCGGAGGCCTGGGAGGCATGACGGGTGCAGCAGGCGCGCTTGGCCGCCGGGCAATTCTTTGAGGAACTCCAAGACTCCCTGAGCCGCTGGCTTCAGAGACTGAACTCCGGGGAGGCAGCCGAGGGGGTCGAGAAATAGTAACCTCTCCTGGGCGCGTGTTCCTAGCAGCTTCTAGCAGCTCAGGAGGCGGCGTGATGCCGGAAAAGACGCTGACGTTTGCAAAATGAAGAGGCAGAAACAGAGTTTGGGGCTGGGAGTCTTTGGCCATCCTGGGCGTCCCCCAGCTCACGCCTAGCTTAAGTTCCAGTTCGTATTTTCGAGAAAGGTTGCAGGTATTGAAAGAAGGGGCGACGGTATTGGGCAGCTGCCTAGTCCTCCAGAGCTCATCCGGCAGTGTCACTTCTTGTCCGACTTTGTCGTCCGGAGCGCATAGGGGGATTTCAAGGTCGGTATAGGAGGCAACAACCCAGCGGTTGCCCTTGGGACTGACCAATCCATGTGCCCTGATTTCTGTCACACTAAGCAGGTCCAGCTGAAACGATGTCAGGTAGACTTGTTCGGGGCTGTCTACGAGCTTCTTCGCAATGAGCCGGAGGGGAATTGGCTGATTGCATGTGAGAATGGAAGGATGCGGTAACCGGGCTGAAATCTCTACTGATGGCGGCGTCGGGGAGTCAGTGGTAGGACTCGCCAAATAGTCATTCTTTCTGCTGCTAAATATTGAACTGCGCTTCTTCTGTCCTGGCGTCCGCGGCTGGAAGGAAAATGGCCGTCGAGCGAAGGCTTCTTGGCCGGTGACAGGAGGCCGAGGCGGTTCAATGGGCAGGAACTTGAAGCCGAGCTGATAGCGCCAGTTTTCCTTGAGAAGTCCGGGCCGTTGGACCGTAACCTTGATATAATACCGGATCTCCGCCGCCATAGGATATCCAGTGAGTGATGGTGGCAGCGTCGCCGTAGCATGCCGCAGATACAGTTGCTTAGAGCCGTCCATCACCCTGACACCGCTTAATCCAAAGAGGCCGCCGCTGGCTCCATAGCCTCCTAAGCCGGCCAGGCCACCGATTCTTGCCATGGCTTGAGGGTTGCTGCAAGCATTGTTGATAGGCAGCTTGAACTTGAAGGGGAACTGGTGCTGGCCGGCATCGAGGGGATACGAGCCGTAGGGACTGGAGGAGCTTTCGTAGTAGTCGTCTGGGAAAACCTTGACAAGCTTGTACAAGATCTTGTGGTTCTCGCTGACGAAGCTGCCCGGAGGCCCCGGTGGGGGACCGGCGTTGGCAGTGCTCGGCTCGTAGCCGAAGTTTTTGGGGACTTGTAGAGCTGTGCCCGACTCTCCCTCGAGCTTGACGACGATGGAACCGATTTGCTCGCTCCGAGGGAGATTCAGAATGACCTTGCCGGAGACTGCATCGAGATTGGTGTAGAACTCTGGCTGGTTATCCAGCGCAATTCTGATGGACATGTTTGGTGATTTAGCCGCTCCGTTGGCGAGCAGATGAGCCTGCCCGCACGGCTATGGAATGCAATGGCGAGATGAGAGGAAGAATATTGAAGAAGAGAAATTGTTTGTTTTTGTTGCTAGCTCCGCGCAATTGGGCAAGTACCAGGTAGCAGACGAGAAGGTAGGCCGGACGACACTCGGCAATTGATCAGGCGAGGGGCTAAATCCGGCGCAGTGTCACTGTCTGAGACGTGCGAGACGTGCGAGACCAGCGAATTGGACAGAGTCGAGCCGGATACTGAACCCGAGATGGTTCAGTTAATAAACAAGAAGTCAAAACAGGGGTCGCAGGGCTGAGGCGAGGACTACGCGTCAAGACTTTGACGATGGGGGCGCAGCTATGAAGGCACGCCTTGAGCTCATGGGGTGTTGGATTCTGGGATTGATGTCATGCCGGCAAATTGCTGGCTAGGCGTTCCTGCTTATGAGTCCGCTAACGCCAGTGTGGCTTGCCGCGCGAGACACTGACGACGTGCTGAGGCGCAAAGGCCGCTGGATCCGACCGCCGTGGCTTTGTCTCTACACTGAAGCTATTGAGCTGCGACAAATGCAGTGGGAGCTGTATGATTTGAGCATTATTGTTTGAGCATTATTGTTTGAGCATTGACGGCTTTCTTCTTTTTTTCTCTTCTCTTTCCTTTTCTTTTGTTCTAAAAAAAGAATCAATGCTTTGTTCTGTTGGAGCTGGCCTCTGCTGCGGAAGCATCATGCTTGACGCTGAGAATTTGGCGCTGAGAGATTGTTACGTGGTTGGCTGCAACAAAGAGAGCAGATAGAAATCTCATCACAACAATGACAAAGACAAAGACAAGGCACGTGGCATCGGGATGTGTGAAATGGACTCTAGCCTGGTTGAATTGATTGACTCTTTTCTCTTGACTGGTCCAGCATGACGTCTTTTACAGACGTGACGTACGAAGAGCCAAAGCACCGCCATATCAAAGTTTCCCTCCTCCATGATCTGCTATCGCGAGCAGGTCACGATCTGGGAGCTATTGCTCTCAATACAACTCTGCATAGCTGCTCTGCTGCTCTGTTCATATTAGGAAGATGCTGCCTATATGTCCAAAGCAGTTAGTTGATGTTGCATTGGCGCCGAGGCGCTCTTCACTGCAACTTCACCTCGCAGTTCCCGCCTATCGGCATCCACGTCGCCCTCATCGCTCCGCCTCGCCTCGCCTCGTTCTCTGCGACGCATCATGTGATTGCAGATGAATTGCATTCGTCAAAGTGAACACCATCTGTTGGATGCGCCATTTCCTCGCTTTGCACGTCGAGCGCCCGTCAAACGACATCGACCTTGTTCTGCAAACCCAGAACCGTGTTTGGCGCGCCGGGCATCGCCTGCTTTGTCCCATCGAGTGCTCGAGTAGTGAGAAAACCGGGGCCGTGTTTCTACAGCTGTTGGTTCCAGGCACTTCAGCTGCATATTTCACCTCTGCCATGGCGCCATTTTCAGTCCCCAGATTCTCCAGCGGCAGGTTGCTTGGCACAGAGTCAGGCCTCGTCAACCTGCTGTGGATCCGCTGTTGGCTCTCGCTCGCTTCTTCAGTCCACCCTTTCGGCTTCATTGCAACGTCGTGATAAGTGTACGAGTAATACTAGCCTCTGGCTGTGAAGAACCAACTGCATAGGTGCTCTGGATTTGTCAACCGGCTGTCGCTGATTCCCTCTGACCCGAGACTTGCTGCCCACGAAAACTTCCGTGGGAGGATTCTTTTTAAGCCAAATAAGTCGCAAAGAGGCAGTATAATCTTACTATTCGGTACAAATCGAACTGAAAACGAGCGTAAAACGGTATGGGCTTCTCTCTGACGAGACTCTACCGCGGAAATCACAGGGTTGGCATGGGAATTCGTATTGACATGACAGCCGGTGTCACCAATCGAAATCAGGAAGCTGTTAAACACAAAAGACCACAAACCGGGTGATAGAGCCAAACTGCCGGATCCAGTGCTCTCCTCTCTTTGTGTCGACCTGTCTGCCTCTTGAGTTGGGCTACATCCAATATCCACGCTGCGGACCAACGCATGTATGAGTGGACATGATAGGCTAGTGTGCAGGGGTGTCAACCAACAGCAGAAACCACCAGTGCTACGCCACGGCACGGTATTATCCCCGAATAGGCTCTGTTGCTGGCCCCCATCCCGTCATCAAGACTCTCTTCCGTCGAAAAGAGAACTCGTCCGTGGAGAGGAAACTGTCACGACCCCTGTTCGAGTGATACGCCGAACGGCAATGGTTTCTGCAGCCTTAGCTCGGATGCAATCGATCAACGATGACCAGGGAGCTACTCCATCGGGCTGTGGCTACGATCTGCCTGCCATTCTTCGAGCAAGACGTGGATATATGTTAAATAGCTACCGATTCCCTGATCCGTCTCCCCTTTATGGGATTTTCTGCCCATGGCTAGAGAGCATCTGAGGCTACTACACTGGACCATCTTTTCACCATGGCGGCTAACTGTGGCTCAACATGCCCTACCGAGAACGGATTCTTCACAAACGATCTTAGTATCGGGGGCAGTGCAGTCTTCCTCGCTCTCTACGCCTTCTTGACGCCCGTCACTTTTTACCAGGGATACCGGTTCCGCACTCCGGGGTTTTCTGCCTTGCTGGCAACGGGACTGTCCTTTGAGGTCTTGGGATTTCTGGGGAGAATACTCTTGCAAAAAGGCCGAGATCACCAAGGCTACTTCGCCCTCGCTCTCTTGGGAAGCGTTCTAGGAGCAACATTTATATGCAGTGCCATGTCGATTGTACTGCCTCATATACTTGCCCTCTTTGGAGATCGGCACGCACCATGCCAGTCATTCTTTACAGCTTTCCTCCTGAGCGCTTTGCTCATGGTGAGCCTCACACTCAACATAATCGGCATTGTTTTTGTTGTTTATGGGTATGAGGGAGTAAGCGTATGTTATAAACCCATCTTTACGTCTTGTGAAGACGATCTGCTAACAACATCAAAAGCGTGATCGAAGTGCCGACATCATTGCCGGAGGACTGGGCGCTCAAGCTTTCTTATTACTAGTTATCTCTGCAGTGTATACTTGCTTCATCATTGGTTTGAGGCCCGAAGCCGAAGCCCCAAATCCAGCACACTCAGATATCTATTATTCCAGTCGCTTTTCTAGGTTTCTCCGTTGTGAGTACTTTCCAAGTGAGCCCCAATGTGGTCAGGATGTATCGCCTAACACAACAAAGGCATGGAAATGGCAACCTTTCTCCTTCTCGGGCACACGATATATCGGATTTTCGAAATGATTGGAGGCATAGACGGCACTCTGTTTCAGAGCGAGCCAGCTTTCATAGTCATGGACGCACTTGTTCCATTCCTCGCCTGTGTCCTTTTAACTGTGGCCCATCCAGGTGCTGCGTTTGGATCGTCATGGGCTTCAACATCCTCTCGGAAATGCAAGCGTCGCGGGCCTTCTCTGCCGCCATTACAAACGTCGTTCAGTCACGCTGTCCACCACCGCTACGATCCTAATATCCGCCAACAGTTTTCACCTTCTACTCAACGACCACTTCGAGAAGCTAAGCCTCCGCCCACGTACGGTTCTTACGGACTACCATCATCTCCACGGCCGTTGAATAAGCCACCGAGCCCGATCATCTTGTCACCAATATCGGCCCGAGCGGTAAACCCAGAGAATCTAAGTGAGCGATTGGAGAGGTGGGTGGTGCCTCCGGAGTTAGTTGACAGTGACGAGCTATGGTAGCCGGGCCAAGGGTGTGTGGAGGAGTTGGATCCAACGGCATCTGACAGCGTCTGCAAGATATTGCTCCACTGTCATTGCCTTTTTGATACAGGGGAAGCTTTCCACCTTCATGTACATGTAATTAGACAGCAAGAACGCATTCAACCCGACATGCCTTATTAGGTAAAATGTACGGGCCGAAGTGGTTCGAAACCCTGCAAAGGGAGAACGAGCCTATGAAATCGAAGAAATTGATTCATATTGTTCAACTGCCATCGGACCTCTTTGCTCATCGTACGTGTTATTCATGAAAGGCGCGGCTAGTTCGCTTACGGTTCCACACGAACCATTTCCTTTTCCGCAGCGGGCGCGCGGATAAAGAGCATAGCTCTGACTCGGCAGTTATCCTCGCTTCCCGCGTTTCTTTGCTTTGCGCGTTTTTCTCCCCTTGAACGGCGGCTGTAGCTGTAGTGTGATATGTAGCGCTGCCATCTCCATCACGGCGGCTATGATGGTGATTCGTCGATTAACCGCCGCTTAGCAGAAACTCTGGGCAAGCGGGCACTTACACCCCTGCACGAACCATCCATGGAGCCGCGTGTCTACAGGGTTCGAAGCTTGGATGCTCGTGGAAAGTTGGAACTTTGTTGCGAGATGAAGAAGCCAAGATGCTTTGAGCTATTGGAAGGGGGCTGTGAAGTGATTGCAAGGGCCGGGATACGAAGTTTTCCCTTAAACGTATAGTCAAGCACCTGGACATTGTGTGATGGCTGAGAGTTGCGATTTGTTCCTTTGATATGTCAAGCGCCCGGAATCATGCCGGCGGGGCCGGAATGCTGTCTTGTGAGATTTTAGGAAACAAAGCAGGCAGTTTGTCTGATCGGATCGAAACAATAGTGTTGATCGAAACAAAGTCGCTTGAGGCGTCTGTCATCGGTATTCTCCACATTCTGGATCTGCGCTCGGCTCGCGTCTGTTTAGTCTCTTCTTGTGTTATGTTGGGCCGTTAGCAGAGGGATTGTCCGCGGAGGATTGTGAGGCCTGTTGTTGATTCCGTGTTTTTGCAAGGACCAACGCTTTCATTTTCTTTTAGGCGACAATGCCGCGGGAGTGAGATGTGGAAGTAGCGGACTTTTCGGTTATTTTGGCATAGTAGGCATGAGCCTGGGTCATGATGTGGGAGTTTGATGGGCGGGGGAGTAGGTGTTAGTAGGGTAAGCGTAAATATGATACAGAAAACTTGAAGCTTAGCCCATCTGTTTTATATACATCTTGGGTGGCTTTTGCTTTGAAACTTTTATGATTGCGGACATGGCTAGTGGCACTTTCTCAACTTGATATATCTTCAACTTTCTCACTGAGCCATCATCCTTTGGCTTGGGGAATAGTGATCCTTTTCGTCTTGATATGTCTTTTCATTCTTACTGGCCGTTCCATTCATTCCACCTCTGGAATAACTGCTAACCTAAGACCGGGCTACATCTCGCCTTATGTAAAAAGAAAAGTTACCCAGCACTCTAGTTCTAATATTGGACGCCGTCCTCCAGGCGCGAATGATCCAAGTAGAGTTACTGCAGGCTGGAACTAACCACCATCACGCAGTTAGACAAGTTGGTTCGGTGAAGCATCATTTGGGGTAGCATAACTTTTCTAGAAAAGGCTATATCAAGCATCTCAAGAGTAGCTCAACAAGGCAGCCAGCCTATATATCAAGTACCTACTAATCACTTATTGTTTATGCTTTTTATTATTTATACTTGTATGCAGTGATAGCAGTAGTAGCAGGTAGAGTGTGGATAGATTGTACCCGTAGGTAGCGTTTCTCCCTTGTGAGGTACATGTACACATATATTGCTTGTGGAGGGATGACATATCCCGATAGAGAGATTGAACAAAGATGCATTTGGTCCAGGACAGGAGCTTTTTGTATTGCTTGTAGGCCCTGTGGTTGCTGGAATTGCAACCATTGACCGGGAGACGATGTATGCGTTTGACCTGATCATTGACAGGCAATCAATTTGCTCGTCGGAATCTTTGAGTTGTTGGGAGTGCTATGTTCCCATCGTAACGATACAACATTTGCCATGCTTGACAGGCGGAGGTTGCTGAAGCCACCATCACGATGATGTCGGGGTACACGGCTGAGGTAGGTAGCTTTTAGACAGAGGCATTGCGTTGGCTCGGTTATTGATGCGTTCTGCTTTACTCACTTCCCTTGGATAGATCTGAATAATTTGGGAAAGATGTCTCTCGCAGCGTTGCGGGCACAAAAGTCGAATTTCAGCTACCTACATATAATAATCACTTACGATTAACACGTACATAGCTAACTATATGCTTACTTACTTGTTATCGTTGTCGCAAGCTATATTTAAGGCGAGTATAATATGGCCAAGACTATATCTGAATATGAAGTACCAATGTAGTATGTTGTTATACGCTGATGCTTTCGTTTTCTTTGCAGACAGCCTAGGATCTAAGTTGATGTAGAAAGCCAGCAGGATGACAGAACGAGCCACCATATATAGAGCCCTTACTGTCATCTGGGACTGACATTGGACAGGTAGTTGATCCAAATGCCACCAAAATCATCCAATACGAAATTCTCAGCTTTGCCTCTGTACACTGACAAATGCGAACTCAGATCTTCCAGTCTTACTCCTTATAAGGCTGCCATCAGTCATGATAATCCCCACTTGCTTCATTGTGTCCCTCTCAGCTGGACTGTGCAGCACATATCCTCCATATTCCCCCCTCAGTGTTAAAAAAAAATGAATTTCTGTCAAAGTCCATGACTGGCAGTAGTACGTCGTTGCTGTAACCGAGGTACATGCCGGTACTCTTGTTAAAGAACCCCTTGTATTGTGGACCTCGAACGACAACCCAAATTAACTCTGGTGCCGGATAATCGAGGTCTCCCGAATTGCATTCTGCCCAAGCAAGCTCTCCGTTGTCAATCCAAAGTGCCCATCCGGAATATTTTGCCCGAATCATCACTGTAGATCCGGGCAAGGGATCTGCGTCGAGATCACGACCTTGGAAGTTGGGCAGGCTGATGCGTGAAGTGTGCATTCCTGAAGCTGCTCTCATTGTGACTGTGCTTGGATGGAGGTGATTGGATGCTCTGCTGAGTGATGTATGGATATTGAGAAGGTGAGGTATCTTAGGCTGATGGTGTGTAGGAGTAAAGATATCGCAGGAACAATTCATGCTTCGCTCATCATTTAAATACCCGCTTCCAAGGGATTCATTCGCTTCGTAATAGTGGGAATAGAAATACATTTTTTTCCTAGACAGAGGCGTTTTTGGATGGCAGTTTCTGCACGAACGAATTTGGACGGCGGGTTCTGGACAGAGGCGCTTTTGGACGGCAGCTTCCTTGACAAATGTGATTTTGACTTGGGGTAGAGGCTGGTTTTAGTATATGTATATGATTATATGATAAGGTAGCTTCTAAAAAGACGTAGTTATTATATGAATGAAACTTTGGATAGATGTGATTGTAAATAGAGGCGGGTTTTATATAAGTTGTTTCTAGATAGCTGTGGTTTGTGATGTAAGCTACCAGCCCGTGTACTTATCCCCTCAATAAATCAGACTAGGTACATGTAGCTTCCATGCTAAAGATGGGAGATAAAGTACATGCAGTACTAGCAAGTGGTGTTTTACTACCTATAGGAAAAGTGAATTGTCATGAATAATCGCTTTGGTAGTTGAGATGTCTAACGCCAAGTTTCAACATCAAGTCAGATAACACCATGGCCATGGTTGCAAAAGCATCCACTATCCAATATCCATAACCTGGCCAATGTGCCTACTTCGTACAAGCTCAATTCTTCCTCATGAGCCAGAATCTGCCCATCTACGGGGGAAAGAGGGGTGTGAGAACGGGTGGGGTGTGTCTTGCTTCTTTTCTTTTTTCTCTCTTCTCACTTTTTTCTTCTTTTTTCTTCATTTTATTTTTTCTCTCATTTTATTAGTCCTTTTTTTCTTTTTTCCTTTTATCTTCTGTTGGTCCTATTGCATGGGTCGAGAGCAGGGGGGGTGTGAAGAGGGGTGTGGAAGCTTATGGCTCAGGTTTTTATTCTAGACAGAAGCAGTTTCTGAACTCTGAGTAAGCAGAGGCGGTGGAAAGAGGGGTGTGAGAACAGGTGAGCTGGGTTGTGTCTTGTGGTTTTTTTCTTTTTTTTCTACTTCTTTTTTATTTTTTCTTTATTTTTTTCCATGTTGCGTGGAGCAAGAGCAAGGGGGGTGTGAGGGGGGTATGGAAGCTTACGGCTCAGGATTCTATTCTGGACAGAAGCATTTTCTCGACTCTGGACAAGCAGAGGCGGTGAACTGATATGAGTTGCCTCGAAAAAACTCGATCGTGGTGCGGAGCCAGGCACTTTTCGCTCAAATATTTCCTACTATAGTTTAGTGAACAAAGCAACCCGTCAGTGAGTTGTGCTGTGATGGCTTTCCTCCATTTCTGTCGAAGCCGTTCAAACCAGACAATGATCCCATTTCATATGACTTTTGTTTGCCCTTTTGCGCAATGCTGGGCTTTGAGCTCTTGGCTTGGCATGTGCTGCTTCATGTTACTGGAATTGAGGCATTTTTCCTTGTTGATGACGTTGTCATTTGGCACATTGATGATGTACCAAGTCTTCTTTTGTGTCTCCCAAATTAAATGCGGCTCTCACCAATTCTTCTTTGCACGCTTTCGTCGAGGCAACCGCTGAGGTAGTTGGCTCGTATGGCACATTGAGTTGGACCTCAGTCACTACGAGACTGGGATCTGACTTCGCCAACTCAACCACGCTGCTGGTGCACTGTCCATTAAAGGCCAAGCTATGGCATAGAGATACTTGTGAGAACATAAGAGTACTTGAACATTCATCTAACATCCGAAACTGGATAGAAATTTATAAGTGGTTATAGAGGAGCGCTGATCCTTGTTCTACCACTAGATGTAGCTTTTAGATACTCAAGGTACTACTTGGGGGCTAAAAACGTGTGGAACAATCGTCCCGCCGCAGCCTCTTCGCTCCACAGCAATCCTTTATGGTGGAACGAGTACGAGCACTTTTCGGCTGCACTCGAGACGAAACCCCCATTGCCCAGGCTGTGAAGTCTTGGGCAATCATGTTCTGTAGCCGTTATTTACCTACTAACTGAGCAATGGCATCTGTGAGTTGTGCAGACAATCATACAACTATGGACCGAATCAAGCCGCTTCAGCTGAAATCGCACCCGTATTACCTACTGCGAAACAATAACAAAGTTTCAACAACACTGGCTACCTATGCTGTTAACTGAATGGTAGCAAAACAGGTAAAAACAAATGAAGTAATATGTTACCATCATTCTGACAAGTAGCGAAAAGAGTTGTGTAATTGCTGCGCCGTGGTAATTCGAGCGGCTTGGAGGTCTGTGTTCAACATCCTCCACAAGGCTACAAAACAACACTGCGGTTAAGAACTCATACCTGATCTCTGTTTCATCTCATCTCATAAACTTGCTTGCTTGCTCAGCATGCCATCCAGCCTCGCCACTGTCTGCCTTGCTGTTGCTGCGCTGCCCCATCTGTGTTCCCCACATACAGCTGAAGGATCAGTTGAGGTTTCACTAGCCGCCCTGCATAAAGGCCTTTGCCGCTATTAATAGCCGCTTAAATGCCATTGCGTTGAAGATCCGCAAGACAGAATGTTTTCGCAACTAAAATAGGAGAGTTTCCGGTTGAACGGACACATGTGCGACCCTGGCTGGCGAATCCTACTGCGACGGCAGAGGGGCCGTTAACAGACGATGCCTGTAAACCCTGCAGACTGAAGCGGCAAATAGGCATATAGTCTGAGGCTCGACCAGGTAAATGGATGTGAAAACCATGTGTTGGTAGCATCTACGTCGTACAACCAACAGCCTTCGAAAGCTACAAGGCTATAGAGGAGCAGCCTACGTTCGTCCAAGGCTGGCACTCCGCCGTCTACGACCATATAAGATCGCTGCATTCTTCTTCTTCTCGGTCTGCAACCTATCGCTCATTAAACTGTTAGTAGGCATAGACCTAGCCGCCTCCATGGACGACCAATACGCGCAACGGCAATGGGCCTTGGATATGAGAAATGATTTACGAACACCTCCATTGCCTCACGACATGAGGCCCGAACGGGACTTCAACAGACCAGAATGGGATGGCACTGAATACACCCCGATTCAGTTGCAGAGCGACACCAATGCACTGGCACAAGATAGTTTCGGTCATGTTGACTATGTCACAACTCGGTCTGACAGCGACACTCTTAACGTGCCGGATCAGGATATCTACCACACCTCAACTACAGCTGCGTCTATTGTTAAGCCAAAGAAGAAACAATCCGCCTGGATCAGGCTGTCTACAACGTGGTGGATGGAAGCCATTACCATATTCATCAGCACCGGCTTTATGATAGGCCTGATTGCCATTCTCGCCAGTTTCCAGAACCGGCTCACAACGGAGTGGACGTTCTTCATCAGCATCAACGCCGTCGTTGCCATCGTCATCACTGCAGCGCGGGCAACTCTCCTCGCCACCGTATCGGTATGCCTCAGCCAGGAGAAATGGAATCACTTCAACAACAGGGCTCGTCGCCTCCAAGACCTGAATATCATCGATCGAGCAAGCCGTGGACCCTTGGGCTCTATACAAATGCTCTTCAGCGTTTCCTGGGGGATGGCAACAGTCAGCGCGGTAGTCATGATTCTGTCTCTTGTCACCGATACGTTCGTGCAGCAGGTAGTTTCCTTCCAGCCTGGTACCATATATGCCCATCAAGAGGGGTCAGCAACTTTCGGACACGCAGTCAGCTATAGCAGTGGCCTGAACTTTGACCGGGGGCGCTCTGTACACGACGGTATGGTTTTAATAAATCAAGGTGCTGGTCAGTATGATCCTCGTAACTATCCGCTATATTGGTTGAAGCTGTAAGCCTAATACAAAAACCATAGCTATAAACGTTGATATGCAATCTGCCTTCTTCCGGGGCATTTGGCAGACTAGTTGGCCCTCTGGGGTGAACTGCACCTCCAACTGCACCTGGGACCAGTCCTATTACACCATAGGCTTCACCAACACCTGTGCCGACGTCACGAAGGAGACTTTGGAGAGTCTCCAGTGCAGCGACAACCGCACTATCACCCTGCCTTATGCCTATCCTGCTCCTTGCAATCTGACCACACCGCACGGCTTACACTTCCCTTTTAAGACAAACGTCGGGGGCTCTTCCATGGCTATAAACTCTAGCGGCTGGGATTCTGGCACAAATTCATACAAATTGCTGGATGGCAGAAACATTTCCAGAACGGCCTTCTGGTCTTGGAACCGAGAAGACATTGACATGACCAATATGAGTGTCCAACTGAAGCCGATGCTGCAGAATTCGACAGTCGTGGAGTGCACATTTGGCGTTGTAGTATACAAATACTCCAACATCTCATTCATCTCAAACAAGTTCACTGTCGGCGCAACCGAGAAGACACCCCTTGGGAAAGCATCTGGTTACACAGACCTGATTCTGCCAGAGTGTGCTTCTAATAACTGCTTCTGGAGAGATGAGCTGCTTTGGTGGAACAATACCAGCCCGGACATTCCACACATTTCCTTCTCCGCGACAGATCTATCCATAGTAACTCGCCTCTTTGGATCGCAGGCTTTCTCTGGTAGCGTCGGCCTGACGACCCTGTCTCCCCTCAACGCGCCAGCGGGCAGCACGATAGCGTTTGGCAACGGAAGCCTGGAAACTGTGTCCGGCATACTCGACAACGTGGCACAGAGCTTGACGGACATGATACGGGAAAAGGGCACGGTACAGGTCGCGCAAGGCCTAACGAGCCAGGCCGTTGTGTACATGCGCGTGCAGTGGCTGTGGCTCATCCTGCCGATAACTTTGCAAGTGCTTGGTGTGCTGGCGTTGATTGGGGCTCTGATTGGGAGAAGGCAGAGCAAAGACGTGCCGCTGTGGAAGGGCTCGGCTCTGGCTGTGCTGTATCATTCCGTTGATAAGGACGGAGTTTTGGGAACTCAAGTGAAGGATTTACAAGAACTGGAGGATCTGGGATTGAAGCAAGTTATGCTAGAGAAGAAAAATGATGGGACTGATCCGTAGCACTCACTGAAAGGGGCTATATGACTAGAGGGGAATCTCAATATTACTTTGTGTTCTGTTCAAAAGAGATGGCTGTGGGAGAATTTGTTTGACATTCTGGCGTCTTTGTGTATTCTAGGAGGATTATGGTTCTTGGAAAAATGTTCATGATATCCATGTATTTGACTGCCTGTCGTACTTGTATACGAATGACTTGTGATGTACGTTAACTTTATGCTCCCTTTAAATATACAGTCTATTTATGATACAGTCTGTTTACTATACAGTTCAATTTACCCCGTGACATGACCTTTTGCCATAATTGGCCTCCTCATAGCCTCCATAAACGTCTATTCGTGTATGCAGCGCGGCTCGCCCCTGGCATTCGACTAAACCGCGGAGGTAGTTGGTGACCACGACCGGTCTGGCGCCGCGCCTGAGAGCTCCAGTAAGGATTCGAAACAGAGCCATACGCACCAAAGTCATGCCAGGCGCTGAAAACGAGCTGCCCATGGCGCTGGTGATAGAAGGCCGAATAGTCGGTCGGGCACCACCTGCAATGGCGATGTATCTCCTGCCCGGGATGGAGGATCGCCTGGGTCACGGCCTGGTACAGCTCTGCTGTTTGGTGAAGCCACGCCACCATTCCTCGATAGTCCCACGGGCTGTCTACCATGGCCATGTGTGGGCAGATGGTCATCCAACTGTGCTGCATGTTGGAGTATGTGGCTCGGTTGTTCCCGTTTCCGACGATTATTCTCTCGCGCAAGAGGAAGTGTCCTTCGGCAATCCGGGGGCGGGCGGTATATGAGATGGTCAGGTCAGAGCTGATGGTCGTATAATGATGAGTAGTCAATAATCCTTCGAGATAGTTTGTATTGACTCCTCGGCCATACAGCTTCAGGGCAAGCTGGATGTGATGGTGCTCGAGATAGTATCTGGCCCAGATACGTGCCCCATATTCGATTGGCTGGACGCAAGTAGGCGATCTGCTCACCGAGGGCAAATCGTCCGGATCGATGGTGTGTAGCCGGCCGCAAGTTTCGCAGGCCCAATGATATGGAGAGCCGTAGGCAACAGCTATGAGGAAGTTGTTTCTCTCAGACAAGGACCGGGAACGCAAGTACTCGTTCCAGTCGCGAGATACCAGCCGCCGCATAGTCCGACAAGTTTGTGTAAGAAGAAACTGGTCATGGGCGGCAAGGTGGCCCGTAATGCAGAGGACGAGCTCGTCTGGTAGCCCGAGAATCGGACAATTTGGGGCTGCTGGGGTCGGGTCGGGGAAGAACCACCTGTAAAGGGCGTATAGCGATTGTAAGAGAGGCATGATGGATGTGATGTCTCGAGTCGAGTATGTGTTGTGGGTGTAGGTGGGAGAAGATTTTAAGTACGTAGTGGGAATGGACGTAATCACTGGCATAATTCACCATTATATAGGAAAAAGAGACGGGAAAGACGACAAAAGAGTTTGAAAAAGCCTGGGCCTTACGACGAAGTTAGATACTCGTCTCGCCGAAGATTACGACGTGTGGCTCTATCGTAGCCTTCGAATAGAACAAAGTGGCTAAACGCCATTGCTTGTATCAAACTACCTACGCAGTACTCAGCAGCAGATGGGACGGTATAGTAGATTTGTAGGTAGTATAACTCCCAGCTGCAGTATCTTTGAGCCTCACGATGGAATTAAAATGGCTGGGCGACCCGTTTTATACGACGCACTTTCATCGTAGCCTTGGAAATGAGCAAAGTGGCTAAAGGCTATTGCATGTATCGGACGACCTGGCAGTACTTGATAGCAGATGGGGCAACATACTAGATTGATAGGGAGGATGACTTCTGATTGTGGTATTTTTGAGAAACACAGTTGGTAGAGTTGTGCCGGTAATACTTTGTAAAGCCAATCGCTCATTTATACGAGGAATAGTAACTATCGCGACCTTTGATGGAGCAAAGTGGCTAAACGCTATTGCATGCGGAAACCCAGGCAGCACTCAGCAGCAGAAGCGATAACATACTGAACCAATAGATAGGATAATTCTTTGCATCTTCGAGAATCAGGATTCGGGCTGTATCAGCGATAATCTGCAGAGCAAGTCGCTCATTTACGCTGAAAAGTGACTTGTTTCAACGGCCGAGAGACTGCAAATGACGAGTCACCATAGCGAATGCACTACCGCCATGCCTTGTCGATCCCGCCGAAGCCACCGCCACCCAGCACCAGCCGTTGCAGCAGATGCAGCGTGGCTGGGAGCTAGAAGCCGGAAAAAGAAGCCAAAAAGCGAGGCGTGGAGAAGCGAAACGGCCCTCAGCGAGCAGCTGGGCCACGGGGTCAGGTCACTTTGGAAGCGTCTTAGCGACTCCACCTCGACGTCCAAATAAAGGCCTCTCTCTCACTAAGCCCGCGCACCGCCTTCTCTGGCCGCCAGCTGTGCTATATCAGGCCTTTGTCCCTGAATCTTTTTCTTCTGCCACTCCTATTCTCTCCTCTTTGCCTTCTCGCTTGCACGCAGTCTTTACTCTGCTCCTGATATTGCTGCAGGACAAGCACACGCCTTTGTCACAGCAAACATCCCTCGTCTTTCTACCCTCACCGTCTCGCTAAACCCCCACCATGGATGACAGCAAGTTTCTCGAGGCCTCGGCCAAACACCCCATCGTCGAGAACCACGTCTACAAATATGGCACTGCGGGCTTCCGCATGAAGGCCGACCTGCTGCCCGGCGTCTCGTTCCGCGTCGGCCTCATTGCCGGGCTGCGCAGCCGCAAGCTCAACGGCCAGGCAATTGGCGTCATGATCACCGCCAGCCACAACCCGGCCGCCGACAATGGCGTCAAGATTGTCGACCCCATGGGCGAGATGCTGGAGCAGGACTGGGAGTCGCACGCCACGCTGCTGGTCAATGCGCCCACGCACGAGGAGCTGCTCGAGACGTACAAGAACCTGGCCTCGCAGCTCAAGATCGACCTGAGCTCGCCCGGCCGCGTCGTCTACGGTCGTGACACCCGCCCCTCGGGCCACAGCCTTGCCGCTGCCCTGGCCGACGCCCTCGAGGCCACCAACACCGAGTACACCGACTTCAAGATCCTCACCACGCCCCAGCTGCACTACCTGACCCGCTGCGTCAACACCGAGGGCACCCCCAAGGCCTACGGCGAGGTCAGCGAGGCCGGCTACTACAACAAGCTGTCAGAGGCCTTTGTCCGCGCGCTGCGGGGCAGACAGGTCCAGGGCCAGCTGGTTGTCGACTGTGCCAACGGCGTGGGGGGCCCCAAGCTCTCCGAGCTCCTCAAGATCATTCCCAAGGACAAGACTGGCTTCAACGTCAAGGTTGCCAACGACGATGTGCTGCGCCCCGAGGTCCTCAACCTTGATGTGAGTACACACAAATCTTCACCGACAGTGTCCCGTGTTTGTGAACTTGAAAGCTAATGCCGATAATCCTCAGTGTGGTGCCGACTTTGTCAAGACGAAGCAGCGAGCTCCCCCGAACGTCAAGCCCGCCGCCGACACCCGATACTGCTCCCTCGATGGCGACGCAGACCGTCTGATCTACTACATGGCCGACCCCGAGGCCGGCTTCTTTATGCTTGACGGAGACCGCATCTCGTCCCTCAACGCTTCCTTCATCGGCGACCTTGTCCGCTCTGCTGGCCTGGAGGATGACATTCGGATTGGAGTCGTCCAGACCGCCTACGCCAACGGCGCCAGCACTACATACATTGAGAAGAACCTGCAGCTCCCTGTAGTCTTCACCCCTACTGGTGTCAAGCACCTGCACCATGCGGCCTGCCAGTTTGATATCGGTGTCTACTTCGAGGCCAACGGCCACGGAACCGTTGTCTTCTCCCAGGAGGCTCTTCGTGTCTTCCGAGAGAAGCAGCCCCAGTCACCGGCCCAGAAGGATGCTCTTGAGACGCTGGCTGCTGTCGGCGATCTGATCAACCAGACCGTCGGCGATGCCATCTCAGACATGCTCATGGTGGAGGTCATTCTTGCCCACAAGGGATGGTCCCTTCAGGACTGGGCCACTACATACACTGACTTGCCCAACCGCCTTGTCCGCGTCGAGGTCGCCAACAAGGACATCTTCGAGGCCACCGACGCTGAGCGACGCCTCAGCCACCCTCCTGGTGCCCAGGACGAGATCGACCAGTGCGTTAGGAAATACACTACGGCTCGCTCCTTTGCCCGTGCCAGTGGCACTGAAAATGCCTGCCGTGTGTATGCCGAGGCTGCTACTCGACACGAGGCTGATGAGCTGGCCAACAAGGTGGCCAACATCATCAAGCAGTTTGGCTCATAGTTTTCGTATGAAGACTGAGTAGACGCACGATGGAGCAAACAAGTAAAGTAAAAGAAAAAAACAATATACCAAAAATCTACGAGAGTCTGAGAGGAAGAAGGCCGTATCAGTTGTTTTGAGCTACTACTATCACGACTGGCAAACTACACAGGGAAAAAAGCAGTTGACGAATTTGAATGATCGTTACGAACTTACTGGGACGGCATCGCTGGAGTAAAGAATTTGCAAGATTTTACAAAAATAAAAGGGCGATTGATAGAATTCGCGCAACGCTGACATAGATGTCCATATGACCTAGGTAGTTTACCAGTATTAGGGAGAATGCCTACAAGTAAATTGGGAGCGGCAGAAAAAAGTGAAATATATGAATCTAAAAGACATTTGGTCTATCAATTGAAGATTTTTATTGTAGATTTTTTTTCCCTTTTTCCTTTTTTGTTTAATGCGGTGATGACAGTCAAACAAATCTTCTGATGACTGATGCCGGCCGTGCCCACTAGACGCGTGCCGTTTTACTTGACGCGTGCACTAACACTTGCACTATTTGATGTGCTCTGAATTCACGTTTAGACAATTCGCATCCAAGCTGCTTCTCTTTCCCTTCTTCCATCTCCTTTATTCACGCTAAAATCTTCCAGAAGATTCATACAGACTTCTTCTGCGTTTCAAAATTCTATTTTGGCTGTGTCCTAAAATGGCTGTTTCTTGCAGCCCTCGGCAGAATGGAAGACTCTGAATGTGCCAACGCCCAGTTCCTGGCCTGGGTCAAGGAATGGTTGGATGTTGCCAGAGAACGCAACTCCAAAGGCGTCACAGCATATAGAAATGCATACGAATCTCTCAAAGCATGTCCCATTGCATTCGAGCATCCTGCATCGCTGCAGCAGCTCAAGGGATTTGGGCCAAAACTCTGCGAGCGGCTTCAAGACAAGCTGAAGCAGCACTGCCAGCAAAACGGGCTGCCCATGCCGGAGCATCCTCAAGTCAGGAAAGCCAATGAAAGGGCCCAGCAAGAAGGAGACGATGCGGAGACCAGGCCCAAGAAGAAGACAAGGCAGCCCAAGTCATACGTCCCTGCGTTTAGATCGGGCGCTTATGCCCTGATACTCGGCCTTTCACATCTTCCTGAAGATGTATCCTCCAGCTTGACCAAGACAGAGCTGATAGAGGCTGCGCAGCCACATTGTGACGCCTCGTTCACCACGCCAGTAGACACGACAAAGTTTTACACTGCTTGGAGCTCGATGAAGACGCTGGTTCAGAAAGAGTTGGTGTACGAAAGAGGACGGCCCCTACGCCGATATGCGTTGACGGATGAAGGCTGGGCGGTAGCTAAACGAATCAAGGAGACGGCGCAGTGGCGAGATGAAAACATGTCCAGCGTGCAACAGGGGTCAAATCATCGCCCGCAGCCACCGTCTATATCAGTAGAAGATGAAGACTTGATACCCATTGTCAATGAAGCCGTAACAACAACAGCCGATGAGCCATCGTTTTACAGGAATATCGTCTCAGACGGCCCGGTTGTTCTGGAAGATGAAGATTTGCCCGCCTTTACTCCGATTATTCTCCCTCCTGGGTCTTTTACCGTGCACCTGCTACTCGACGTTCGAGAGGTCAGAGCTAAAACAGATCGAGACTATATGCAGGAGGAGCTTGTCAAGCAAGGGGTAAAGCCAATTATGAGAAGTTTAGAGGTTGGCGATGTCCAGTGGATTGCCAAATGTCATGACCCAATGCTCTTATCAAGACAAGGAGCTGAGGGAGATGAGATTGTCCTGGACTGGATCGTTGAGAGAAAACGTCTAGACGACTTGGTTGGAAGTATCAAGGACGGTCGATTCCACGAACAAAAGTTTCGACTCAATCGGGCCGGCGTAAAAAAGGTGGTCTATCTCATTGAAGAAATCTCCATGGACTCCGCCGCATATCAGAGATACGAGGAGGCAGTGCAGTCAGCCATTGCATCAACGCAAGTAGTTAACGGCTATTTTGTGAAACGGACTCAAAAGATTGACGACACCATCAAATATTTAGCCAAGCTGACGGCGATGCTCAAGCGCACGTACGAGAAGAAGCAGCTGCACGTCATCCCAACAAAGGTCATCACCGCACAGAATTACTCGCGCTTGATTCAACACCTTCGCGAGAAGCAGCCTTCAGTTGGATATTATGTCACGTATCCGGCTTTTGCGTCTTTGGCTTCCAAATCGGAGACGATGACCCTCAGGGACATTTTTCTCAAGATGCTCATGACAACAAAGGGACTTACCGGAGAGCGCGCGCTCGAAATCCAGCGCAGATGGAAGACGCCATATGACTTCGTCAAGGCATTTCACGCGTGCGGATCGGATGAGCAAGGCAAAAAGCGCAAGAGAGAGCTTGTATGCAGCGAGCTGAGTCACTTGATTGGACGTAAAAAGATATCCAAGCCCCTGAGTTACAAGATTGCGGAAGTTTGGGGAGACGCTTAGAACATTGACGCTTCAGAATTTTTTTAAGCCTCTATATAAATAACCCCCTTCAAATCTCACTAACGCTGCGTTATCATGGCTTTGCGCCCTGGCTCTTTGCAATGACACGCTCAACAATCTTCTCAAGAAGAGGGATCGAAGAAGCGTTGCCGTCGCCAAGAATACCGCCCAAGGACTTCTCAGCGTACTTGGCCATCATGTCAACCTCGATGTTGACTGTATCGCCCTTGACCTTGTTTGCCAGGACCACTCTCTCCTGAGAGTATGTAATCAGCATAATCTCCCACCACCCCTCATCATCATTGACTTGTGTAACAGTCAAGCTGGTTCCATCAATGCCAATGTATCCCTTGTACACAATATACCGCAGAAACTCCCTCTTCTTTGGCTGGAACCGGAAAGTGAGAGCGTTGCCATCCGGCGTTACTGAGAGGATCTCAGCAGTTGTGTCAACGTGGCCCTGGACAAAGTGGCCGCCCATGCGGGTGTCGGCCCTGACGGCGCGTTCCAGGTTCACATGGCCGGACTCTGCGAGCGTGCCGAGGTTGGTGATGCGCAGCGTCTCGGGAGCGACGCCGATGGTGAAGGTGTCCTTGGTGAAGGAAGTGACGGTCAGGCAGACGCCGTTGACGGCGATAGAATCGCCCTCGTGGCAGTCTGTAAGGAGGTTGGAGCCGGGGGAGATGGTGACGGTCATGACCGAGCTGCCGGTGGCGGCATCATTCTCGATGCGAGAGATGGCTTAGCTTTAGTGTTAGTCTGCAGTATGATTATAACGATAGGATGCGTGCTGTCTTACTGCCAATCTCTTCGACGATACCGGTGAACATGGTGTCTGATGTGAAGTGAATTGAATCTGCGATGAGTCTTAGTCGACGTGAAGCGAAGTCTTGGAATCCTTTTGAAGGGTTACTCACACGATAGTGAAAGTCCGCTCAACAAAGCCGTGAATAAGCCGAGACTACGGATTGCGGTGTGTAACGATGCGGGATGGATAGCAACTTGTTATATGCTCTGTAAAAATATCAAAAATGTGCGAGAAGCAATTCAATATGAAAAGCAGATGAAGGTTATAAAATTGATTGATTATTAGCTTCAACTCGCTTCGCTTCTAGACAACTAAGCAGGAGGCTAGTCTTACCAATCTCTCAGCTTCAGAAGTCTGGCTGATGCCAAAGCAGCAGAGCCCCGCAGTGTATGTTCCTGTTCAAGCTTATCGATAATGGCCCCGCCAAAAAATCTCAAGTTTTCAAAGTGGAATTTGGAGTGCGATGCGACTGAGCCGTGACGGCTTTTGTGTTGGAACTCTCCTTATACCATTTCTCACCAACTTGACGAACCAATTTTCTACAACTTATTTCCGCATACATCTCTCAGCAATCTTTGAACTATAATTTCTCGCATTCTATCACATTTTATCTAAATCTAATTAATTTTATCAGCCATGGCACCAGGCCGTGCCGGCGCCAAGAAGGACGCCCCCAATCCAAACAAACTTCTTACGGATGCAGAGACTCAGTATGAAGTGGGAAATCTCGACGAGGCCATTGCCCTCGCATCAAAGGCTCTGGAACAGACGGGAGAAGGCGGAGATTTTGAGCTCAAGGCCTTGAACTTGCTGGGCGTTTTGAACGTTGAGGATGGCGAGGTGGAAGAGGCTCGAGAATACTTCTTACGAGCAGTCAAGCTGGATGAGGAAGGTATTCTGGAGGAAAAGATTGGCGGCGGGCCCGAGAAGTTCCTGTTTCTGGCGCAGCTGAGTGAGGAGGGCGGACAGGACAGCGTCCAGTGGTTTGAGCGCGGCGCCTCTGCCCTGCGGAAACAGATTCAGACGTTAAACGACATCGCCAACCGGACACCTGAGCAGCAGGCTGCTCTCGACGAAATGCAGAGCAAGCTCGGCGGCGTCCTGTGCGCAGTCGCCGAGGTATACATGACCGATCTATCGTGGGAAGCGGACGCCGAGCAGCGATGCGAGGCGCTCATCACCGAAGCGATGCTCATTGCGCCCAACTACGCCGAGACCTGGCAGACCGTGGCCAACGTGCGCATCTCACAAGAACGAGTCGACGAGGCTCGCACGGCGCTGAAACGAAGCCTGGAGCTCTGGCAGGATCTGCCCCCGGAACACCCTTCGGTGCCGGAATTCCCCACTAGAGTCGCATTGGCACGACTGCTCATGGAGACGGAGATGGAGGAGCAGGCCCTCCTGGTGCTGGAGCGATTGGTCACAGACGATGATTCCAGCGTCGAGGTGTGGTATCTGGGAGGATGGTGTCTGTACGTCGCGGGCGAGAAGCTGCGCGATGCGAAGCAGCCCCAGCAGAACGGCGCCGAGGACGACGCCAGCGAGGAGTGGAAGGCAACGTGGGGTTACGCAAGGAAGTGGCTGACACAGTCTCTGAAGCTGTATGAGCAGCAGGAGTATGAGGATGAGAGGCTGGGCGAGCATGCGTCGGAGTTGCTGCAGAGTATTAATAAGGAGTTGGGCGAGCCTCCGGAGGGGGAGGATGAGGAGGAGTGGTCTGGTATTAGCGATGATGAAGAGGATGGTGATGAGGAGATGCAGGGTTAAAGGGGAGGTTAATAGTGAAATTTGGATGAATGGCGTTTAGACAAAATGGGTTCAGATTACGAAGAATAAAAAAGGGTCGGTTTGACGAAGTGAGAAGGCTTTCAGGGGATCTATACCACTAGATACGACAACCTAAATTTTATGACATACACGTTACCTTTCAGCATAGAATGCTCTTGAGTCAGATGAATATACTTGTGAATGGATCAGCCAAGCAATGCAATGATGTCTTCATCTTTTTCTCTAATAGATGTGACGTCTGTTGTGCTGCTTCTCTCTTCTCTGCAAATTGTACAAGATTCCCAAAGATGAAGACATTTTATAACTCCCCGGAAAAATAAACTCCATATACGTTTTAAAAGAACATAAACCCCAAGATAAAAATTAATCATATCCTTCTCAACGCTCTCCTTTCATTCACGCAGCCTCCACCTTGAGCTGCTCAACACCATCCGCCAACCCCTCCTCCTCATCAGCAGCAACATCGTCCTCCTCGACCTTGCCCGCCAACCCTCTCTCCCAAAGCTGCCGCCCCGTCAACTTGACCGGCTCCTTAATCCTCGCCTTCTTCAGCTCCGCCAGCCTCTCCTCCTCCTCCTTTACACGCTGCTCCTCCATCTCGCGCAGAAATCCTTCCCGCCACTTGAGGAACGTCTCCGGCGTGACGGCGGTGCCGTGGAATTTCTTGTTCTCCTCGCGCTCAGCGGCGAGGGCGGCCTCCTCGGCGATTTTGGCCTCTGCGTCGCGGCGGTCCTGGATGAGCTGCTCGGCGGCCTCCTTGAGGGTGGAGTAGAGCGTGAAGATCATGGCCATGCCGAGGTTCTCCTGGATGGTGTCGTTGAGGTTGGCGAGCAGCGCGTCGCGGTCGTCGCCGACGTTGAAGTGCAGGTGCGCGGGGGCATTGGGCGGAGCGATGATGTCGAGGTGAGGCGCGACGTCGGGGTAGTCGTCGGGGTAGCGGACGGCGAGGAGGAAGCTGGGCGGTTCATCGTCGGTGTCGTCGGCGGATTCTTCGCCGGGGACGTCGAGGACGATGTTTATTCGGAATTCGGTCTCGGAGATGTCTGGATGGGAGATGTGATTAGTTGGTAAGTGTGTATATAGACATAGGGAAGAGAGCTGCTTGTTTTTTTTCTCTTTCTGTTCTGGCTCGTCGTTTTGTTCTGCCCATGGTGTTTGGAAGAGGTGTAAGATCAAGATGAGGTTGCATGCATACCTGTGATTTCTTCGGGAAAGATGGACTCGAGCACTTCGCGCTCCTCGACCTGATCTTCGCGACCCATTGCGGCGGCTGAGATGTTGGCCTTTTCTTGATGGATGATGCTTGATGGAGCTTTTCTCTGGAGGCTCGGGTTGTTCTTTTAGGTGGGGTTGGAAGGCTGTATGGCGGGGTTCAATTCGTGGGGACGGCTGTTTTTAGATGGAGCTGCGTTTAGAGATTCTGATGTCTAGACATGAATTTGTGGACGGAAACAGAATAGAAAATATGTGATTTGGTTCTTATATATATGGCTTGCAATGAAATCTCAGCCAAGTAAAAATATGTAGCTAATAATGGTATAAAGAAGAGTACAACGACCCCAGATGGTTAAAGGTTCAACTCCCAGCAATATACAAATATGCATAAATTGGCCGTTGCCAATACTGTTACAGTCTTACAACAGCGGGGTGGTGTACTGCTTCCCATTACAGTATTGCACAAACCCATCCAGGTCCATCTTCTTCAGCACCGTGCTGAACTTGGCAGACCCAGCCCCGATGCCTGAATCCGAGCAGAGAGCAGCAGCCCGCGAGGCGTCAATGTTTGGCGCACCCGAGGGATACTCAATGTGGAAGACGGGCTTGCCAGCCTTGATAAAGGGCTCAAAAGTCTCACATTCGGAGTACTCGGCGCACTGCTCGTTGACGGAGAAGTTGATAAAGTCAATCACCTTGGGGATGATGTCGCCGGCGTTCTTCAGGCCAATGGACATGTTGTACGAGCTGGCCACGCCTTGAAGAAACTTGAGAAAGTCTATGGAATCCTGTTGAGTAAGATTAAGTCCATTGTCGTTTTGCTAATCACATAAGATACACGTCAGCTTCAGTTCTTATTTTAACTTCACGAGAATAGAAGGCGGAGGCTTACATAACCATCGACGTTGTCGGGGTCAATTGCATCACAGCCCTTGGAAGCCGCAAGCTTGACACGATCACTCATGATGCTGCGAACATTTGGGCTGCTCAGCTTCAACCATTTCTCATCGGGCCATCCGTCGAGAGTCTTGCCCAGGTCCGACGCTTGGAATCGGTCCTTGTCGGGCCTATAGTTCTCATACGAGCCCGCGCTGAAGTAGCAGATAACTTTCTTGCCATCGTCATGCAGCGTCTTGAACGTCGCCGCGTCGTTGGTGAAGAGGTCGAGGTCGTAGATGCTGACGTCCGGGTTCGGGGCGGTCTTGTTGTCGAGCTTGATGGCGCCTTGGAGCACGATTTGCCATGTCGCATTGACGCTGGGCTGCCACGTGGATGTTTGACTCGAACCGCTTGGGAGGCTCTTGGGGTCGTTCGAAGAGGAAGAGCTCGAGCTGTCGGAAGAGTCCCCGTGACCGCCTCGCTGCGTCAAGCCGACGCCCAGGCCGACGCCGAGACCGACAGCAGGGACGAAGAGAAAGGCGCCCGCAATGGCGAGTACCTTCCAGCGCATCCACGGCTGCTGGCCCTTGCTTGATCCGGAGAGTCCCATGTTGTACAGTTGATGCTATTCGATGACTAGTATCTGTTGTGACCCAGATCGATGATGAATTGCGAGACAGTGTCTTGATATTTATCTCTACATGACAACCCGCCGCTACGGAAACTCACCGAGCGAATCCTGCCTCTATAGCGCTGTCAACTAGGTAGCCGTTCCTTTAAAGCTTTTAGCTACATATTTTACGTTTTTTAACTCTTCTAGGGTCGCAACTTCATGCCCAGAGTCGCAGTCGTGATGGTTTCATGTATCGAAAAGGAGGATGCGGCGCAGCAGGGGGGCTAGAATAGCCCCCGCTGTGGCTCAGGAGTCTGTAATTCTGAGTAGCTCAGCGCCACAGCAGTCTAGGCGTTCAGACATTCATTCATTTGCACTAGCAGAGTTTTGGCGGACCACTTGTCAGATAACACCGGCTAGGCAATAAGAAGCAAGAGGAGCGTCATAGGGGCTCCACTACTTAAAATAGAGATTGGCAGCAATTGTGCAAGAAACAGGTTGACAGGGGACCGTCTGTACCGAGTACGAGGCTCGTAGCATGTCGAAAATTAATTCCATCTCATGTTTGTATGTAACAAGCTTTGTCAGGCCGCTCCCAGGTAGCCAGTACATGCGGCAGGAGGCTGCATACTCTGACAAAAGCGGCGATAAAACGTCCGCCAGGCCGCGTGTGGTTGAAACAACCCCGGCATTTCCCATGTGATTTGTCTGCCTCGTACCTGTGTGTTTTGTGTCATGTACTCGGTACCTGCAAGCCCTGCCCATCTGTCGATATCGCAGCATTGGCCGGAAATCGGTCTTCTGCTTCCCCCTTGCTTCGGCAGGCACCGGACCAGCTTATGTAGTGTTACTAATCCCTGGTGCTCAGAAACGAACAGGACCCCAGCAAGGCGAAGAGAGGCGAAGAGAAGAAAGGGAAGAAGAAGAAGAAAAAAAATTCAACGCCTTGGGCTTGTCCAATCTGCGGCCCTGTCTGGCGTGCCTTGATTATGCATGGCCGCATGCGAGATAGTGCGATGCAATGCGGCGCTGATGCAACGCTGCAGCAGGCAGGGGGCACTTAGCGACCCTTCAGCGCTGTCTAGTGGCCTGTCCGGTGGGCTCGACCGCCCACGGTGGGCACTGCGGCGAGCACGATAGGCCCCCCAGCGCTGTTCCAAGGCATGCGGTTGAATGGAGCCGGCGCAAGCTGTGCAGCCTCGCGAGAATCGCACGATTGCGCTGCTCGACGGCTTCCAGCAAACGCGTCGCAGTGCTAGAAGCAGGGCGCGGACTTGTCCAATGGGCCACTGACCGCAAGCAGCCACCGCCTGCGAGACACGCCGCCAGAGAACAGAGGTACAGAGTACCCGGCCATGCTACTGGAGGCACTATCCGACGCTTATCTGGTCCCAGAGCAGAGCTGCAACAACGCCCCCACCGCCCAAAGGCTCACCGGCCACATTTAATTTCGCACGATTTCAAACTAGCAAGACCTCGTACCTCGAAACTCATACTGTCCTTGACGCCGCTGGTTCTTCCATCCCGGGCTGTGGCGACCCTCGAGCTGCTTTTCGTCATCATCTCGTGGCCATCGTCTTTTCGATTCTTTGTTCCTCGATTGCTTCGATTCCCATATCTCCCCTCCACCTTACTTTACCTCCCCCTCCGGCCACGCCGTCGACCTCATTAATATTCCTAATTCTTAATCACAACCATGGGCAGCTATACATTCAAGTGGTGAGTTTTGTGCTTTCCTTATTGCGACAGAAGTTTTGCGCCGCGAAGCATCTCCGATCTAAGAAAAAAAAAATTCTGTTCTACTCGCACCAATGGCTACGATTTTCCGAGACCACGAGATCAGAGAAAACGAGATGAGCCTCCACCGGCTTGGCGCGGAAACGAGACGACGCCGCTATGGATTTACGCTATGAGACGCTGAGCTGAGCTGACGTTTGGGCTGTTTTTCTGATCTAGGGAGCATCCCGCCGAAGAAGTGTTCGTCACCGGCACTTTCGACAACTGGACAAAGAGCGAGCAGTTGGCCAAGGTTGGCGATGTCTTCCAGAAGAATGTCTTTCTGAAAGATGCCTCGCAGAAAATATACTACAAGGTGGGTTGAGATGCTGTTCTCGTGTAGCTGCTGCTGCCCTGATTCCGTCCGTTTGCTGTCTCTGAGCCACGTTTTGCGGCGCTCTTCTTCCCTTTTCTCTCCCCTGATTTATGCTCTACAAGATATACCAATCCCCTTTCTCCCCATCTCATGCTGCATCCGCGACCGTCGTCGAGCTTGTTTGCCAGCTTCAATGCGCCGTCCATCCCATCTCTCGATCTGATCCACTGGGGGCTAGTGCCTCCCTTGTTCGCAATGCCGCAGTAGACGCCCGCCCAATCAAGCCGCCCGTTGCCGTCTACGCACACGATCCCACAAGATGCCATTCCAGCTGCGGCGCAAACCATTGGAGACGGATCAGCCAGGCAGAGCTTAGCTGGATCGGATTGCGTCCCTTGATGGCGGCTCTGCGATGGGAGGCCTGTCGCTGGGCTGGTGCTGGCTCTGGCTCTCGTCGCGGCTTGTTCGCAGGCTCTGCAGCGGTTTGCGCAACTTGCCGAATCCCCCACGGCGCTGTCGCAATCGTTCGGTACGGGGGCTGTGACGCAGCGCAACGCAACGGCTCGCGGGGTTGGACGGTTGGTGCTGATAACAGCGCTGGTCATCCGACTCACCAATCCTTTCTCCTTCTTCCGCCGACGCCTAGCGCTCGCCGGCCGCGACCACAGCCCGGTGTAGCGGTGAGATTCCGCGGCCTTGCTTTGCGCCACAGCCGCAATGACAGTGGTGATCTCCCCAAAGTCGTCGGTTGGCCTGATTGGCGCGCTGCCAAAGTCCGCTGCTGATCAAGGGGACTTAATCTACTTAATTCTACCTACCTAATCCATCTCTTCCATGATTCCCACTAAGCAGCCGCTTAATTGGGGGGATTGGGCCAAGCCCCCTTGTCTTCGTACCAAAAGCCCCCGCTCCGGCCTGGCCAACCCCCTTCCAAGGCTGTTGTCGTGCATATATCACGTCACACGCACCTAGATAGTGGATTCAGCCTGTTACGCTCTGCATCATAGTACATATATATTTCTTGCCCGTCCTCTCCAGCAACACGAGGCTATTTCTGCCTGTTGAATTTTTTTTTTTTTGCTGACTTCTTCTTCTTTTCGCTCCTGCTTACAGTACGTCGTTGACGGAGACTGGACCGTAAACGAATCTTCCCCTAAGGAGGCTGATCTCGAGGGCAACGTCAACAACTTCATCACACCCGAGGACATTCTCACATCCGACCCCGCAGCTGCTTTCATCAGCACCGTTACTCCTCAGTCCACCACCGCTAAGATGGCGAGCGAGCAGCCCATTGACCAGCCCGAGGGAACTGCCACCCCCTCCGACGTCCCTGGAGGCTTCCCGATTACCCCCAGCACTGAGCTGGATAAGCCCATCAGCGTCAACCCTCTGCCCGCTGCCGCTGGTGCCGTCAACCCCATCAAGCTTGCGCCTGGTGAGGAGGTTCCGGCTGTCGGCATTGAGAGCACCAATGAGCACGTCAAGCTCGATAAGGAGTCTTATGAGAAGAGCGATGCTCTTCCCGGTCTCGAGGCCACTGACCTGCCTCCTGTCACCAGCAACTTGATTCCCGAGTCCAGCCTCCCCGTCGTGGCCGCTCAGGACGTCCATATCAGCACCATCAACCCTGGTGCCACAACCGTCGGCCTGGCTGCCGAGGTTCCTCTGGAGGCCGCCAAGGTCCCTGAGGTCGTCAAGGAGAGCCAGGAGAAGGCAGGCGTCGTGCCCGAAGCCGCTGCTGACCCCAAGGAGGTCGTGGAGAAGGCCCAGGTTGAGGAAGAGCTCAAGGAGAAGGTCACTGAGGCTCCATCCACCTCTGAGGGCACTGCTGGTGTCGGTACCGAGAAATCGGAAGCCGACAACACCGATACCCTTGCTGCTGTTGCTGCTGCGGCCGCCTCCACTGGCGCTGCTGTCGTCGCTGCTGTTGTCGCCGCCACGGATAACGCTGTCGAGGCCGCGACACCTGTTGTAAACGACACCGTTGCGGCCGCTGCCGATGCCGCCAACAAGAACCTTCCCGACTCCGTCAAGGAGAACCTTCCTGCACCCATTCAAGAGACATTGGCCTCGCATGAGGCTGCTGCCAAGGAAGAGACACGAGAGGAGGTTTCTCCCGAGGTGCCCGCCGAGGTCAAGGAGTCAATCACTGAGGCTGGCAAGAGCCCCGAGGCTGCTGCCAACACCGCCGCTGTCGAGGAGAAGAAGGAGGTTGAGGCTGAGCTGCTGAAGGAGGTCAAGGCGGTCCCCGCCGTTGACGAGTCCAAGGCTGAAGAGACCAAGGCTGAAGAGACCAAGGCCGAGGAAGCCAAGGCTGTGGAGGCCGCGCCTGTTGTCGCGCCTCTTACCGCGCCTATTACTTCTGCTACCATCACTGATGTGCAGGCAATCGACAGCCCCGTCACTGAAGTCAGCAACGTTCAAGTGACCAAGACCGAAATTCCCATCGAGGAGGCCCAGAAGGATATCCACGTCGTTGAGGAGCCCACGGCTGTGGTGGCCAAGACTGAAGAGCCCAAGACTGAGGAGCCCAAGGTCGTGGAGCCCCAAGCTGAGGTGGCCAAGACCGAGGCACCAACCACCACAGTCCCCGTCATTGATACAACGGTTGCTTCCGAGGCTCCCAAGACCGACGCCGCCGTTGATACTCCTGTAACCGAGACCGACAAGACAGAGGTCCCTCCCACTGAGGCTGGCACTGAGGCTGGCACTGAGGCACCCACCAAGGCCAACGGCTCGAGCGGTTCTCACGATGATAAGACGTCTGAGAAGAAAAAGAACCGATTCAGCGCCTTCTTCAGCCGATTCAGACACAAGGTCTCCAACTAAGAGTCATGAGTGGATGATGAGACCGCGCGTCGTCATGTTGAAACGCCTGGTTTACGGTTTTTACGGTGTCAGTTTTTCTTTGGCTGCTGGAGTGGCTTTGTTTATATGTCTATGATTCCCCACTTTGGCAGAGAAGTGTGACTTGGGTCGAATAACGTCGGATACCTGGATCACCATTTCATATACCTAAATTCATTCCGTTTCTTTTTCTCTTCCATTCTTGCGCTCGTTCTCCCTCACAGTCTTGCTTTGTGTCACTGGCTCATTCATCTGATGCTTGCTCTTGTTGGATATGCTATGTGTGTAACTTGTGTCCTTATACGTTTTCTAAGACAGAGAATCGGCCAGTCACATCTTATTAGCCTGCAGATGAACATTCGAGATGGGCCCTAGACAGCTTGTAGCTATTGTTGCGTCTCTCATTGTGCTGCTATGGCGTAAGGCTTGGCAAGTTCTACTACTACTACCTAGTTCGTCTTTATCATGTGGCATGGGATGGCAAACCCCCCCATGTAGATATTTCTGCCTGTTTTAATGTCTATCATTACTTCTTCATTTTCTAGAGACTCTTTGCTCCCAATGGATTCATGTCTGCGTAGGAAGCTCCAATGGTAATTGGGTAAGGAAAATTGCGAGTTTGATCCAGACCTTTCTTTGGAGTATGTCTGCGGGGATAGCTCGATCCTTGCTGTGACTCATTGTCCGGAGCATTTGCCCAATTTCTTTTCGTAAGATAGAGAGCATGTACCTGCTACAAGGGCATACGGTCTGCTAGAGCTCCACACAGAAGCAATCGCTGATAGCAGACGAGACGTGCCCTTAAAGGGCCTTAATCAAACAATTTTACAAGCGCAAGCAGGCCATCATTACTAACTGTGACGACATTTTGACTGAATTGGTAGATATTGATAGAGCCACATGCTTGATCACGTGCTGTGGCTTGCCACGCCGGAGCTTACGAGCTCGTGGTTCAAGCAGCGTGCCTTCAGCCCCGCCCATCATTTGTCGTCCGAACCTCTCTCTATCTGACACTATCCTCCAAGACCGGGGCCAGCCGGGTCCCTTTTGGAGAAGCTCCAGTGGCCATCTTTTTCCTTTTCCTTTCTCTTTTGCATCACTTTCCTTCTTTTTTCCTCCATCGTTCATCAAACCATCCATATCCTCCGCTACTCGCCACTCTCTTCTTGCCTACGCTTTTGCGGATAGTTTGACGGCAAGACGAACTGCGATCATCGACGTGCAGTTCGTGGGCATGCTGCACTTGGTGCCCTCCGCTTCCGATGACCTGGGAGGCTGAGCAGTCAATCAGCAAACCATCGGCCCCGACTGCTTCCATCGCCTGCTCGATCTTCTCATCATGAATTCTTCGAACCCGAGCGCGGGCAAGTCCCTTCAGATCCAGTCGAATTATCCTCCGGCCGCTCAAGTGGCACCGGCACTACCGAGTTTCGAGACGGCTCGCCGCGCGAACCCAGCAGCCGGGGGTTCTCTACCGCAACCCACGCCCCGAAAGGGACAGAGCTCTCGAAACCAACACCGGCCTCAGCGCCGGCATCACTTGGGGGAGAGAATGGTCGACCAGTACGATGCCATGGCGGAGCTTCGAGCACTTAGAAACCCGACCAGTCGACGTGGACAGACATCCATTACGCATCTTTTGAATTACTCAGCACCGTTGCATCATCATCACCACGACCACGGCCATCACCACCACTCGAACCCCAGGTCATATCGGCGAAATCCAACCTGGGGCCCGGGATCGGGATACCATGCTGTTGATAAATCCAGATACGTCCATGCCAACTACCGCTTTGTCGTCTCTCCGGAGGGAGACTACTCCAAGAACGCAGCCGATGCAGACCTCTTCTTGGACTGGTCCAACACCCTGCAGGTGATTGCATCATCGGAGTCACAGGCGGCCTCATGTCCCATATGTTTGTCGGAACCAGTGGCTCCCCGCATGGCTAAATGTGGGCATATTTTCTGCCTCCCTTGCTTGCTTCGCTTCATGAACTCGGTATTAAACGATGAAGAGGCGAAACCGGGCAAGGGTGCCAAATGGAGGAAATGCCCCATTTGCGAAGACAGCATCTATCTTCCTGAAGTACGACCGGTTCGATTTTACGCCGGTCAAGAGAGCCCCCTTCCCCGAGTTGGGGATGATGTTGTCTTGAGACTCATGGCGAGGAACGCCGACTCTACGCTTGCTCTCCCGCGGGAGAGTGGAGCGGAAGTGCTCAGCTCTGGTGATAGCATCCCGTGGCATTCCGCTGCCAATGTCTTGGACTACGCTCGTGTCATGAAGGGCACGGGCGAATACATGGCCGGCCAGTATGATGAGGAAATTGAGACGATGCTACAACAAGCCATGGAAGATGAAGCGATGTTTGGACAAGACAATGAATGGACTCAAAAAGCCGTCAAAGCCGTCAATGCGGCGAAGGAGAAGGTTGTTACCCTTGGTGGGGCCGATGCGCCAAATACAACATCGCTTTCTGATCCAGCGAGACCATCATCAGACGCCGATTTTTACTTTTACAGCGCCCTGCCTCACTTGTATCTTTCTCCTTTGGATATACGGATTTTGAAAACTACATATGGATCCTTTGCGGCCTTTCCTTCCACATTGTTACCTAGGGTTGAGCACCTTTCGACCGGGCATGTCGTCGATGATGCGTTACGAAAACGAGCAAAGTATCTGGGGCATCTTCCTTATGGCTGCGTCATTAGCTTCCTGGAGTGCGACTGGACAGATATTGTCCCTGCTGAAACGCTAGAGTCATTCATGGCAGATATTGAGAAGAGGCGAAATCGTAATCGTGATAAGGCCGCACAAGAAGAGCGAGAACGCCTTCAGTCCGAGAGGATAGAGGCGGCTGCCCTTCGAAGCCTTACTGGATCTCGACGGCCGCATTCCCCACCCATTGAGCCTGATTCGCCTCCATTCATGGACATGTCCGAGTTCCAGCCTTTAGCAGCACCGTCTAGTACAACCCCTCCAGAGCCAAGATCAGGGTTTTCCACTCTGGCTTCAATGTCAACCAGCCCTTCTACTCAAAGAACGGTCTGGGGCACTCCCGCGCTCTCAAATACTCCTGGAATGGAAGACATCCCTCCACCTACCAACCCTGATGACGGGTGGCTCAAGGATGAGGAATTATTCCTCAGCCCAGGCGAGCTTGCTAGGCAAATGGAGGCCTTGAACACCCTCGATAAAGACGAGAATGGACAAAGCAGCAAGTCTCAAGGCGGTGGAGGTGGGGGCGGCGGTAAGAAGAAGAAGAAGCAGAAGATTACGCTCATGAGCACTGGTGGGCGGCGTGGCATCTAAGAGGTTCGATAGATCGATACCAATCACATAGTTTTCCATGGAGTTACATGGTTAAGCTGGGTCAGAGTTGTCTTGGGCTCGTCAGGGAAACGATGTGATTGAAGAAGTTGTTTATATCTAGATGTCTAAGGCACTCATTCATCTATCATAGCCTATTGAGTGGTTTTGCAATGGGCAACGACGATTTACAACGAGATTTTGTCGTTACACGACTCTTGCAAGGTCGTTCACTCACTATGCTGGATTGCGTAGCATAACACAAGCGTTGTTTCAATCTTATTACAAACTATTAAATAAGAAAGTCGTATTCTTGCTTATTGGTATATAAAATATTCAAATATTAATTTCAATATCAACATCGAAGACGTTTACAGATGAAGCTGGGCTCTGGACCTTCATTATTTGATTGCTTATCGGCTCTTATCGGATAAGGTATCATACTGCGGGGCCAGCAACTTTTGGTCAATCAACTAAAATTTTTTCCGCTACCATAGCCAGCGTCGCGTTATCGCAACTAGCCTCTGCTATCAAAAAGCATAGGAAAAAAAAAACCTTCTTTATTATATGTAGAGCATGGCAGCCAACACATCGCCAGCTCTGACGTCTTCGTCGCACACAATGACTGGTTTACCGCTCACTTCGGTGCCGTCAATCTCGCCCACGGGCATCAATGGCAGCGAAAACAACAAGCTGCTGCTATCGTTGCTGGAGAGCCTGCGGCCGGAACAGCGGCACGTATTCTTGCAGCCGAGCGATGCGCTGCCGACGGGGTCATTGAATGTGGTCAAGGACACCCTGGAAGGATTCGCTACAGAGGTTGGCGAGGAACAGGAAATCAGACTGAAAGAGACCCGAAAGAGGAAAAGGGAAGGGTGGCCGAGGAAGGAGGAGATTGATGTGCTGAAGCTGCGAAAGGTGTATGTCGATGGGTTCGAGACGGAGCAAGTGTGGCAGCAGGCGAGAAGGATAATTGGAAGCGTGCTGAAGTTCTCGGGAGGTTTGTTGGATGAATTGGAAGAAGAGGGCGAGGTAGTTGGCGCAAAGCCAAATGGTGTTGAGGATGGGGAGGAGTTGGATGGTGAAGAAGAGGACGAGGAGGATGAAGGATCAGAGGATGATCTCGACGCGGAATTGTCTGAGGATCAATTAGAAGAAGATCTGGAAGATGAAGACGAACTCGAACAAGACCTTGAAGAAGAGTTGGAGAATGGCCTCCACGATGAACTAGATGAGGAGGACGACGACGAAGAGGAAGAGGAGGGGGAGGAGGAGGAGGAGGAGGAGGAGGATGGCCAGGAGCTTGTCGAAGATCCAGATGGCCTCAACGACGGCTTCTTTAATATCGATGAGTTCAACCGACAGTCACAATACTTTGAAGAGCAAGACGCAAAGGGAGACCCCAATACCGATCGGAACAGCGATGACGAAGATATAGACTGGGACGCAGACCCAACATTACAGTCAAAACCTGGGTCCAAGAAAGCATCGAATCACAACTTAGAAGATGATGACGAGAACCCGCTACAAGACGAGGAAGAGGATGATGATGATGACGAGGACGGCCCAACATTTGGTGATATGGCTCTCGACGCACCAGAAGGCGACAGCGAAGATGAAGCTATGGACGAGGAGGCCATCGATGACGAAGGCATGGATATGAACGCAAACGGAGTCTTTTACAGGGATTTCTTCGCGCCCCCCGCCAAGAAGAGCAAGCCTGGCAAGCCAAGGAAGAGCGTGCACTTCAAGCCGATACAGCCCGCGGATGAAGACGTCGACAGAGCCATGGCCGATGTGCGCCGAGACCTCTTTGACGATGAGTCCGACAACGACTCGGAAGACGCCCTGTCCGACGTCTCGGCAGGCGATCCAAAGTCCCGACGATCAGCGCACGAGCGAAGGCAAGCCAAGCTGGCCGAGGAGATTCGCAAGCTCGAGGCCGCCTCCGTCGCAAAGCGCGAGTGGACTCTCTCTGGTGAAGCCGCCGCTGTGGACCGCCCGCTCAACTCCCTCCTGGAAGAGGATCTCGAATTCGAGCACGTCGGCAAGCCCGTGCCCGTCATCACGCCGGAAGTGACTGAAGGCATTGAGGACATGATCAAGCGACGAATCTTGGCTCAGGAGTTTAACGAGGTTCTGCGCCGGCGGCCGGATGTCGATGGCGTGCCGAACGGAACTCGCCGTGGCATGATTGAGCTCGACGACAGCAAGCCCAACAAGAGCCTCGCGGAGGTGTACGAGGAGGAGCACGTCAAGAACACCAACCCGGATGCCTACGTCAGCCAGTCCGACGAGAAACTACAGCGTGAAGAGAAGGAGATCCAGGCAATGTGGGGCGATCTCTCCAGCAAGCTCGACGCCCTCAGCAGCTGGCAATATAGGCCCAAGCCCAGCGCGCCCACCGTCTCCGTCGTGTCCGACGTCGCCGCCGTCGCCATGGAGGACGCCCAGCCCACAACCGCCTCAGCCATCACCGGCGAGTCCAGCCGCATGGCTCCTCAGGAGGTCTACAAGGCCGGCGCCGCCACCGCCGAGCAGGGCGAGGTTGTCACCAGCGGCGGCCTGCCCCTCGCGCGCCAGGAAATGTCCCGCGAAGACAAGGTACGCCGCCGCCGTCGCGAAAAGGAGCGCATGCGCAAGGCGGGCGGCGCGGATGCTGTCGCTGCTGCTGGTTCTACAACGGCCAACGGCGCGAAGAAGAAGCCGCTTTCTGCAAAGGCCAAGATGCAGCGCGAGACGATTGCGGATCTAAAGAAGGGTGGCGTCAAGGTGATTAATCGCAAGGGTGAGATTACGGACGTGGAGGGCAAGAAGACAAAGGTGACGGCCAAGATTGCCTCGGGAGGAAGCTTCAAGCTGTAGTAGTCAAGGTTATGAGATCGAGTTGAAAAAGAAGAGCGAGGAGATTTAGAGTGAGGGAACATGGATAATTATTTTGCATCTCTGTATATTTATGAGCTTTTTAAAGAGAAGATACATTATTTCTGGAATCATCTTCTTTTTGCGTCTTATCTCAGCTGCTGTTAACCAAATGGATTGATGTTTTGTTTCGTTCAGGGATTCAAGTTGTAGCTTGTATCATAGCACGAGAAAAGGGGGCAAAGAGCAAGGGGGCATTTGGTCATTTACTCAGCAAAAAGAGGATTTTAAACTTTTTTTAATTCATTTTATAAATGATTTCCTTCGCTTCCCGTCATATTCCAAGCCGGCATAGGTTGACTATTCTCATTATGCAACCAAAAGCAAAATAAAAAAGGTGCAGGCATCATTTAACCTGACCCTGTCGGTTCATTACCCGTTGTGTGTGCGCCTACTCATAAGCTCCGATGGCCAAAAAAACTGCAGAGTGTTTTTGTATCATTATTCGGATCTTCTCTCTCTCCATACAGCCCTCGTTATCCCTGGTCCCAATGGAAATGATTGGTGAATGCGGCCAAATAAAAGAGCAAAACTAAAACGTTACATTCTCTTCTGAATTCTTACTAACGGCATAAGAGAAAAAAAATTGTTAGTGGACAACGGAGGTTATTTCTCAGCCTCGGCAGGCTGCTCGTCCACCACCTTGGCCTTCTTCGATTCAAGCTCGGTAGACTCCTCGTCGGCCTTGCGCTTACCACCGTTTGCAGGAGTAGCAGCCTCGTCATCCTTGGGCTTCTTTTTTCGCACAAGGCCTGAAAGGTCCACGGCGTTCTTGGTGGCCTCTTCGACGCGGGCTTGCACTTCAGCAGCGGATCCGCCGAGGGCAGCGCCGAGAAGGCCGCCTAGAGGGTTGACTCCTTCGCTCAGTAGGTCATTGGCGCTGAGAGGATCCTTTTTGAGGTCGACAAGCTGTAAATTCGAGTTAGCAAGAAGTGCGCCAAGTAAACAAGGAATCAAGGCTTTGACCGTCTGAAACATACTCTTTGCTCCAAGTCGGCAATGACCTCCTTCATCTCCTCGACGGCCTTGCGCGATAGCTCATTGTCTTCTGGGGATGCTGAGCTAGCGATTTCGACTTCGATAGTCTGCATCTTGAGCCTAAAGCTCTTAATCGCCGCCTCCATCTCGACAACAGCTTCGTCGCGCAGGGTCTGGTCAATCTCCTCGCGCTTGGTGTTTTTGCCCTCATCATCAGCAACGGTAAGGGAGGCAAATTCTAGCGCAAGAGAGAGCTTATAGTGCGCCTCGGCGATGATTTCAGACTCTTCGGGGTACAGATCAATCTTGTAGTTGAGAGACGTGCGACCATCCTCAATGGCGTTGGGGTATCTATACAGGACCAATTCGATTAGCTGCGTCTTGCATTATGGGCGCCGCAAGAGAGAAAGAGGACATCAGTTAAGTTAAACGTACCGCTCGTTCTCAAGCGAAATCTCGGCGAGGCAGTCGTGGGTCTCTGCGAGGCGCTCTTTGATGTGTCTGACGGCTGAAGAGTCTTCCTTGGCGGCTTCTTTGCCCTTGCCCTCTGCCTCTTCTTCCTCTCTCAGCTTCTCCAGCTGCTTGTGGTAGCAGACGCGAGCGAGATCGAGAATCTCAAAGGCAGTGGCAAGGTCGTCATCTTCTTCCTCGTCTTGGTCTCCCTCTTGCTGGCCCTAGATTGTTTCAAACGATGGGTAATTAGACAGCGAACACAAAATGCTGGCATATTACCCACCTCATCTTCGTCAGACTCGTCGTCAAAGTTCTCGTCGCCTGTGAACTGAAAGAAGAGCTTCTTGCCCTCCGGAACATCGCTCTTTTCATCGCCCTTGTTCTCTTTTCCCTCCGCGGCAGTGGTAGTGGCAGCCTTTTCCTCGTCCTGCTTGGCAGCCTTCTTGGAGGAAGCACCGCCGTTTGCCTTTGTCTTCTTCTCGGCGGGCGCAGAGCCGCCAAGGACGTCGCTCTTGCTCTGGCCGACCTTGAACAAGCTGCGGCCGTAGTGGAACAGGATCTCGGCGTTCTCCGGTGCGGTCTCGCCATTGATCTCTGCCTGGAGGATGCTCGCTCTCGAAAAGATGTCGGCGGCGCCCTCGTACTTTTTGTGGGCGTAGAGCGCGGTGCCCTTAGCACTCAAGTCGGCGAGGGTGACCTTTTTCGACTTGATGTCATCGTCCACCTCGGACTCTAGGTCTGCCTCTGCGGGAGCCGCCGCATCGTCGTTTTCCTCTGCCTCTGCTTCAACTTCTCCAGCAACTTCAGTATTGCTGGTCTCTTCGGCAATTGCCTCTGAAACAGGCGCAGCCTCGTCGACTGGTCGCGTCTCGGCAACGGGTTCCGCCATGGCGAAGAGCTTGCTTGGTAGCTTCGTAGCTATCAGACACACGCGACAGAAGACGATAAGTGAGGTGAGAAGAACAAAAAAGACGGTGTCCTCTTCCAATGTCGAAAATGCCAATTGGACGAGCTCGACCGCGATGGATTGATGATGCGCGACCCCGATTTCGAAGTCACAGAGATAGATGCGAATTGCAGAAGCAGAGAAGAGCAGCTGCAGTCCAGCGCAAACAGCTGATCTTTAGGCCGATTGGAAGTTGCTGCAGCCGTGACGTGCGTTCAGCTCGCTCGCGTCTGATTGGCCCAGAGACGGACAATGGGGTCGGCAGTTTGCACGCGGTGGCTGAGTGGGGCTGGGGAAGACGGCGAAGAGTCGATTCCATTTCAGAGCTTCTCCAGCTTTGATCAGCGCTTACTGCGACGACTTGCGGCGCTCGCTACCCTACAGGCTGCCCGATTTACAGTTTGGGCCATCCGGCGATTAGCTGCCTTTTGGCAAGATGGCACGGCGCCCATGACAAATAGCTTGGTGTGTTTAGTTATTCTCGAGACTGGTAATTAGATCTCGGTGCGAATGAAGGGAGTCTGTGGCAGTGACAGCCGGTTGAAGCATCGTCTTATACCAGGAAGCCCTCTATTCAACCTAAGCGCAAAGTAGAAACCAGAAGCGGTGCCTCAGCGAGCTGAGCTTAAAGCAGTAACGAGATGTGATTTGGTCTGTAGAAACAGGCAATTCATTTTCACGCCTCGTCATGAAGGCTTAGGTCCTGTGCCAAGTTTTTGCGCCACCCGTGAAGCCACTGAAGCATGCGCTCATCGCTGTCATTATGCAGCCAACTCGGCAGCCCAGACGCCAAAGAGGCATTGATTTGCCCTCTTATAAATGTCGCGTGAACCCAGTTGCCAACATACGTCAAACCACAACTTGCTCACCACTAACATCCAGAGATATCCCTTGCTTCCAGAAACATCGTTTGCTTCCATAGTCCTGCCTATTTAAACAAACCTAAATACTAGCTATTGAATATCGTTAACAGTCGAAATTATGTCGTCGTCTAACCATACCGAGGTGCCCGTTGAGGTAACAATGAGTCGCCCATGTTCTGGCCAATCGAGATACCGTTTATTACCAAGCTCCTAAAACTTACACAAGCTGTAATAGGAATCATACGGCCAAATGTGCTGGCTCACTGTCCCCGTTGTAAACATCGACAGGGCCAAGGCCTTTTATGCCGAGATATTCAACTGGGACATCAGCCCTGAAGCCATGCCCAGCGATCGGCCCGGCGTCAAGGAGCTCCATCATTTCAATCGTGGAAAAACGCTGCATGGCGCATTTGCCGTGATGGAAGATGGATATCACGTCATCAACCAATCGATGGGTTCAACAGATGCCATTTCCGTTCACCCGAGCTTTTACGTCAAGAACTGCAAGGATACACTCGAAGAGGTTGAAAGACTCGGTGGTAAGAAGCACCTGTACGTTGACCCGATCTCTGTCTTTTCTTTCTCTCATTCTATCTTCTTTTCGGAAAGAAAGAGGAGAAAAAGAGCAAGGATAATGACGAAGATAGTAAAAGTAAAGCCTGCTGACTATTCTCAAGGCACAAGACGGAGATTGGTGGGGATATGGGCCATTATGCTCGATTCATCGATACTGAGGGCAACTTGATCGGAATCTGGTCCAAAATCTGACTCGGATAAATAAATGACAGCTCCATGGCCTTCAGCTACCTACTAGCACATGGTTCATGCAACTAGTCTGTCGGTGGACTGCTGCTGCTGGTAGTAATTCGACGGAAGAAATATTGCGTGTTTTATGCTTGCTTATGGAAATACATTAATAACGAGAGCCTTTTGTTGAAAGATATTCCGGCCTGTTGTATGTTTGTCAAGCTTGGTGTCTGAGCATGAAAAGTACATGTAGAATCCAACTCCGTACACTTTCCAATTACATGCTATACCACGGCTCATCCTGACCAGGGGCCTGGGTGCTTGTTAGGCGAAGATACTTTTATTGCTGCTTTGCCGGATTCCGAATATCGTTGAGATGGCCCGGGCAAGCAGGGGGCGGGTATGAGAGAGTGGGAACCTCTTGTCTGCCGCTTGACGGCCGCTGTCTTCTCCAAGTGCTCAGATTCTCCACGGCCCGATGCCTGCCAACTTTATCCCACGTTGCATCTATACCTTCGTAAATGTACATTTACTGTTAATGGCAAAAACCAAGAGACACCGATGCGAGAAGCCGCGCCGGAGAAGCCTCATGCGGAACTGCGGACCGTTGCCGAGCCGGACTACTAGGTACATGCAGTTACCTAGTCCAGAAGTCTATCTACGTGTATCTAAGTGTGTTCGCTTTAGATTGCTGCTTTTGGTAGGTTGTATTGTTGTGTAAGGCAAAGTACCTAGCAGTTACCCGTTTGATATTGGCATTCCATCCGTCCGAAGGATTGGTACTTGAAGAGAAAGGTGATTGAGCATCCTGGTTCTATTACCTAACACCTCGGCTGTAGCTCAACAAGATACGTATAATTAGTCTACATATAAGAATGATCAGTTATCATGTATACCTAGAAATCGCAGTTGCAGCAGTAATAGCAGCAGCAGTAACGTTGAGTGCATGTAAATAGCAGCGACGAATACACGTAGTAATAGTCGTAGAAGTAGTAGTAAACGCAAAAGTAGCTTTGTAGGTACATGTATGCTACAACCAGAGTGCTGGATAAGGTACCTAATAAAACCGAGGTGCTAGATAGCTACATGTTACCTTTCCCTACATTTACTTAAAATGGTAGGCTTTTCATAAGTGCCGGGCAAATGATAGGCACCTCACCAAAGTTTGAAAGCGGGCGAAGCCTCCGCTGACCAAGCCACGGGTCGAAAATATCACAATCTTGATACACCATTACATGACAGCTCGTGGCACATGTACTTGGGCATAAGAATTCCCTATCTCGATACGCTATGTGTGAGTTCTTGCGATACTGGACTGCCGAGACTCTAGCTGCCTATTCGTGGAATTTTATTCTAGCTTGAACATTTTTGGAACGCCTACACGATGACGAGATGGGCGAACGTGCTCATTATTCACATCATGTATGTACTATCTAAGATCATGGTATTAGTCAGTATCGATCGCATATCAAAAGCCGTGCGAGGAAGACAAATTCGTGTTGTTTAGTAAACTCGCAGCGCTTGCCTCATGTTCGAAAGAAGGAAATGCAACACTACCTCATCTGTTGAGAATCACATACCTACATCAGATACTGCTTTCTATGGGAATCGAATCTCTTACGCCTTTGATCTTGTACGCCCGTGCGCGATGGATCTATTATTATTTGTCTACATGTAAGTATGCTCCGCGGGGGTCAAGACCATGATAATACGTGTACTCAACCCAGCTTCGATGACTGAGCAACGAAGTCGTCCACGCTGCTGATCTCAAATAAGGAGCTGGGCTTTAAAGTACCCGTGGAACCTATGGAAAGGTACACTCCGGCTTTTCTGTCCCCCCACGAAATCTGGAGCCAGTTCGGTCTTATTCTGCTAGCGGTCGAGAGGGGCAAAGGCGAGATACTACTCCTACACGTAACTTGGTGTTTTGAGCTTGATCCTAACTCAAAAGAGTCAACATGAAATGAACAACAGTGTCCTATTGCCTAATACTATGCAGCAAACTCGAAGCCAATACTCTCTAGCAGCCCTAGATCATATTACTGGATTAGTCGTGAATTTGGCTAGTTTACCGATAGACGGGTATCCTGCTGACAGGCACATCGAATCTTACATACATGTACAGAACAAACAGGGGATCGTATGTCGCAAACTGGCAGATTACATATAGCTGAGATGACATTTGCCAAAAGCGAACAGATTAACTCCGAGTCGACGCCGCTAGTGTTGCAAAAATTGCAGTACCTACCGACTAGAGTCTGAAGCACAGCCCTGGCATCGTTTTTTTCCACCAGACGTGATAGGAAGGACTTGTATTTTCCTGATGGAGTTTGCCCGCAAAAGGACGGGCAGAGGATAGGGGATAAGGGATGGCGATATTCCGCGAAAGGCATTCTATTCGCAAGATAGGAGACACTAGTAGCAGTATTTGCAGGAGAGGCTGTATAATCGGTCATGTCTGTGCTCCGTGGGGATTGATACGTGGTAGAGAATTCCTCCGGCTTGAGTTCCGCGGCGTTCACTAATGGCAAACAACGGGCGGTGTTTTTTGTCTGAAGTAAAGCTCCTGCTGACAGGAGAACACGAGCAACAATATTGAAACAATCAGAAGATGATAGAATAGCGTTGTAGTACTTGGGTACTTCTAGATGCCAGTCCTGGAACCGTGATACGCTTCCCATCCTTCGTGCTTCCTACGCCCCGTATCATCTATTCCATAGCTCGTTTTGAGCCCCAAGCCAAGAGGAAGGACGCCCGCTTACATGTACGGAGATCACAGGAAATTTGGCTGGATCCAGTACCTCCGCAGAGATAGAACTGAAGGCTCGATGCAAGTTTAAAGAATTTGACGTCTCATTGGGGGGTAATCTCGGCCAGGTATGCGGGGGGCTCGCGCCGTGATTGGCGGAGAATTGCTGCGTCCCAAACAGCGCCGGCAAATAGGGAGAATTTCTGCTCTCCGGCGCTGCGCAAAGGCCTGGCTAGCGCTGCTGGGCCTGTACTGTTGTGGCCTTAGCGAGGTCAGCCTTGCCCGCCGCGAATGGCTACGGGTCCACTACCAGCCAGCGCCGTTCTTCAGGGCCCTTGCCAAGCTTGCCTCGAGCGCAGAAGCTCCAGCGGCTCCCGCGCTGGGGTTGGCGATTTGCGGTGCACCCCACCAAAGCTGGGCCCTGGGACGGAGAAGAATGACTGGCGCGCAAAACCCCACGCTGCGCGGGCTTCCATGCTTAGCCAGGCCGTGTACAGGCTCTTTTTCAACATCAACCAAATCCTCCTCGCGGATTCCTGACGCATCGGGCCCGGCCTCTCGTCTAACGAACCGGCTCTGTTGCAAAAGCTGCGTTGCGAGTCGCTGCGATCCTGTGACCTGGAGCTATCGCACAAAAGTCGCCAAGCAGCGCCAAGAGCCTTGAGCGTTGTTCTAGGCGCATCCTGTCACTTTGTCCTTCTCCATCATCGCGGCTGCACCTTTTTTGCCTCTGTTCAGAGTTATATTTCCCTGCTCTGGATTTTTTTGCCTCCCCCCTTTTTCTTGTTATCAGTCGATCACTCAGTGTCTGGTGGGTTGCAGAAACAGGTTTGCGACTTCGTCTCAAGGGCGCAACCCGTGGGATATCTAAACCCGGGAACAAGCAAAGTCTGCTGCGGGAAAGCTGAAAGAGGGAAAATAAAGGAGGGAGAAGAAAAGGAAAAAAAGAGAAAAGGGTACAACAGCTTTTGGGGAAATTATGATAACCGATCTGCTCTCGCTCTTATCACAAGCCACCGACTGTTAAGCCCAGATTCTGGACCGATTAACATCTTACGACTACGACTACGACTACGACTACCGATTTGCGTATCCGACACACACGAGCGGCACACACCACCGAGCTCGGTCTCGCCTCTGGCCTATAGGAAGCATCAAGATTCACTAACGCCTCCGCTTCATGTAAGTCTTTGGTCCAAGGAGGTGCCAGGGACCAACTGCTTTTTCCAGGAAAAAGAGGGATCCTCTTTAATCTTGGTTGGCCTCTAATCTGCGTATACTACTGCGTATACTACTGCGTATTGCACAGAGCCGAATCCTCTGGGCTGCCTCTTATTAAGGGCTGCGATCTGCTGTCTCTGGCAACACCGAGCCTGCCTTCGCCACTGACGCTAGAATTTTCCACAATCATTCTGTCTCTTCTCGTGTTACAGCTGCCGGAGACTATCCGGTCCATCGGTTGCCAGTCGGTGCTCCTACTGGCTTATTGGAGCGGCTGGCTGCATGAGCCACTATTTTGTCGATAAACGAACACCGCCCGCATCGCAATCCTTCTGCTGCTGCGACCTGCCCGAACCGGGGTTTCGTCTCAATTCTTCAGGGGCCGTCCGAGGCCTTGATTCGTAGCGCAACTAGACACCATTCTTCGCGAATAGCTGCTGCCTAGTGAAACTCGGAGTTTAGCCGATCTCGCGGATTCAGTTACCAGGCTCGCTGTACCTATCACAGCCCAGCCAAGAGTCGAAGCGCTTTCGTCGCCCGCAACACTAAACCACCGCCCCTTGGCCGTCGCCGCTGCGGGATTGCAAGAGAGTGAGTGCGTCTCTTTACAGTTGAGCTCAATTGCTAGGCCCATCTATCCTCCGCCTCCCCTGGGCTCATGTAACGTGGAGTTTGCCAGGGCCGCTAAAAGACACATAACATTTGAACCGTTCTGCAGGCGGCGTCTTGCATTTTACCGGGAGGGCCGACCGCCTGGAGCTCGAGGGATCTGTCAGTTTTCATCGCTCGGGCTAAGCTAACCCGGCACAACTCTACAATGGCCGCTGTCCAGCAACTGCTGGTAAGCCCATCGCCTGCGCCAGCACCTGTGCCTTCACAGCGAATCGCCAGCCAAAGCGCGGAATCTGGCAGCATGGACGTCGATAGCAGCGCCAGCAATGACCCGGTTATGATTGACAGTGGACTGATGAAGGGCGCGCCGCAGACGGGCGATGCTCGGATAGTCGTCATCGTGTATGGGCAGGGGCAGGACAACGTCGTCTCTGTTTTCGCAGAGGTTCTGGGGAAGCCGGTCAAGCTGAAGCAGCACTTTAAAGACGTTGATCGTGAGGACGAGGGCTTTGTCATTGGCCTGCCGCTTGGAGACGCCAAACAGGATGTGGAAGAGAGGGACCAGCAGCTCCTCGTGGCGATTAATGCGCACTGCGTCGACCTAGGGATGCCTCCCGACCTGCATCTCTCCATCCACTGCGACTATGAGTTTCTCTATACCCAAACGCCCTTCTCTAGGCGCGACCTCGCACGATTCATCTCATTCACATTGGGCCAGACTAGCCCGCACAGTCAGCTGATGGCTAAATCGAGGACGTTCTTCATCTCCACCACATTTCCAGACGTTCATGCGGCTCTTCCCAACTTGGATATTCTCACCGTTGGGGCTGATGCGGTCGAGATCCGTGTGGATCTTCTGCGCGAGCCCCAGGGCGATGGCGCCTTTTCTGATATCCCGAGCCTGAGCTACGTTGGACAACAAGTCATGCTGCTGCGCCAGCGAACAGAGCTTCCCATCATCTTCACCACCAGATGCACAAACGAAAATGGAAAGTTTCCCATGGACAAGCCCGACTTGTACTATGATTACCTCTACCGGGCCGTCCAGTGGGGCGTCGAGTATATCGATGTTGAGTTGTGGTTGCCTGAACAGATTCGAAAGAAGCTATACGAAAATAGAGGCAACTCTCGCATCATGTCTGCATTCCACGACTTCTCGGGCACGTTCAAGTGGCCATCGCAGTACGCACAGGACGTTTTCGTAAAATCCAAGCAGTATGCCGATATCGTCAAGATGATTGCCATAATCAACGACCACAACGAGAACTTTGAGCTTGAGTACTTCCGCTCAAAGATCAAGGCCGAGTATCCAGACGCGCCGCCACTCTCGGCTGTCAATATGGGCGAAATCGGTCAGTTTTCGAGAACGCTGAACACGGTATTCTCACCCATCACGCATCCCCTACTACCCATCATCGCGGCTCCTGGCCAGATGAGCACGGCCGAGATCAACGGCGCCCTGGCACTGCTCGGTCAGCTTCCAAAAAAGTACTTTTACGGCATCAGCAGCGCTGCTGCTCGGAACATTGCCCCGCGAGCGCCCTTTTACGAGAAATGCTTCAACGAACTGGGACTACCACACCAGTTTGCTGTGGTAGAGCGCCAGCACAATAACCCGGCAGGCATCCAGGCATGGTGCAACCAGAGAGACTTTGGAGGTGCCTATCTCGACCCGGGGCTTTCGTACCAGACCATCATGAGACACAATCCTTGGTTTGCGACGCTGCAGAACGGCAAGGGACCAATCCTGTCCGAGGCGGCACAGGGGATTGGTATCATTGACACAATCGTTGTGAAGCCTGCGGCTTCCGGATTGAACGCGACGCCGCCGTCATATGACGGTGCACTACCGCCGGGAGGACAGCCGGGCTTGACCTCGAACACCTCATTAGTCTTTGACAATGCCAGCTGGAGAGGCATCCTGTCCACACTAACTCGTGATCTAGCCCCCTCTGCATACTTTGACCGCACTGCAGTAGTGCTAGCATTGACCGCCGACGACGCTGCGCCAGTCTTCTTTGCGCTGAAAGCCCTCAAGATGTCAAAGATATACACCGTTGGCTTCAGGACGCCATCCACATTGGCCCGAAACGCGCCTCCGATCGAACAATTCATCAGCATGGAAAGTCTTCAGCGTGCCCGATCCGTGGCAGACAACCGAGCGCCGTTTGTCATCATATCAGCCCTTGGCCGAGGCAAGAGCAACATTGTCGGCATGTTACTGCGAGTTTTTGGAGAGGCCGATCCCGAGGCGTCATCGAACACGAAAAAGGTCTTTTTGAACCTGGCCGAGGCGGCGTCGCACCAGAAGAACGATCCCGTTGCAGTTGCCGAACAGAGCGGATTCACCGCATACGACGCGGCTGACGTTGCGGCCTTTACGACGGTCGAGAGCCTGCGGCTGCTTGTTGGCCAAAACGTTCCATATAGCTTCGTACGACTGGCTAGCGGTAGGAACTTGTTCTGAGAAGCTAAAACGATTTCGATTCTTGAAAGGATCTGGCCGATATTATAATACCCACTGAGAAACGGTCTAGTCCTCGTATTATTGATGGGGGGCCAGCGCTGAGATAAGAGAGGGATTTTTTGTCTACTGAGCTGTTTTCTTGCATGTAATTTTACTCTTTATCGGGGAAAGCCAACAGGAAGACGGTTGGTGTCCTCTTTTCTCACTGTTGTTTGGTGTATTTGCATCTGTGGCGTTGGAAGCGAAGCCAGTGGCCAGAGGAGAGGGTATGCATTGATACATGGCGTATTGCCGCGGGAGGGGGTGGATGTTTTTTTTTTATCGTCTCTTTTTGTCTTTTTATGCTATCTGTTTTGATTCTTATATATATATACCATCGAATACGGGAGACATACGCGCTGTATATAATCGATGAAAGGGAAAGGAGAGATTCGGGTTGATATCGGAGATTGCGGCTTGTATACGCACTTGCAAAGAACGTGGAGGATCTACAGTACAGTCGAGAGCGGAAATATATCCGACACCATCATCAGCATTATTACGACGGGAACTTGCCTGAATGTGTACCATTGATATACGACACAACACAAGCCTAGACCAAAAATCAACAACATGGCCCTCGGAAGTGAATCTTGCGCATGGTGATCCCTCCCTGGTCGGTACCGTAAGCGGGCCTGAACGGTCAGCTTACACACCTCGTACATTGCATCGGGGCGACGGGCAAGAACTTTGGGGCAGTAGGGATTGGCTGAGGGGCGAACAGCGACAAAAAGGGAACGGATGCGGCCGGACGAATGAGTAGGTTCTTTGTGCTACGGCGAAAAAGGGAGCTGCTGACCAAAAACTGCCGATTACAGATATTTATTGCCCTCAAAGAGGTGGAATTGAATAACGAAGACAGTATGGAGTTGTGGAAGTGGTTTTTGCCCCTCGACTGATACCTATTCCTCGTTAGCTTATATCCTTGCGACAGACAGCTAGGGGTCTTTTGTAATAGCATCATAGCTCCTGGACCTGGAAGTATGATGCAGGCGACGCAGACCTCTATCTGGAGTTGGTAAAGCGGCCGCGCTCGTATTCACGAACTGCTAGGTACAGTGCCTTGATACCTGGTACATAGCATCAGGAATCGAGATAGGGTTGGCTTTGGACAACAGCTTACAGAGGAAAAGTTACGAGTTCCATTGCCGACGGCATAGCGCCAAAGAGCACATCAATAGCATCAGATCTGCATGCGCTTTGGAATAAGCGCTGACTGAAGCGAGCTACGCATGGCTTGTTTTTTTTTCTTGCGCCTACTGTCTTTTGTCCAATACCCTTTCCTGGCTGCCTCATGCGCTCGCTTGCGCTTCTTTTCTCGCCTTCATTCCAAATCGTGCTTACAAGGGTTTCACACTATTTAGGTACGTTGTCAAGTTTGTACAACTAGCAGTACCTAAGTATAAGTTGATGTTTGGCGGCCTGTTTCGCAAGCTTGGGATCTGGGCTTGGTAGCTGACAAGGGGAGGGGCCGGCGGACACTCCCCGTTTCCTCAAGGGCCCTGAATCAGCAAGCATGCATCGTCATACTATGCCGAGTGTAACGGCCCTGCTGGGCTATGCGATTGCCAACCGAGCTTTTCTTACCGCTGCAAGGGCGTTGCGATGATAGTACTATGTACATACTATCTCGGCAACATTAAGCGCGCGGTGGGAAGAGGCAATGGGTGTTGGGTATATGTCATGTCTTGTTTATCCCCAAGTTGCTGAGTTTGTTTCTGTTGTGAAGACGAGTTGAAAGCGGAACCGAACTAGGCTACAAAATTGCATAGCGTCTTTTGATACTGTATCAATTCCTGCTATTCATGGTGCTCGGATCTTGTCCATAATGATGCTCCATTGACCTTAAAGACAAGAGATTTTTATCAACTCAGACATGACTCTTTCTTCTGTAATTTTCGAATTACAATTGCTCCGGAAGTATCGAATCCTCCATAGATGCGAGTCATTTGCAACGGCCTGTCCGTTATGAAGTAATGGTCATCTTTTATTTTTGGGTGTCCAATGGGGCCAGTGGTGAGATATACGATGATATACGATGCTACCATAACCAGCTAGGAAGGAGCTTGATTCCCCGAGTTAGCTCTTCAGCTCGGCGGCGGCCTAGCCGAGTCCCTGAAAAAAAGTCCAATTCTTGGCCCGACACGCCACTATTGTGAACAAACAAACCTTGCAATCTATTCGTTTATATGTACTTGTCTACGATATGCACCTCCATCTTGAAGGGGGATGGGCGGACGGCTAGCAGTACTAGGTATGACTTGGAATTGATTCCGCGCGGGATACAAGATGAGATGGTTTCAAAGTTGGAAACCCGATTCCATAAAGTGGAGGCGTCTCGTTTAACAAGGACTTGTTTCCTTCTTCTAGTTCTGTTTTAGGAATTTGTAAAGGAGCATCCAGAAGAGAGGAAGCGGACAGACTTGCTTGCTTTCCTGCCCCTAGGTATCTAACCTGAACCCCCCCCCCTGGTGTCGTGCACGGCCGAGGCCCGTTTCGATCGATTGATTAGATTCAGTGCGTGCCAGCCTAGTGTTTTGGCTTACTCAGTTTCGGGGGACACGGCACGAGGGATTCAAGCTTAGTTTTGCGGGAGGCGTTTCCTTTGTTCCGAGTTTCTGAGAGTGTTTGTCTCTTTGTAACTCCTTTTTTGATTTATTTTTAACTGGTCCTGTAATATGGCAGGCCCAGTATCAGTCTACGCTGTGACAGATAGATAGTATGGGCTACTAGGCTGTACCAGCGCGGCTCTAGTCGGGTTTACTTCAATGTGGCTCTCCAGACAAGGCCAGGCGACCCCTGTTAAACGAACAAAAAGACAAAAAAAAAAAGGAACAATAAGAAATAAGAGGAGCCCTTTACAAAGTTAGCCCTCTCTGCTGGGATGGGAAACCCTCTTCGCTGGGCTAAGATGGAGCACCTTTTTTTCTGCAGGGCATGCCCAGTCGATGAAGGCGGCACGCACCCCAGCCACCCCCACAAGATACCACCCAGTGGGAAATGGCATGGACGACTGGGGGGGGAGGGATACAGTATCAGGTAGCACGAAGTCGTATACTTAGTTCCAAGAGTTACCTGTATCAAAGAGGTGAGTAAGCGAGAAGCGCGCGGGATGAGCGAGAGCCTAGCTTACACGTACATAGATGCAGCTGCCATCACATCACAGGAATCGGAATCCCGAGGTCGCGGATTCGTCTGAGGCTCTCTCGAGAAAGAAAACGACCGAAAAATGTGAGAGACAGGCTGGCTTCTGCTCGGCAGTTGGACGGGGCTGTCATCAAAAAGGAGAAGAGCCCTGTGCGTGCCTGGGGCCAAGTTTGAGCCGGTGCGACTGCAGCGTAGCACTAGCATGCATGGAGAAGGCAGACCCTGGTCCGTGGGTGAGATGAGACCGCCAGCGGGCTTGGAGCGGCAATACTCGTACGCAGTTGTGTAGGCGTGCGGTGCGAAGAAAAGGCCGGACTCACGTTTGTCTCTACATGTATGTATGTATACTGACAGCACGGGACTCAATGTGCGTGGACCTACTGTACGCTGCTACTAATCTGATATATGCATGTATCTAAGTCTCCTCTTGGCAGGGCTTCTAACCGATCAATGGTATCTTGACGGCATGCCCGGTGCGATTGGGTGTGTATTTGCAAAGTAGGTGCATGTACAGATCTATCGCAACATGTGCATACATACACTCGAGCCGGGTTGACGATAGGGCTGAACGACTATCGCATTGTATCGCCTGTTGAATGCAACGCGGCTCACACCTGGCCTCAGTTCGTTCAGCGAGGGTCCGAGTAAGAACCAGTTTGCCAATCAGCCCTATTCGCCTTTTTTTTTTTACAACGCATCGCATCGTCACATCATGTCACGTCGGGCCTTTGCTCCTCTCACGAGACCCGGCAGCGTGGGATGGTGCGCCGCTCTCACTGCATGAAGAGATTGGATTGACGGCCACGATGTCACACGTTTGCTTGGGACATCGCCCGCAGCAGTACATGAGAGGAGCGTTTGCGAGGGCGGTACCAGTTTAACGCCGAATTACCTGTGGCCAAACGCCGCCGTCCTTTGTCTTATTCACATGCTTGCTGGGCGTCTACAAAGCTACTGCTGGTGATCTGATCTGCAGAGCCTGACGACAAGTCCTATTCCGATGGACATCTATTCCGAGCATTGTGTCGCCGGCTCTTACAACTCCATGGACCAAAATAGACAACTACTATTTCTCTCATGCCACCACTTGCCAAGTCTCACGGGCAAGGGTTCCGGCCAAAGTGGGGATAGCCTGACGCAGTGCAGAATCGTGGCTTTCAACGTGTGTAAGTTTACCTAGTAGTTAGTACATGTACTTGTAGTAGTTTCCAGGGAGCTCAGACTGGGCGGAGTGCCGCTTCATAAGGCCGGCCGGCGGACAGGGCAAGGAATAGGCAAGGCAAGCCAAGGCAAGGCGCGGTAATCCACGATTTGCTTCGGAATGGGGGCTGCCCACTAGACGCTGCTTAGCCTCGACGGGCATCCCAGATTGGTCCCTTTGCTGCTCTGCGCTGAAGCTACTTGTTCATAGGGCGCCAGGACTAGCAAGCAGCACAAGCATGGGCGGGTTGCCGAACAGGCGTAGCAGCCACACCCGCAGCTCGGGTTATGGTGGGTGCCGTTTGGGGGAAGGACGCCGAGCAAGGGACCATTTGATGCACTGAATGAATTCTCGACACCTGCAGCCTTTTCTGGTTCCCCCAAAGAGAGGCCGAGCCTGAACTGGACGCAGCCTATTTTGCACAAGTCGAGATTGATCCCAGACGCCCAGTAGCGATCACCGTGAGCTATATCTGCTGCCCTGATTCTGCGGCGTTTCTGTCCTTAATTCTTGCATCCCGACTTTGACGATTGCAGTGGGTCTGGGGTTGCGAGTGTCTCGACACCAGACAAAACCGCCGTCCATCTCAGTCTTGCAGCAGCAGCATCTTGCGTCTTGTTTACTTGCGCGACAGCCCAGGCACGACAACCAGAGCCAGCGTGGTCATGAATGAGTCGCAGATCCGGCCAGTGACATCCTCGTAGCCCGCAAACCGCTAGGGCTCCCAAGGCGGAAACCACTTGTCCCGTCGCATCTTTCCGGCAAACGTCTCCTGTCCCTCCCAGCGCCGCCAATCCTCGTCCGCCCGCAACCTCAGCCTCACGGCCTCACGTCGCCCGTCTTCACCCCTTTTTTGCTGTATTTTCTCCGTCAATCTGTCTTGTCCGTCCGTGACGCTGTTGCCCGGCTGGAGACATCGCCAACCGCCGCGCCGGCCTCGCACCGCATCCCGCACCGCAGCCTCGGCCCGCGCGTCTTGCAGCACCACCAACCGCAATGAACGCTCCGCATCGCCCTGCCCAGCCCGTGGCTCTTCCGCCGCAGCGGCCCCAGGTTGGCATTGAGCGCCTGCCTGCGCGCAACGTCAACTCGGAGCCTCGCGAGTCCATGAATTGCAAGTCGTGCCGGAAGCGAAAGGTGAGTCTGGCTGGCATTGGAGCGGCTTCCCCTCCTGGCTGCTGTTGCGCCGCTCCCCTATTTGATATCCACCGTGATTATATATTACTGTGCGCAACGCCTCTTTTCTGACACGGAGTGTTTCTAACCTTTTCATTATGAATTAGATCAAGTGTAATCGTCTTCGTCCATCTTGCGAAGCGTGTCTGGTGTTTCAATGCCCGTGTGTATACGGTAAGTTCTGATTCCGCCTCCTTATGGTGGGGTGGAGGGGGGGTTCCATCCGAGAGCCACGAGCGAGCTCTTGGAGACATCCACGTCGCGGCAACCCGGTTTTTAAACTTTGGCACAAGTACTCATGCCCATTGGTCCCTTATAGATGCCGTGCCCAAGAAGCGAGGGCCAAAGACTGATGTCTTGGAGGCTCTCCTGAAGAGAGTGGACGGGTTGGAAGCCAAGCTGAAGGAGAAGAACGCCGAGAGCGAACAGCCGTCAGAATCGTCAGAATCGTCGACGCAAGAGCCGCAAGCAGCGGAATCATCGACAAAGAGGCAGCCGGCCGAGCGAGATGCCGCAGAACCTGTTGCTAAGCGACGGGCGACCGAGGAGAAGACGACGACAACGACTCCCAACGTCACAGAGCTGCCGCTTTTTTCCCCACAGACATCGACGACTGGGTGGGTTGCGCCTCGTCTTTATATATTGGCATCAGCTTTATTGAATACTAATAGAATACTAATCACGACAATAGAGACCCCGCCACACCCTCCATACAGACGGATGCTCTTCTCGACACCTACTTCAATCGCTTCCACAACAAGCCTTTCCACATCGTGGATGAGACGCTGATCCGGAAACGCATCCAACTCAACCAGCTTCCGCCCTTTCTGTTCAACGCCATTGCCGCCGTTGCCGCTAGGTATGTTTTCATCTTCGCACTCAGCGTATCCTCCTTACTGTGACCACTTTCTCACTTCTCATATAGACATACGCCACATTCCAATGGGTTTCGAGCAGCCGTCAAACTCGGTGATGACTATGCCTCTCGCGCTAGGAGCGCAATCGACATTGATGAGCCTTCCATTGACAACCTTCAAGCAATTGTTCTGTTGGCAATTGCATATACCGCCTCTGGAAAGGGGAGGAAGGCCTTTATGCTAATCAGTACGTACATATGCCCCCCTGCCAGTTAGGCTTCTATCACATGTTAAAAGGAAATGGCACATCTAACCTTGAATACAGCCAACGCGATTGGCATGATCATGGCACTCGAGCTACATCGTGAGATGGACCCACAGGCTCAAATTACACCCCTGGAACGCGAAACTCGAAGACAGCTCTTCTGGTCATGCTACTTGTTAGATCGCTTCTCAGCCTCTGGTTCCAAGCGTCCATCCCTCATCGGCGACGACTGTATTGCTCTCAGACTCCCCTCATGGTCTCCAGTGGTTTCTGGAATGCCAATGCCCGTGGACGGCGACTTCTTCCTCTGCGGATCCAACCTGCAGTACTTCCAGGGCAGCGGCAAAAAGTCCCAAGGCACTTCGGGCATGCTCATTGACATAACGCGCATCCTAGGCGTGACAAATCGATATCTTGCAGCCGGAGGTGTCAAAGGCGACTCACATTTCCCTTGGCACTCGCTGTCAAATCTATCCAAGATCAGACAAGACTTGGACGTCTGGGCGTCCGGCACAGATGGCGTTTTCGCCACGACAGATGTTCTATTTGGTCAACCCGACTCAACCGTTCTCGTCTTGTGTAAACTAATCTACCATCTCATTCACTGCTTGATCTACCGACCTTTCCTTCCCATCAGCCTCGCCGAGTTAGCCGGAAATGGACAGCACCAGTCCTGGCAGATTGAGGCGACCAACATGTGCTTCTTCCATGCAAATGCCATTACGGAGCTGGCAGAAATGGGTAGGCAGATGCAGACTATTGAGTGGCCGTCATTCGTCGGCTACTGTATCTGCACCGCCGGCACCGTTCACATCCACGGCGCGCATTACGGCAAACAAGGCACCAGCGGCGAGATGAGCGCCTTCTCCGCCTCCTCAGATTTCCTATCACGCGAGATGCAATTCCTGAGCGACCTGCGGTTTACATGGGCCATTGTTCAGCACCAGCGAGACATGCTCCGACGGCTATACGAGGCTCATCGAGAGCTGGTCAAGACACTTACCGGAAGCGCAATGCGATATACCCCCGGTTTCCAGCTTGAAGACTTTTTCGACAGATATTCCAACATTGGAGGGCCCGGCGGACCAACTTTCCATTTCGACACGGCCAATCTTAGTTTGGCGGATGAGCTGGTTGACTACTCCAATGAACCGACTCCCTTGTCCGACGTGCAATCTCCTTGGCCCACGGAGAACAGGCCGAGTCACAAACGGAAGAATACGCCACAACCTTCCCTCCAGGGCATTCCTCTGCCCCTCACCCCTACCATGTCGGTGACGAGCTATCCCCGCCAAACTATGCCCATGCAGTCGGGGTTGATGGCCGCTCCGTCAAATCCTGCAGTCGCTGCCATGGCTGAGATGATGCCCACACACCTGGATCCTCAACAGCAACAGCAACATCACATGAGCGCCATGCGCAGCACTGTCGACTCTCATCCAGCCATGGGCGGCTATGGTCTTCCGCATCCTGCTCACCCGGGTGCAGGCCCAGGAGGCATGGCGGCCATGGGCGGCATGGCCTTTAGTCCTGCATTCACCTACAACCTCGCATCTTCCCAGAACCCATCCAACATTCCTCAGCAGCCAGCCATCAACGATACCAGCGGCGGGTTCGACATCATGTTTGGAACTATACCTGCCAGTGCTTATGGCAGTCCTGCGACATGGCAGGCGGGAGTCGGCCAGGCCACTCCGGGCGCTACGGCTCCCAGCCCGAGCAACAAGAGCCATACGGGCAGCACTGGCACGACGGACGAGAAGGATCCTTTTATGAGCTTGTTGGAGCAACTTGCCAATGACGAGCAGAGGCAGAATAGTGGGCTGAAGAGCGAGCTTGATTTCTTCTTGTCGGGCACAGCAGGTTCCTCATAACTTGATGGCCGAAAATAAAGGACCACTTTCCGCATGTTTTATCCTTGATCTTTGGTCATCTTCTTTCTGATTTCTCCTCTCGAATTTCATTTTTCACGATATGATGATATTGAGACACATATACATACATAGCAAGCTCTCTCTTAGCTGGGTAAAAGGGAGAAAAACGATACTTACCAGCCGCAAAGAGTATATATATATATATACGTTGACGAGTTTTAAAGAAGGGACTCTGCACACCAATTCCAATGAAACACTTGTACAAAAAAAAGATGATGTTACGTGGGCTGCTGTATGTATTTATATATGTCGATGAAGGTGCAGGAAGGAGTTGTTGATCTTGCTCCGTATGTATATGTATAACGAGAGTTAGGGGTTTGCATAGCACGCAATGTTGTACGGCTTGAAGACATCAATGCCATGCAGTGATTGGCCAGTTAGTTATTTAATGTTAAGATGTAATGATATATTCCTGTACAACAACTTGCGTGAACTATAGGTAGTGCGCGCGTATAACTTCCACGCTGAATTAACTCGAATCAACAGCATCATAAATAGCACACCATGTCTCACATCATGCATCGTGCTCGTGCTCGTGCTCATGCTCACGCTGCAACTTTCTAGTTGCCTCTTCTCTAGGAGACGTCCAGCCAGCCGCAGCCTGCACCGCAACAACAAACACTCCCAATACCGCGGCAGCTCGCCACACGCCCCTGATGGCATCTGCGTATCCCTCTACGGCAATCTGTCTCTCCTGTGGCTCTAGCCTCAACATGTCGCCCCCGTGCCAGACAAGTTCCGGAGACTCGAGCAGTCTATCAACAAGCCGCTTCCTTGCCGGACCGAGCTCAGCTGTCCCATCGAGGGCGAGGAACCCCGCGACAAGATCGGACCTCAAGATGCGGTAGAAGATGCCTCCGCCGAGGGACGTGCCGAAACTGGCGCCGAAGCCTCTAAAAGTCGCAAAGAGGCTCGTGGTGACGTACTCTGTATTTGCATGGCTTAGATGTAGGATGTGCACGAGCGCGTAGTTGATGACTATGCCTGTCACGAAGCCGCTGAAGCAGACCGTAACGATAAACACGTACGAAGCGGTGGACGAACGCGACATCTCAGCCAGCGCGTAGAAAGTCACGTCGAGGCACACGATGGACACCAGCAGCGAGACGTAATAGGACCCCGCGCGCCGAATGTGCAGCCAGCCGATGAGCAAGCCTCCGAGAGACAGCGCGACGTTGCTGGCGATGAGGACGGAGCCCGCGGTGGCGGCGGAGCTGCCGCGGACGGCGAGCATGAAGATGGGCGTGTAGAAGATGATGCTCATGCGGCCGGTGAGGAGGCCCAGCTGGGAGAGGCAGGAGAGGAGGATGCCGCGCGAGGAGAGGACGGAGAGGGGGATGATGGGGTGGGATGCGGAGAGGGTGAATTCGACGAGGATGAAGGCCAGGAGGGAGAGGAGGGAGAGGAGGAGGGGCGTGGGGTGGATGTCGCCTGCGAGGGAGGAGAGGAAGAGGACGATGGTGGTGATCTAGATGGTGGTTTAGTAGAAGATGGAAAAAGAGGGTGAGATGGGACGACTTACGAGGAGGACTGCGCCGAGGTAGTCTATGTTGGCGAGCTTCTGTCTTAGGGAGAGGGGTTTTTGTCCATTTTGTTCAGAGGCAGGGGAGGACATGGACTCGGGCAAGCTGAGATATAATCCCAAGCCGGCCAAGAGGAGGATTGCAGACTGCAGCCAGAAGAGCGGTCTCTGCAGTCATGAGTTAGCAATTACTCCTCACGAACAAATTGAAACGATAAGAAGTAAAGGAAAAGACTTTACCCATCCAATCACCGGCTGCAACACCCCATAAACCGCCGCTCCCACCGACACTCCCATCGTATACGCCATATTCACAGCCCCAATCATGACGCCCCTCCTCCTCTTGCCCGCCAGCTCAATCACAAACACCACCGACATGACCACAACGCCCGCGCCGCCACAGCCCATGACCACCCTGCCCACCATGAAGACAGCAAAGGATTCCGCCTGTGAGGCCAGCAGGCTGCCGAGCGAGAAGAGCACAGCGGTAGGCGGGACGATGGCGCGCGGCGAAAAGGTGGTGGCGAGGCTGCCGGCGAGGGGCGTCAGGGAGGAGGAGGCGATGAGGTAGCTGGTGGTGAACCACATTGTCTGGGAGGGGGAGTGGAGGTCTGCGGCGAGGGAGCCTTGGATCATGGCGAGGCCGGACATGTTTGTTGCTGATGAGTGTTAGTAATGATGATGATGATGATGATACATATGAGTGAGTTCACGTACTTTGGAAGAAGATGAGCACAAAGAGGCTCAAAGCAATGGACATGCTGCGAGCAAAGCTGATGGTGTGAGTTGGCTTATCCTCTGGAGATGCATCGTATGCTGTTGTCGTGATTTGCGGCGATGATGAAGATGCTGCGTAGCCGCTGATGGCTGTGATGTCTGATATGCCGGATAGTAGAGCCGTTTCCTCCGATGGGGTGCCGGCCCTGACGCCGGAGTTGGCAGCCATGGCGCAAGGCTCTGTAGGTATATAATGCTTTGATCTCTGTCTATCTTTACTTTCTGGAGGTGTCTCGAGGGATCCTTGGCTGCTTGTGAGATGACCTGTCGCGATCGATGGCGTTGCTGTTTTTTTTTTTTTTACACGATGGTGTGCTCACTGAGGGAGTTACATAATGCGGGGGATCTGATAGCGGTCTGTGCCAACTGAGACAAAAGGCTATTCTAGACTCAATAACTGACGATTCATCTATTATTGTCAGCGAGCAAAATGTTAATTATTATTTGTTTCTTTATTAACAGATCTAAAATCATCAAGTTCTACATTTTTTAGGTAGCGCGAACCAGATTAACGCGGCATACACAAGGAACCTATCTATGCACAGGTTGCTATGCGGGATGTGATAGCGCCATGACCACGACTCATTTTTTTTCGTTTCTTCCTCATCGAAACACATGAAAATCGAAAACTTACGACAAATACAAATTAATCTATATCTTCAACTTTGTATTAATCAAGCTTCTCCTTACACCCTTTCCTTTTTTACGGCCTCGAGATGCATGTGACAGGCAGCCGTCTAGTGCACAATCATCCACTCAGGTACCACTCCAACTCAAAGGAGTGCAAGTGTCCGCCTTCTTCAACGGGTACCTTGCAGATATGGATCCTACCATTTAAACTAGTAGGCTGAGACGTACGTATTCCTTGCTTCATTTTGTTCTTTGAATGCAAGAGAGAGGTAGAGACTTCTTTGCGAAGCTGGCCATACGTTCTCCCTACAAAAATATCGAAGAGTACGTGTGAAGCCTCACTCCAAGATGTGATTTCCTTCCTAAATCCACAAAAAGCGACTTGTTATTGACGAAAACGGAACACTACAGTTTCCTATAACGGTTCATTCATTTTCTATACGTCATTTTAAATTATCGGTAGCGAATATGACTCAGTTACGGCTTACACAAGCGAAGAGTTGTCTCCCACCAGCTTCATGGCGGTCACTATACACCACACACAAAACTATACTGCATCAATCCAAGCATATACAATTATGGAACAATAGTCGACGCCATCTCTAATGCTCCAATCTCCTGGACACAGACCACACGGAATCCAAACGCCCCATGAAAGAAGGGGAGCTTCCGTGGCGTTTTTTGAAGGCCGTCACCACGTGGTTTGCGCATTCCCCTGACCAAGGGGCACCTGCAGTTCAAAACAGATTATGTACGTCTGCCGGTAGCGTCCCCAAAGTGAACATATGTCCGTCTTCGTCGATTCGCCTAAATATCTACATCAGGTACCAGGGCGATGTCTTTGCAGCATAGCGGGCGATGCTAGCGTGAGAGTCGCAAGCCACAATAAATCCTGTAAGCAGTAGTAGTGTGCGAGGCAGAATACATGTGATACAGTGGTGTTAGAGCAGCACAGGCAACTCTTTGAAGAAGAAAGATAGCCAGAAATGACTGGAAATCAGTTAGGTGAAAGAAACCAGGACGTGGCGAGATCGCTTCTCTACAATATCATGACCCTAGCTGGAGAGTCGTATTCGTTGAAGAAGACATTTTCATAAAAGTTCATGTATGATAAAACTCACCTTCAAAAACCACATGTGTATTACTTTGTGTGTCGCTGAGGCATACTTGCAACCTTCTGGAAACCATGTAAAAGCTCGGCACTTCGCCCTAGCAGCTCTACCCAATATGGCGAGTCGTATTGGCAGCACATCCATGAACCAAACATAGCACCGCTGCCTTCTTCAGCTCATCTCACAACTGGCGTGATGAACCCGACCAGTAATATTTTAGTCCGAATACCTGCCTCAGGAGAAACATCATTTGCGCTTCGTGCTGCTACTAACGGCAGGAGAGTCCACTTTGGGCGCCGATCCGACATTGACGTTCTTGTTTGGGGAGGCTAACAATAATCGCCATGGCTAGTCTAATACGGACAGGCCCTGAAACCCCAGCACGGCAATTGAGGCGCGCAGTAGGATCGACAGAGTTCACGACAGCTGGCCGTTCAGCTCAATCAACAGCAACACGAGGATTCAGGTGACGACGTGCTACTGGAGATATGGAGTACGCTAATAAGCTAGGCGCTCTATAGTTTGCGGGGAAATAGAATTGCGGAAAAGAATAGTGGAGCTCAACGCCGAGTCAAGTATTGGCCTTTTTGGTCCAGTCTTGTAAATGTAGTGCAAATCGATATCATACTCGAAGACATAGTACTAACACGCATCAGGAATGCTCATATCCCCCCAAAATCCATGTCTCAGAGTGATGTGAGCCGCATCGTGGGCTGTGGACTGAGGCCTGACCGCACATTGCAGCGGCGGGCAATGCCATATGCAAGTTTGTGCGTGAAGATACTTGGCAAACAATGGCAGGCTCCTATTCGCAACCGGCTGGCCTTTGTCCTATTAGCCAGCGCGGATCTTACTGGTCCGGCTTTAATCCCGATCGCACGAACAAATATGGCGCTCACGTACCGGTACCTGCGAGAGCCACATTCGAAAGGGGCGGTTAGAGAGCATCGTTCAGCACCCTAAAGACATTCGGCGCGCGCCTCGTGCGAAGTAGCGTATTGAAATGGGTGAACCGTTCTGACGCTGGGGTACCTGCGACCCCGTTGGCATAGATTCCGGGCGGAGATTTACCCGGAAACCTGGAATTGGCCGCAATAGCATTTCCAGGCCCTTCAAGTGATCCAAGCTCGATTCATCCCAGGTCGAGGAGGGCTAATGTCTTCATATCCCGGGGGGAGGTATACTGACGGAAGCAAGAGATGGCGCAATGGAAAAAAAAAAAGGGAGGCCATACTGTGGTAATTGACTGCAAAGCACTCTTCCTAGGTGGGCGCAACAAGAGGTGGGTGCCCCCATGTCCAGGCAGCCATGTTCCTTAGGGGTGCTCTCGTCGTCTGCCCGCCATTCTGCGCGCTGGTGGCGCTCTGGTGGTGGTCAGGGCCCAGCTGAAGCCCACGATGATTTGCTGCGACGGCTGAATGCTGAACCAGGCTGTAGCCGTTGTAACCGTAACAGTAGGTACTAGCAGCGGCAGCAGCGGTAGTATAAGTGCTTGTAGCAGTAACAGTTGCTAGTCGCCAGCGTACAAAAAGCATTACCAAGCCCCAAGTAGTAACACCACAGCGGCTGCCGCAATGATGGACCTGTATGTCAAGAATTACAAAGGTTCGTTTCGTTTCGTTCTAGGACTCCCTTGGGCCGAGGAAGGGAAATGCGATATCTCCTCTGCCGCGCCTTTTGCCAGTCGAATATGCTGCTTCTGGGAAATATATGTGGCAAAGATCCGATGTCCAACAGACCCAAAGCAGCGGGCCGGACAGGCCACTGAGTTGAAACATGAGAGCAGCTGGCCAACTTGCAACAAAAGTTCATGTGCATAAGTATAGGATAAATCCCCTGGGGGCAGATGTCTCTTGGCGAAGGAGTACCTAGCTGTTGACTACACGAGGGTCTCAAACACGCCCAATCTGCACGGGCCGTCATCCCATTACTCGGCCAAGCATAGTGCTATGCCTCTGGTCGAGGCGGCGCCACGAATAGCAACACTGCATACCATACTTGTGCCCTGGCAACCCTGGCATCGACGCCTGGATCTCGCCCGACCGGCGGCTGCACGGCGCTGCGCTTTTGGTAAGCGAACAAGGGCCACGATTGGTCCCAAGACGGCGGGATTGGGAAGGGTCTGCGGAACTGCTAGTATGAGAATGAGCCAGCGCCAGAGTGCTCCGTTTTCCGTAATTTTTCTTGCGAAATGCTCCCACCGGCCTGCAAGAAGTTGTCCGACGTTGTCTGTAGCCCGCAATAATTTAGATTAATTAGGCATCCCAAGCGTGTCTCCTCCATATGGGGTCCCGACGCCATCGGCCACTTACCACCAGCACTTGGTCTATAACAGCGGGGCTCGGCAGCTTCAGCCGCGGGCTTTGTGGAGGCGGCTAGACATTTGGGCTTATTTGGTTCGCCGCTGCGCTGAAGAATGAGGGTACAGGATGCTGCATTGCACGATGACACTGTATGGAAAATGACAATGAAAAGTGAGAAGCGAGAAGAAGAAGTGGGTGGAGGCAGAAAGAAGCGGCAGCGCCTTGACCGTTTTTTGGGCTGCAGCATCTGCAGAGGCAGGCGGTAACCAGCACTCGTCTGCGCTTACCGATTGTTCGCAGATGGGGCAACAAGGCACATGTACTCGTACCTTTTGTGTACAAGCAGCGAATTTCTCTCTTCTCTACCTACAGTACACTCACTTCCTCTCTTCCCACCCGACACGCCACTTGCATATCATCATGCATACGGATTGTTCATACAAGGCAATCAATCTATGCACCCAGACCCCCAAGTAAGGAAAAAAGGAGAGACTCCCGACACGAGTTGCCGTCGGTCCGGCGTTGCGCCACCACGACACAGGCTCGACTTTATAGGATGGACTCAAAGACCTTTTGGCTAGGCGCTGGTTTAGTTTTCAATTTCTGACGAGCTACCAGGTACTACCAGGAACCACCTTGCCCTAATTAAATACACGTACTTGACAGAAACTGAATCCATTATCCATATACCCAACACGGCAAGACCCCTAAAATCTATAGGACCATTACAAGCAATATCGCCAAAATGCAGCCCTCCCGCAGCTGGCTTCCCGGTGGACGTCTGGCAGGGCAGGGCCATGCTTCAAATCTTCCGTCGAGCAAGGCTTCAATGATCCTACACGGCAAGGCAGGCATCCATGTTTAGAGTCGATGGCGGTAACACTTTGCGTGTAGATCCCTGATCAGCCATCGAAAAGCACGCAGTCTTGCGCACAAGTACATGTACATGCGCCAGCAAAGAGGAGTGGGCATGCAGCGCTTTTATGCGCAAAACCAACTCCCTCACCGCTGGGATGCCAGGACGTCAGTTTCTTGCATGTATGAGCAACAAACATATGTATGTATGAGCTGGTTTTTGTAACTACTGCCATCAGTCACTATTGCTCCTCATGCACTTATACAAGCAGACCAATAGCTCACAGGGTGCTAAAACCTAGGAGATTTCCAAGCAATAGGTGCGGTGTAGACTCAGCACATTTGGAGTCATTGAATACTACTAGGTATTACCCTGATTGACAGGATCTTTTGTCCGTCTAATCCGGCTGTCATCTCTTTATGAGATTTACGAGACACATGAGCCGATTAATCCACGCACTACATACTGCCTACTGCGACCGGTTGAAACGAGGAACGAACAATTACGAAGCAACCAGGCCCCGTAGCCAAGACCACTATGCTCGTGTACAATGTCTCTAGGCCTCTCCGATTGGCAGACATGGCGGGCTGGTGGCTGCACTCGCACTGTCCTCGAACCAGTGAGATAATTTTCTTCATCCTCACATCCTCTCGTGTCCTCGTCTTTCTATCCCTCATTCCTCATCTTCAGCCTGTATGTACGGTTGGAAGAAAGTCCCCAGCTGCAAGGAGGGAGCAGTGCAGGTACTCGTCAGGTAGCAGATACACGAGCCACCCGCCATTTCGGCGCCCAACTCCACTTGCGTGTCTAAGAGCGGGACGAGCCCCGTGCATTTGCTCGCTACGCCAGCCGAGATGCAGCATGTACGGAGTACGTGAATGCTACCATTGCAAATCTGTGCCTAATAGGAGCGAGCCAGCCGGTGCTGCTTCGGTGCCCTGGCCCTGGCAATGCAGCAGCACGTCTGGCAGCCCTTTTCGAGCCCTCCTTCAGCTCTCGAGCGAAGAGGGTGCATCATGTCCGGCCTGTCTATTCCGTCATCACCGCTGCTTTGGTTCTGACATGCGGGTACTCCGCGACTTGTGGTGTGCAGTACATGGACCTTCGTTTCAGACACAGAAATCAGGTACAATTGCCGCCAGCAACAGCCTCAGTATCACCACACTCAGCCGTCAGTTTGCCGTTTCAGCCCATTGGGCATTCCGTGGCCGTCTCCCCATTTGCTCGCTATCCGCGCATAGGCTTCTTTCCTCTCCTCGTCCTTTTGGGGCATCAGGGCGAGTCAACTATGCATGCAAGGCGGCGCCTTACATTAGCACAATGCGCCACGGGCTTGTCTACCGCCACTCCGTTGGTGTAAGTGGGATGGCATAGCTGCTCTGGGTGCATGTAGAAACCAGCAATGCAATGCTCGCCATTGTGTGATGTGTTCGCAGCCCGCATTGACGGGGCTCTGCTGCGCGGCTGCTCGCCATGAACCCCCGTCGACACAATCTGCTTGTACGCCCACCGTTTTATCATCGTCATGTGCCTCCAGGCCGTATGCGCGCTGATGGGCTTATACTCGCACAAGACACAGTAGTGCTGCTTAATCTCCTTGCTGGCTTGTCCAATTGCCCGCCACTGATCCACTTGCTCCCTGTAGAGTAGGTACACGAGAGACGAGAGAGACGACGATGCTCGCCAAGCTGCGATGGCCTCAGAAAGGCCCGGATGCAGCTGGAAATGAAGGCCGGCGTCTGGATGCGCCTCGCAGGGGCATCTCGCATACCGCCACCAGGACCCCTCTTTGCTGCCGCCGCTCTTTCACCATATATCGATGCAGGATTAGGTGACAGATGTGGTTGAACTGGCGGAGCAGCTGTGAGGAATTGCATAGGTGATGGAGTCCACTAATACGGCTCTGCACTGTTGAAATCTCTTCTCTTTGCTTCTCTATTAGACCCTGCAGGGAAGCGTAACGGTTGTGGCAGTAACGGCAGGTGTGCGTACTTGTAGCGTCATCAGCTCGGTGTCCAAACTGGATGTGGATGTGCCAATTGGGGAAGCCCTCGCACATTTTTGTGTCTCTTTAAGAACAAAATTAAAGTGAATCACAATACATGTTGCTTGACCAAGACCATATCAGCACACATAGCCCGAAATAGACAATTCTAAGCAAGACCACAATAAATCCAAATCGTCATGTCAATTGCTTACCGGAACCCGCGCCGCTAGAGTGATGATGCTGCTGGAGTACATGTTCCCGATACATGCTCCAAAATGGACCATCCACCCCTCGCCAAAAGGGCTGGGATGCAGTACTTCCATATACCTCTAAACGCCGCCCGGCGCGGGCGCATCTGCGGTGCTGGTCGTGTACTGGCCAGCCGCTAGCCGGCCCATGTACTGTACAAGCCCTGGACCCCAAGTACCCTGCAGGTAGCGCAGGTAGCTCTCGGCAGGTCGCAGGCGCAGGTTCGAGGGCAAGCGCAAGCCCGCCACCTTCAGAGCTGGGGAATCGTCGACCGCATCTGGAGCAATTTTTTTTTTTGGTGCTTTTGACTGCAACTGCGAATCAGATGTGCAAAGCACGACTCAAGTTGCAGGAGCCATTGAAGCTTAGCCTTGCCCTCGATTTCTACTTCTAAAACTCTCTTCTGCTTCGACACACAAGCCTCTCCTCCTCGCATCTTCATCTGTAAAACAGCGCAGACTGGGCGGTGGACTGTTGACGGCGATGCCCTGAGGCTGCAGAAGCAACGTTTCTGCCAATAGTGCCTGCATCAGCAGCAGCAACACTCCAGGGTGCCCTCCTCCCCAAAAAGACCCAGTCTCACCACCCGGTATAATCACAGTCTCCTTTCTACTGGGCCAGGGAGTCAGCCGCCACCTCGGACTGGCCTGGTCGGACACCACGAGCACGGCCCTTGCCGACTGGCCTCGCGTATATCCTCGTGCAACTCCCGGCTTGCTGCCGCGGCACCGCGCAGGCTTGGAGACTCTTGGCCTTGCAAGATCCCTCATCTTGCGCCGCTGCTGCTCCATAAGCTGCTCTTCTTGCGGCCGTCCTGCAGCATCTCCAAGCCAGACGACACCCGAGATCTAGATTCAGGCCCCCCGGCGGCACAAGGCAATGGCAAACTCCGCATCAGAGCCGGATAGCTAGCTTCTTGCGATTTCCTCTCCTTTCTTGGCTTTGTCGGATGTTTGACTATCATTAGCCTTTGGCTACATCCAAGAGGGCTCCTCCTCTACCATCTTTCTCTTTGCTTGGCCTGACTCGAACTGTGATCTGGGCTTTCGGCTTCATCTCACCCATCCAACTACTACCCAATGCCCTCGACATTGTCGCCATGGACCCGGATTCAGACTCAGAACCTGGTGGTTCAATGGCGAATCGTGGACCTGCCGTCTTGGCCGTCACAGCAGCTACACTGGTCCTTGCCTCGATCTTCGTCTTCGCCCGCATGGTGTCTCGGTACTTTATTGTCAAACGATTTACCTGGGATGACAGAATCATTCTCTTGTCGTGGCTCATTTCCTTTTTTCTGTCTTTTACCATCTGCTTTGGCGTTTCCAAAGGACTCGGCAAACACGACATCGATATCCCTCCAGAGCAGATCCCTACACTCCGTCGCTGTGAATATATCTTCTCTATTCTTTATGTATGTACCCATCCCCCTCTTTGTCGTGTGCTTCGTATCATTCGTTTGAGAGAATGGGCTTGCTGATTATACAGAATCCGGCGTTGATGGCTACGAAAACGAGTATTCTCATCTTTTACCTGCGCCTGACTCAGAACACCCAAATGGTTCTCCGATTTGCCTCCTGGCTCATTCTCGCCATTGTAAATATTGCTGGGGTTATCCTTACATTTATGAACATCTTTCAGTGTACACCGGTACAGGCTGCTTGGAACGCAAACTACAATGGTCCAACAAAGTGTATACCTCTGCTTACCGAATTCATCTGCTCCTCTCCCGTCAACATCGTTACGGATCTCGCTATTCTCGCACTTCCTATTCCTGTCCTCACCGGCATGCGGCTACCCTCGCGGCAAAAGACCATTCTTGTCATTACTTTTACTCTTGGTATCTTCGTTGCTGTCGTGGATGTCGTTCGAATCTACTACCTTCAGCAGGCCATTGCCGAAACTCCTACCGGATCCATCACCGATCCCAGCTCGAGATTTGGCGGCCAAGCCGATTTTGCCTACAACGCCTCGCTGGCGCTGATGTGGAGTGCTGTCGAGGTCAATGTCGGCACTACCTGCGCTTGCATCCCGACTCTGAAGCCCCTTGTCCTTCGGCTTCTGCCTTCCATGCTTTACAAACCTAGCGGCCACGGGACCAGGCATAATAACCCCCATACAAGCAGCGAAAAGAGCCGACAGGCCTCTGAAAACCCGACGCCAGGCAGTAACAACAGCAACGACAACAATAACAACAATAATACCTCACTAGGAGTGGCCAAGCCAGAGCCGGTTGCTAGGGGCGCCCTTGGAGGTCGATACTACGATTGTCCTGGTCCGGATGCACCCATAAGTGCCATGGAATTCTTGACCACTCCCGATATGGCCTCCCTTGGAGGACCGGCCAATGCTTCTGCTAACCGTTCCCGCACTACTAATACCAACACGGTCTCGACAGACCATTCTTATGAAAACGGCATCTATTTTGGCTTCGTCAACATGACCAAACCTAAGAGCATGCTCCGAGCTAATAAGAAAGAATCATGGAAATACTGCACAATAGTGGCTATACTCTTCTTTTTGTGGGGGATTTCGTATGGCTTGCTTAATACGCTTAATAATGCAATTGCCACAGTAAACGATATGAGTACAGCTCAGACGATTGGCCTAACGAGCGCGTATTTTGGCGGAGGCTATTTCTTTGGTCCTCTTCTTGTTGGCGAATGGATTCTGCGGCGAGACGAACATAGTCGATTCAAGCGTCATCGAGAAAGCAACGACGAAAGCATTGGAGGTTACAAAGCGACGTTCATTACCGGCTTGTGCATCTACGGTACGGGCACTATCATCTTTTGGCCGTCAGCTGTAACCAACTCCTTTGGCGGGTTCATGATCAGTAGCTTTGTCGTTGGTTTTGGGCTTTCAGTCCTCGAAGTTGCCGCCAATTCCTTCATGGTGCTCTGCGGGCCCCCGCAGTATGGGGAAGCTCGCCTAATGTTGGCACAAGCGGTACAAGCCGTGGGCAGCGTGCTCAGTGGCCTCCTGGCCCAAAAGGTCTTCTTCACTTCTCTCAACGGCGTTCAATCGAGCAGCCAGAGCAACAGTACTACGCTCCTTAATGTGCAGTGGACGTACCTTGGCATTACCCTTCTTTGCGTTGTGCTCGGGCTGTTTTTCTATTACATGCCGCTACCTGAGGTCAGTGACAGTGAACTTGAAGAGTCAGTCAAGCTGCTGCCTGTGGACCCGTGTAAGAAGAGTATCGGTGGCCTGCAGCTGCGAACTGTCAGTCTCATCTTGGCCGTTCTAGCCCAATACTTATACGTGGGGGCCCAAGAGAGCAACAGCACTTTCTTCAACAGTCTCGTCATCTCCATCTTGCCCGGTCAACCCAGGTCCGGCATGATTGCCGCCGGCGGCAAGGCTATTGGAATCAATGCTGCTGATCCAGACCAACCTCCCGGGCTCGATCTCTCTCTTTCTGACTATTTGACGGTTGGGCACACTGTTTTTGCCATTTCACGATTTGCCACCACGTATCTCATTTACCTATCTGTCAAGAATCCTCGGCTTCCTCAGCCACGAACTATTCTCAGCTTCAGCATCATCATTTGCTTCATATCCGCTCTCCTTTGTGTTGTCTTACGACCTTCTAATACCAATTTATTGTTTATCCCTGCGTGCCTATTTTTCTTTGCTGAGGGTCCAATATGGCCCCTTATCTTTGCCATCGGCATGCGTGGTCAGGGAAGACGAACGAAACGAGCGGCCGCTTTCATCACGATGGGAGGATCTGGTCCTCTGTTTTTCCCCTTCATCATGTATGGTATCATCCTACGCGGTGGTTCGGTGCAGCAGGCATTTATACTCATCGTGGCGATGCAAGTGGTCATGATGGCCCTGCCAGTTTTCCTTACATTTGTAAAGGATGCCCGACTGATGGTCGATCCACGTCCAGCCCGCCGTGCACTGATGAACAGAGGCGAGCGTCCTACAGATGAAGTGCTTGCCGACGTGAACGCAGAACCTCGCGGCACAGACTCTGTTACTATTACAACCGATTTTTACAGGGAACCTGGAGCTGTGGAAAAGGTAGAAAAGTCCCAGCGCGGATTCATTGGTATGGTATCTAAAGGCCTGGGCGCAAAGTTGCATGGCTCTCGGCGCAAATCTTCACCAACTCTCGAAGTAGAGCATAGTGAGGGCAGTTTGGATGACTAGAAATAACGTTCTCGGTCTCCCCTTTTTCCTTTTCTTGTCTTTTTGGATATGATTCTTGGGATACATATCTCGCGAATACGTTCGCTGAGGTCTCAAAGGTTTTTGTACTAGTTGGTTTTGTCTGGCGTTTGGCGATGGCTGGCTTTGGTTTTACATTATACCCATTTCAAACGGAGGCTGGTTCTGGACATTGTCTGTGGGAATACAGACTAGGAGCATTGAAAAAAAAAAAAGGCCCGGTTTTATTCTCCAGCTTGGCGTACATATAGATGAGAACAGTGTAGATAGTATTTTTTGCACATATATTCATCCATTTGATATTGAAACTACTCATGAGGAAAGCGTGATAATTTTGCATCTCCTTCCAATGCAAATTGAATTATATGAGCGTGGCATCATATATAATCACCAGACTGATTTAATTTCGTCCTCGATTGATGTAAAAACTTCGACTCCTCGCCTTCCCAGCGCCGTGGCGATCCCTACGGCCCGAGCCCCTACATGTCGCATTCTCTTATAGCCTTGGCCATTGTATACCCCGCCAACCCCAATGATTTCCAAGTGAGCCAGCCGAGGATCTTGATCGAATCTGCGTCGAAGGGTTGCCACATTACCCAGAGCAAGAGGATGAAGAGGAGGCCCAGCCATACCACCAATGCCTTCTCCCGGAAGAGTCTCTTGATAATCACCAGAGGTCTCGAGGAAATCGAGCAGAATGCACGATCCGAGAGTGTTTGTCGCGGTGAGGAAGCTAAGTTTGGAGGCTGGGATGGTGGAGGCAGAGGTAGTACTAAGAAGAGAGGAAATGAGGGAGTCGAATTGGCCGGCGTGAGTGTAAGGCGGGATTTTTATACCGATGGGTATGGATGTATTGGAAGGAAGGGCATCGAAGTAGGAGGCCAGTGAGGTAGGAGAGTATGCTGGTGGGGGGAGGTTCGGGATGTTTGGACAGGAGAGGTTGATTTCCATGGCTAGGGGGAAGGGGCAGGATGGGGAGGTGGAGAATGTCTGGATGAGGTTGTGGCAGCTTGATATTTCGGCGGGGGAGCCGGTGACGCTGATGATGATTGTTTTGGGGGGAGAAGAGGGGGTTATGGTAGATGACAGGGAGGATATGATGGAGAGGTATTGGGATAGGGGTAGAGGGCTATAGCCGAGTGTGTTGAGAGTAGCAAGCGGCGCATCTACGGCTGCTGCTGCGTCGGCCTTGACATTGGATTCAGAGTCCTCTGGCGGTCCGGAAAAGGTCCCCGGAGTAGACTTTCCTGTTGCCGGGTCGAAGAAGGCGTAGCGGTGATGTTCGGCGGAATGCGGGAACCCGTTGATAAGGCTCGTCCGGGTAGTGACGGCGCCGGTGGAGGGGCAGAGGAGGAGGTCGCGGAGGTGGGACTCGGTGGTTGCCCAGGGGGAGGCGGTGTTGAGGAGGGGCGGGCGGAAGGAGAGTTTTGGAGGCATTTTTTTTTGTAACTTGATTATCCAAGTTGTAGGCGAATTGTATGTATTGAAATATCTTGTCTTTTGTTTGCGGGGTGTGGCTCCTATACTTCTGTTTTCGGCAAGTGCTGAAGTTCACTCGAAGGATTCCTGTGCGATGCGATGCGATATGATGAGACAAAAAAAGAAACAAAAACGTGGGGATGGGAAAACTTCCCGAGAAGATACGCCCCACATTAATAAAACGGTCCGTCCCGCGTAAGCGAACCGATGAGTTTGTTCAAAAATAGGAAAGCATCCGCGTAATGTACATGTGTAACCTGTACTTTGTGTCACGTACCACTCTTGCGAAAGCAATATTGTGACTCAAGACATGGGGGCATTAAAACGGCTTCTCACAATCTTGTTTACCCACATTATAAGAGTTAGAAGCCAAAAAGCGCGTGAGGTTGTTTCCCCTCCCCCCGCAGTCGGAACCGGTTTCCAAGAGGGGCAGGTTCTTTGATGCAGGTCGTACTCCCCCCCGTAGTGGGCAGTTGTGATGCGTGAGTGTAAGTAAAGCATTTATAATCTTTCATTTATCTACTAATAATTAGTATGCTTTGTTTTTAAGCGAGCGAGACAAATTTATATTCCCCAGTTTTTACATAATGGCGAGACGACGGGTGGAAGGAACGGATATTGAAGGATACTTTTCCCCCCTAGTCTTCTTCCCTCGGCTTGGGGAATGTTTTCTTGCATATGAATGGCCTTTGTTCCCCTCACTTGTTTTTGGTCTCGTTAGATGGTTCGCCTTTTTATGAGTTTTCACTGCGTTTCTATGACACTGTTGTCTTACTTTTTTAACTCATGAGTTTTACTTTACACATTTGGCAGTATTAGCTACACAAAGTCCAGATTATGTTTTGATTTCAACAAAGTCAGTGACTTCAACAGACTCGGTTCAACTATTACCCCCGATCCTTGAGTCTCAAGAAGCGAATCTGGGAAGCACAGAAAAAAGACTACTCTTGTACCATCTACACCATCACCCGACGAACAGCAAAAAATGTTAGAAGATGCTAATATTTATCGTGGTACATACAGGCCTTGCTCGTTCATCAAGAAAAAAAGAAGAAATTATATACAGGTGGACATAGGATTGGGGTACAATATATGTCTTTGGACAAGAGAAAAAGGTGAGTGAGAAAATGCAACTCGCCTTCCAACACACAAAAAAAGAAAAACGGGAAAACAAGCCAGTTTCGAAACCCGTGTTTATAATAAGACAAATGCTTGCAGACATGTCGAAACCAAAAATGCACTTTTTAACAACTCAGATCAATATCGAGATATCTGAAACCCATAAAAACCATAACAAGGGAATAATGCAAGAAAAAGAACACAGTGCTTTACATCAAAACGTTTACCAACCAAATTGTTCACAGTGGAGCTCTACTCCAGGACCATCAGCTCGTATGCACGCCGCAGTGGTGTTACGGACTTGTGTCATGAGGCCCTCAGGTCCGCATCCCAAGACTAGAACGCGCTGCTCTACCGGAGTCTGCTCGATCTCGGCTTGAATCAAAGCAGCGACATCTGGCTTGCCACTCTTGATGGAGTTCTCATAAGCGTTTGACGGTACTGATTCTACTTCTGCTTCTTCTGAAGTCGACTCTCCTGAGGATGATGAACCGGCAGATGTCATGGGCTGGGCCGTCACGGCAGGGATCGCTTTCTCGGCGTCGGTTTCGGAGGATGCTGTGGTGGGTACTGATCCTATGCGTATCTCGGCGTCCGTCTTTTCTTCCGACGATCGGGTGACGTAGATTTCGAGCTGCACACGGGGGTCCTTTGCAAGAGTTTCGAGGTGAGACGCAAACCAAGTAAGGTGGCCTGTTCATGCCTTTGTTAGTTTATTGTTGATCATCTTTTAGGGCTAGAAATGTTCACTCACTCCTATATTTGACCATCAAGATAAAGGTAATCTTCTTGTCTTGCTGCTCAGGAGACATGTTCTTGAGCATGTTGAGCGCCATTCCGAATGTAAAGGTCGAACCGCTTCCACCTGCAACCAAGACAACTCTCTCGTACTCGGTGGCATCAGGCAGGGTACCATAAGCTCCTTCGACCGAGGCCTTTACGGTCACACCAGGGTTCTTGACTGCGTATCGGTGCAGATCCTGGGTGAAACCATCATGGGAGTTTACAACAAACTCCATGGGCTCCATATTTGCAATCGTAAAGGGATGCGTCTCGCTGAATCGGACGGACGGGATCCAAAGGAAGCAGTGCTGTCCAGAAACGGCACCCAGTGGAGCCTTCTTGAGGGTGACTCGAGTGGCGCCGTTTGGCAGAGGCGTAAGGGTAGCAGTGTTGTTGACGCTGTAAATCAACAGGCGAGTTACGCGCACAAGTCGGTCAAGCACCCAGACACTAGCGACAGCAATGACAACAAAGACGATCCTCTTGGCGAACATTGGCTGGTGAAGGCCTATCATGACGATGGCGATGATCCAGCAGCTCATGTGGACATAGTAGAAGAGTTCGTACCACCATCGACGAATAACGGCTCCTGCGAATCCAACAATGACAAAGGACAAGCCGGCAATCTCGCCGTAAATCACACTCTCTTCCCGAAGGATGGAGGTTCTTCCCATGGCCGTGAAGTATTTGGTGTAGCAAGAGGCGTGGATGATGACAAAGCTGATGCACATGTAGCCGGCGATTTGATGCAAGATGTTGAGACGTTCGTACGACCAGGCTGTGAGGAATGCCAGGGGGGTATTTTTCAAGGCGAGAAAGATGAGGACGGTTAAATTCGCAAGGGCCATCCTATTCATGTTGATATACATTATCAGCTTGTTGAACGAAGAATACAAGACGGCAAGTCTTTTCAAGGGCTTCGATGGGCGTTTCTTACCATGCGGCTCGTCCACCCAAGGTACCGGTGAGCCCAATAACGGGATTGTTGATGTTTGTAAAGGCGAGGGCGAGGTTGATGGCAACATAGAGCGAAACTAGGATGGCATGTCCCCGAGAAGGCAAGCCGGGTGCTGTGTGAAGAAGAACCTTTCGCGGTTTCCTATCTCTTTGTCTTAGCCTCTTTTTACTACGAAGTGAGTTGATATCACCAAGTCGTGATGATGAGTTTCTCTTACCGAGACAGGACAGCAAGTGCCGATACTCCCTTCTTCCCAGCATTGGTCTTCTGGGCAAGTCGTCGTCCAAGATGAAAGACGATGGGTATCAAGGCGAGGCCTCCTACAGCACCGACGAACGTGTACATCCGCTCGTGGTTGATATCTTCGCTCCGCATGAGAGCTGCGGCGTGGCTGGTCATCTTTGCGACAATTTTTTTGATGTGAAGCAAATCGATTCGGCTAAAGGATAGAGTCGAAAGATAGTTGGGCTATTGTCGAAAGATATAAGACAGCGTCTTTAAAGTCCTTGGAGCCGGTAGAGATTAACGGCAAGGATGTGATGAGATGGAGAAAGAAGAAGACGAGAGATGAAGATGAAAAGATGATTAGTGATGAGGCAAGCAAAGATGGAATCTTGTTGTGAATAAGTGGGTGAGTGCAGATTGCAAAAGAGATTCGATGGAGCAGTCCAGGGGACGTCTTCTATATGTCCTTTCTGACAAAAACAAGAAAGTCTTATCAGCAACAAGCAACCCCGACAGCATAAACATCAGCCCGCTTACCGTACAACCGTCTTATCTACACCAAGCAGGCCAGAAAATAAAGATTTTCCGGAGATTCTAGATTTTCTATTTTTACCCTCCGAGGTGTGGATTGCAAATCAGACCATGCGGCTTGTTCTTGTTCTGTGCCTTGCAAAGATATCGAAAGATCGCCCACCCATGCAACAAGACAGAAGCACGTTCCAAGGCTGAGGCAAAATCTTGGGGATAGAGATTGCGACTTTGGATGGTAATATCAGCCGTTTCAAACGGGAAGGTAATTTGTCACTCGTCCGCCGTCGACGTCGTGATTGTTTTCATTCGACGACTTGCAATGCCCTGGTGGTTCCTGCTTTGATAATGCCTGTCAGACATGTGTTACCCCGGCCCCGACGGCGCGGGCAAATAAGCTGATTACCTACTGATTCCTTTTTCTGGGAGACTAGTATAATTTATACTTTTTTCAACGCAGAACTGAGAATTCATAAAACTTTTGATCAGGGGGAATCAGGAGAAGGCATAGGGACATGAGGGCGTATTCTGCCTTTATGTTTCCCCTTCGTCGAGCTACCATACTTCTCCTCGTCTTCCCCCCTGTGTTTTAGTTTTAGCCTTTCTCATACACCCACCTTCTTCTTCGACAACAGGTTGGGAGACCTCGGGGACATATCCATGCAAGTCGCGTGTGAAGACGACCCAAACAGGGACGGCCATCCGAAGATCCTTTGGTTCGAATGCATCGAGACTTTGGGTCCAGAGCCCCGGTAGATCCAACCAAGTTTGATGCCACTACTACTACAAACGGGTGGCCTCCCTCCGCTTTCTTGGATAAAATGATACCATGGAGGATGTCGACATCGAAAATCCCTCCACTCTTCCACTCTTGTCGTCAGGCATCCACGACAAACGCTCCAACAACCCTCCCAGTTAAGTTTAATCTCCTCTGCCCTTACTAGTATCAAGGCCCAGCGAAGCCACTTCCAATGCCACTTACTGATAATCACAAGCTTTCTGTGGCTTTTGGTTCATTGTAATGTCATCTCTTGTAAGAAAGAGGCAAGAGCTTATACAAGAATAGACCATATCCCACAGTACCCGTCTATTAGTAAGACGACTGAAACTTGGTATACTACGTGTAACATTCCCTGCTTACTTCCACCTTCCATGGAATTTCTCTATTTCTGTTCCATGGACACCAGCCTCCATCAAGAGTACTCCACAGCCACAGAACTGGATGTCGAAGAAGAGCAATGCGGGGGAAATGTTGACTCAATCGTTTTTTATTGCGATGAATCGTTGAGTCGTCTATTGATGACCTGGGGAACGGGCCGACTAATACAAATCGACCAGAATAAGGCCGTTCGGAGGGTTTTTATGTAATGCGTGCACGAATCAGTTCATCCAGGCAAGATGGCAAAGTGGGCAGGGTTGGGAAGAAGGTCGAGACGCTGCACGACAATCCTCACCCCCCACCTTTTGGTCAAGAGCCGTGATTAGCTGGCTGTGCCTATCGCAAAGATTGTGACAAGGTTTGCCCCAACGTGAAGAGAAAGAATAAAAGAAAGAAAAAATTTAGACGCCGCATTAACTTGCTCATCTCTTATGCCTAAAGAGGCAGGCCAGAAGCCCCATCTTGCTAGCCTGCAAAATTAAGGAAACAGGACGCTGCCACAAAATGTCAAGTTTCCAAAACATCAGAAGAGTGTATTGTCCCTGATTTTGTCAGTTGTAAAATTGTCGTAAATTTGACTTTGGTGATGGTCCGAGTCTCATTGGTCCAAAGCCATCCGTGTACCCGAGAACAAGCTCCCGCGAGGCGTCATGATTCGAATTTAGCCTCGGGCCGGCACCTATTTTGACGGGAAAGCTTGGCGAGCTGCCTGGTCGAATCTGCCGAGCAAAGCTGGCACTGGCTAATATTGCGTATGTGACGCCCGCCTGGAGGTACAGTATAATACTAGCATCACCCTCTCAGAGTCGCTGGCATCCCACATCGGCTTTTACCGTGTGTGCGGCGTCGGCTGAAACTATCGTGCCGATGACTTATACAAAACGCCCTCTTGACCGGGGGACCCGACCTTGCGTCTCTTCTTGGAACTGTGTGTACCTAGCTGGTCCGTAGTTCTACTGGTTAGCTCATGAATCAGATAAGCATCTCAGTAGTGTATCCTCGGCATACATGATACGGGCAAGGGATGTACGTACCGGCACCCAGCGATGGGATGAAGATTTCAAATACCACCACTGCCACGATAGGCCACAGAGGACGGCCTGCCATTCGTCGGATGAACTGAAACGCGCAGTCGCCGGCCCATGCGACCACTTGGCGCTGACTGCGTGGGCATCCCGGTAGAATCAACGGCACTGCAGCAACCCAACTGAGTAAGAGGCCCGTCGGCAGTAGATGCAGATCTGACAGGAACAGGGCTAGTCCCCAGGCGTTGTAGCCAAATATAGGCTGTTCGGCAGCGACGAGAGCGCCCAGGAGCTGCGAATCTAGATTGGACGTTGTGTCTCACCGGCACGGCCTGTGATGGTCGGGGCAACTGTGCCGCAGCCCTACCGAGACGCTCATGACACGGCGTTGACGCAGCTTAGGCGACATACTTGCGCCGTGCTCCGCAGATGCTGGCAGTTGGGAAGTGGCGTTGGCGTAGTATCGCATCGTATCTCGTAGCAGTTTTGGTCCTAGCACGCGATCTCTGCCTGGCCCATCAACACGTGCGAGCATCCCTGGATAGTCGAAGTCGTAAGCGCAGCAGAATATTCCGTGACTGGCGACACGCCCCGATAGCACCTACTATGTACAGCACTCAGGCCAGCAGCGATACGAAAGCTTCTTGACTGAGCGACATGCCGCGAAAGCCAGCAGCGTTTGGACTTGTACTGTCTCGGGGCATCGGCTCTTCTCTCTCTTCTCCCCGCGTATTCTTCCCCAGACTTGCTGCTCAATGATGTCGTCGGCCACCCTCTGGGCGCAGCGGGTAAAAGTGAATGCCCGAGCCAAGACTCACGAGCGTTTGACAGGCGGAGCGGCTCGCCAATCAAGGCCTCGTCCACCGCCGTGGGTTGCATTGGATTCGGCCCTGTCGAGCAAATGGGTGGGCGGCGCTGCATAAGTGCAGGTGTTTTACAGCGAGAGAAGAATGCGAGTACGGCCGAATACACGTATACACGGAGAATTACCTCGAAACTGGTATCCATGTCTCGTGCACGAAGCAAGTGAGTGCTGAGTACATGGAGATGCCTAATACTGTAGGTAGGTAGGTGCTGACTGGGCTTATAGCAGTCAGTCGATACTGCTAAACGCAGCAATATCCCACATGCTGCTCCATCCATGGCGAAATAGTATTGACTTGTATTACTACAGCGTAGTCCCGCTAGAATCAGAATTGCAGGTGCAGGGTTATTCTTCTTACCTCCCACTCTTGTCGCCAGTTCTACCAATCACGAACCATTCTCGCAGTGCCCCTGCCAGAACTCGCGCAGTACCGGCCAGCTACCTGCGCCTTATCAATCACGCTTACTGCATCTGGGCAATGCATAGAGGCAAAGAGGGTTACATTTCCACGAAATAGCGGTACTGCCGAGGTACCTACCTGCTCACAGGCCTGGAACATTTACTAGTAGTACTCAGTCCTAGGCAAGTGGTAGTCTCTGTTGTTCCAGCATACCTGGTACATACCTATCTAAAATATTTCAGACATGACTATTTGCTCTCTTTGGCGATCGACGCCAAGTTGCCTCACTACAAATCGTCTTGATTCTAATCGGCTAGTTTCATGGTGCGATTGTTCGGAGCTCTAAATGTCAACAATTATCATCACTCGCCCTCGTGGCCTAATGGCTAAGGCGCAAGACTTCTAATCTTGAGATTGCGGGTTCGAGTCCCGCCGGGGGTTGTATTTTAATTTTTGCAATTCTTATCCTATTAAGGCGCAGGACGTCTAATCCTGAGATTGCGAGCTCGAGTTCGGCAGGAGGCTTTTCATTTTGGCCCGTTGTTCTTACTTATACTACAACGGGCGCTTGTTGATCCTACTGCCTTATATAGGAAATGGTGTCTTGATTTCCCTCGCTTTGTTGTTTCGGCAAGTGTTCAGCTGCCCTTCTATGTGAAAATGCGATGGTCTTGTTAAGCTGGGCCAACTTACTATTCGTTACCCAATTCTATGGCTCCTTTCTTGTAAGGAAGAGGTTAATTTTCCGTCGGATCATTCCATTCTGCAATCGAACAATTGCTCTCTCTTACCTAAGGTAGGTAGGCACCTCCCAAGGTTGGTATGCTTCGATGCTACGTAGTGTAGACAAGATAAAGACGCGCAGCTGTACAAGTAAGATCTCTTCACCCTGCAATATGTGCTCCGAACTGATGGTTCAATGTGCAAGGATCCATCCCCTCTCTCTTGCTGCATACATTGTGTGTAACCACGCAGAATGCAAGGCGAGTGGGCATCAGGTCGCGAGAGATAAACGTGTTCGATTAGCATCAATTTATTTATATTTTTCCCTTGTTTGCATGTGGAAGGTGTTATTTCTTCCGCCCGGTGGAGTGCAGCCGCTCGCATATGCACATGTCTTTAAAAGCTTAAAGGTATTATTCAGCTACCCTATGAATACGTGCTAATCCTCTGATGCCATTTGTGCAGCACATGATGATTCCCGAAGTGTTTATATAATCACACGGAGGATTGTATTTTCCATTGTAGATGCCAATTTGTCCATGTGCTTGTATATATCCACTCTTCGAACATAATCCCCCAATTCGTAGACACATATGTAATCGCTTACTAGGCTGGCGAACGGGCAACTCCGAATCTATTTTTGACCCTATTCAGCCTCCTTTTGCACCTACCGAAAACGAATACTATCTCACACTGAGCTGAAAGAAATATTTCTTCAAAGCACAATTGCACCGATGAAGAAGATATCTTTGTTGCACCGCTTGTTGAACTCTCCTCAAGACTGCACAGGATCAAATCTCACTCAACGTAGCGAGAGTAGTGTCAGGGAATGTCTCAGCTTTATTCAACGGACGTCCTATAGTGTCTAACCTTGACCAGTCAAGCCTAAACAGAACCTTCTCGTCCATCACTTCTGTTTCCTATAGTACTCTCTCAAATTCCCACAGCCTTCTTTATGTCTAAGCCGCGACTCTGTGTGTGGCCCCTAGACCTCAGCCTTATCATTGTGTGACCTCGACATCTGTCTCAAGTTTCCACAGCCTTCTTTGTGCCTAAGCCGTGAATCTTTGCGTGGCCCTGGAAGCTCAATCTTATCATTGCGCGACCTCGGCAACTTATCCCTACACAAGCTTCGCATCCCTTCAAGATACCTCTGATCCCGTGCATCAACAACACATTCTTCGTATAATTTGCTGGCTTCTCTCCACTCTTCCAGTCTCTTATGGCATTCGGCTCGGTAGAATTTGATCTTGCGGTCGATTTTCACCATGCCTTCTGCCACTGCAAGCGAACTGGCGTCGTTAGCTTCGTCCAAAGCTTTTTCTACCTTGGACGGGTGCATATTCAAGTATCTTTTGCAGGCCTCCAAGTGCTTTTCGATGCGAGCACGAATCCATTCGATGTCGTCCTCACCAGGCTTGAATAGCCTATCAAAAATCTCCGGAGATGGATTCATCGGTTGGTCTGATGCGCCTTCTGTATTTGATTGGGCCAATTCGCCGAGAAGAGAAAAATCGCCGCTGTTTGGTAGGTATATTTGTAAGCTTATAAGAACTCGTATATGTATTCCTACATAAAGAATGCTGTCTTTGAAGTATCACCTTTTCCGCAATTTGTTTGAATAGTTCTTCTTTTATGGCAACTTCTAAAACCTTTGAATGATGGATTTACGAACTTCGCTGCACAAAGACCGTTCGCAAAGCTCTCAAGGGAATTATGTCTCAAAGAAATGTCTTATTCAATTTATAGCCACAGCATCGCCAGCAGCAGACAACCACGGATGATTCGTGTAACACAGTACAAAGCAATAAAGAAAAGATGGTACGAAAATAGCAGCACGGGAGCTGCCATTTCCTTTGACCGGTCAACCTTGTTCCGCATGACATCCTATGGAAAACGTCCATCATTGTCTACATAGCTGTATCGCATTTACCGTGAGCATTATGTTCTGCGTGATATTTCGACATTTATTCGGGCACAGTTTCTGGGCGTGACTGATCTCTGCATTTCTGAGCGAGTTGCGTGTTAAGAGCTTCCACTGTGATTAGGTGTATCGATAAAAATAGACTCCATGGTTCAATCAACTCCTAAACACTTGCATTGTATTGGTAGAAAGATATAAACTCAGAAATACCACAAGTTACATCAGCGCAACATGATGCTATCTCCGTCTTTTCCCCCTATGCTCCTTCACATATCCACGACCTTCTTGATGGCTGGGCCGCGAACTCTTGCGTGGCTTGAAGGTCTCAGCATTACCTCTGTGTCGCCTAGAGGTCTCGACGATATTCCTGTGCGGCCTCTCAATATCACCTCTGCTTGGCCTCGCAATATTACCTCTGCGTGACCTCTCCATATCATCTCTGTGCGGCCTCTTGATGTTATCTCTGTGCGGCCTCTCAATGTTATCTCTGCGCCGCATTCGCATATCATCTCTGCATGGCCTCTCGATAATGTCTCTGCGTGGCCTCTCGATAATGTCTCTGCGTGGCCTCTCGATAATATCTCTGCGTGGCCTCTCGATAATATCTCTGCGTAGCCTCTCGCTAATATCTTTGCGCAGCCTCTTAATAACATCTCTGCATGGCCACTTGTCATTATCTCTGTGTAGCTTCGAGATCTCAACTCTGCACACTGATTGCATCTTCCGAAGCCACCTCTCGTCCTCCTCTGTGACAACAATGCATTTTTTGTACAGCCTATAAGCCTCCTCCCAGTCCCCCATTTTACTGTAGCATTCGGCCCTGTAGAATCTGATTCTGCGTTCGATATCCTTCCTTTTGAATAAAATTGCAAGCAACTTGGCCTCATTGGCTTTGGACAAAGCTTCTTCCAAGTCGCACGGATCTTCGTACATGCCTCTTTTGCAGGCCTCCAAATTCTCTTTGATGGGGCTCGGAATCCCTTTCAAATCGTGTCTAAGATATTGGGATGGCATATCGAATTCCCAAAGCTGGATCCGTCTGCTCTGCAGAAGATTAATATGACCACACCCCCTATATTGTGCTGGACAGTTTGATTATAAAGGAATATCGCGATTTGTTCTGGTAACTCTTGAGCTAAATCATCTGCTGCGACTTCTTCGGGGATGTTTGTAAACTTGTGAGGCTCGTATACGTATTCTTCATGAATGAAATCTTCAAAGAATCATCTTGTTGGCTTTTTTTCTCAAAGCCTTTTGCGATTTGTGGCTACTAAGTCATTTTAAATAGGTTTATAAACTCTTCTTTCCTGCGCAAAGACCGCCCGCAAAGCTCTCACACATAACTTCCCAACCAAACAATATCTTGTTCGATTCACAGCCACAGTCTGGCCACCAGTACACGGGTTTGAACAGAGAGTGCAGTCCTGTAGATAGGCCTGTGCCGAAAAGGAGATAGATTTGAGGTAGCACGAAGTTAGCTGTACTGGTGCTGTCATATGCGTTGAACAGAAAACGTTCTTCTATTGAACAAAGCCGTGGAGTAGTTACATGATCGCCTACGTAAGGTAGGCCGATTCGCATTACCGTGAGCAGTGATTTTTTGCGCAGCATTTCGACTAGCTTCTGCATGTTTGACCACATTGGCGTGTTCAGTTGCATGAAGAGAGATGTAGACTCAAACACACCACATGCTACACTCCGCAACATAATGATTGTTTAATGTTTCTTGCTTTTCGAGTCTTAGCACTCGCTGCGTTGGTCCATCTACCTACTTCTAAACCCATCTGCACACATAAAAAATTATCACATATGTACGCCACTAGAATAGCCTTGTCTCCTCATTCTTCCATACTCCGTTGTCCGCTGTCGTCTCCCTAGACCTCTGATTAACCCCTCACACAGGTCTTGATTTTTAATCCTCCAAAATACTCCGATCAAAAACAGAATAACATATATTTAGCACATCTTGTACTCGCTGCGGCCGGAAGCAACTCTGTTTGCATCGGTAGTCTGGAAGTTGTAATCAATCTCAATGTCCAAGTCACGGCGGTTCTTGTTGTTGGGCTTGACGTCAAGTTTGCAGTGGATCTCCTCTCCGTCTTGTGTGGTCAGGACATCCTTGATGTAGAAAACGGTCTGTTTCCAGTGAGTGTACTTGGTGTGAGGGCCGGTAGAGAAGCGGATGGGCTTGTGGCAGGCGGTGAAGTCGATGTCGAACCAAGAAACGAGAGCGTGGACGAAGTCGTCTCGCTTGGCGGTCAGGGTGAAGCTTGTGTTGAAGGCGAGGTCGGCGGTGGTGCAGGTGTAGAGATCGAGGGTTAGAACGGGGACGGGGTCGGTAACGACAGCCTTGAGATCGACAGTATCGACCAAGGGTTCTGAGAGAGCGGTGTCCTTCAGGGGAGTGTAGTCAAAGCCGTACACGTTATCCCAGACTTATATAGCTGTCAGACTAGTGAAATATGGCCATAGAATAAGGAGCAACTTACATCCAATCTTCTCCTCCTTGTAGTCGCCATCCTCAATACCAGCGAAGAAGATGGTGGCCTTGTCGGGGAAGATGAGACCGTCCTTGACCAGGTACTTGTCACGGGCGTACAGGACGGTGTCCAGCATGCTTTCGTAGAGGAGGAAGTAGCCCATCCACTCGGAGATGATGATGTCGACCTGGGGGAAGGGGAGCTCGATCTCCTCCATCTTGCCCTGGATCAGGGTGATCTTGTCTGACAGGCCGTTGGTCTTGACGATCTCTCGGGCCTTGAAGATGATGGTGGACATGTCCACACCGATGACATGCTTGGCGCCGGCCTTGGCGGCAAACCTAGAAAGAAACCATGTGAATACCATGTTTTTCCCCCATTGTTTTTCCCCCAGTCTGTTCTATTTGTTTCGACAACATGTCGCAAAGAAAGATTTCGACGGAGCAGAATCGCTAAAGGAGAAAATGCGGAAGCACATACATGGAAAGGATGGCGGTACCACATCCAACATCAAGAACAACCTTGTCCTTGAAAATGTGCTTGTTCTGGACAATGGCGTTCATGTACGACCTCGTGCGCACCTCATCTTTCTGTATTGTCACTAATTGTCAGTTTATGTACTCTTTGTCTTCTTTTGCTTTTCTTGTTTCGCGCTGGCGGCCTGCGCAGCTAAATGCAGCCAGCAGTAGCGCTGTCGCATCAGCTTTCGCGGCGCGAGGCTGAAGGAGGGGCAGCAGCTGCATGAAATAAGAGGGGGGATGTGCTCACCAGCATTTCCTCGTGGATGCCTGCACATTGCAAATAACAGTCAAAGTTAGATAATAGATTCTTCCATGAGGGTTCATTTTTTCTTCTCTCGTGTATTCGTACCATGATGATCGTAACTGGACGCAAGCATAAGTCAGCGTCGCCGTCTTCAAAGCTGTAATAGTTGCCTTCAAAGTCTCCACGCAAGGCTTTTCTTTTGCATAAAGCCACTACCAACCGATTGAGAAGAAGAAGATAACGTACCTCTTGAAGTAGTGCTGCTCGCTGTGCTCCATAGTCTTGAGCTTCTGCTCAGCGAGCTCAACTTCCATTTTATCGCCAGACATTTTGGAATTAGAAATGGAGGGGAAATGAAAGAGTAAAAGAAACGAAGGCTCGTCTATTGAACAGAAAAGAGAGGCTTGTTGGTGATCCTTTCCGAGGCGGCACAAACAGAATGCAGAGAAAAGTTCGTTTTGCAATGGGAAGAAAAAAGAAAAGACAAAGACGCCTTTTTTCTTTGTTCTGGTTTATGCTTTTTGGCCTGCGGCTGGAAAGGACTTGAATCGTTGCGGCGGCAAAACGCAGACGGGAAAGGCAGGCTTGGTTGGGCAGAAAATTAAATTATCCTTGTCACCGCCTTTGGCAGGGTCCCCGCTATCCACTTTTGGACGACCGAGTTTTGCTAGCCTGGAGTCGGTGGCTGATGGTGCTAAAAAAAAAAAAAAAAATTGCGATGGAGGCGTTGATAGAGACGCTGATAGAGGGACTGATAGAGCTAGCAGATTTTGATAACTGCCGAGTTTGACATTTGATAGGCTTCATAGCATAAGGTACCATGATTAGACACCAAGTATTGTAGTAGATATAGGAGATACAGTATTAGACAGACTTGAATACATGGGCATGCCTGTTGTTACACTGTACATAGCTCAAATGCGTTGTTGACATTACTTTATGCTTCGAAACACATTCAAGATAGGGATATTGCAGTGCCAGATTGACAAACTTCTTTCTTGTATTATTCATAGACCTTGATTTCTTTGAGCATCGACGAGGACCCGGATATCCTCGGAAGTCTTACATCTCCCTAACAGATCTCATCTAGCCTTTGCTTCTTTTATATGTCTTCACCCGTACCTCCCAAGGTAGTACCCAACGCCCAAAACGCCAATACATGCACCTTTTGACAGCCGTGGCTCTCAACAAACAATAACTGAAACCACCACTCACTCCCAGTAACTTAGACCAGCAGCACACTGTTGATGCATCCCTCGTTCTCGGGGTTGTTCGTCACCTGAGCGTATCGGCCCCAGACAACCTTTCCTCCGGCAGTAACCAGACCCAACTCGCTAACATTGACTTCGAGAATGGTACCCTTGGTCAAAACGCCCAGCTGGGTGTACAGCGGGTTCTGCGGGTTCTTCTTAACACTGATAATAGGCAGCTGCACAGTAACTCCCAGCTCAGGGTGTGTAACATTGGCCTTCTTGTAACGCAGACCCATAGGGCGAATGAAGCGCTCGTACTTGGGGTTTCGTCTGGTGAAATCGGGTCCAACAAAGGTAGGCTTCGTAATGACACGCTTCCACGCCCTCTTGTGTGTCTTCTTGCCCGTCTTGACAACCTTGAACATCTCCTCCTCGCTGATACCTCGCACCTTAGGCAGCGGCACGCTAAACTTGGCAGCCTTCTCCGCACGCTTGTTCTTGATGGCGCTGCTGAGGGCCTTTGCCGTGGACGGGTTCGATCGGTCGAGCAGGTACGAGGGCAGGGGCTGCGTAGGCTCCTTCTCGTCCGCGGTCTTGACGTTGCGCTCCTCGTGGGCCTTGATGGCCTTCTTCATCTGGATCTTCTCATTGTGGCGCTTCTTCTGGTACAGCTTGGCTTTCAGACCGCGCAGGTTCTGGGCGTCTTGCGAGGCCTTGTGGCCTTCACGGGCGATGCGCTTTCGGGTTCGCTCTTCGTGGTCGAGACGGCGGCCGTGCAGCTTGCGCCATCTCTCCATATACTCGTTCTGAGGCTGCAGGGAGTTAGAATTGCCATTTCGATTGCCATTTCATAATATTCTTCAGCTCTAAAACATACCATGTTGGCGGTGTTGTTTGTCCTTGTCCTGGACTTTGCTTCTATGCAGTAGTGGAGACTAAGAGCCAGGTACGGTGCAAAATTCCTAGCACTCAAGAAGAAAAAAAATGTTGGCGCCAAGATTTCATCGGCCCCCGGCGCCACACTAATCCGGGCCGGCCGCAGAAAGTCGCAAAGCGCAAAGCTTCATATCCAATCGTGCGATTGAAAACACCAGACCGGGGAAAGGCCGTAAAAGCTGCAGAGGGCCCGATAAAAAAAAGACAGAGTCTTTCAACCGGTTGCTCAAAGCAAAAATAATAATGAGCAGAGCACTCCTTCGCTCCGTGCTGGAGCTTAGGGCCCCGAGCTCTCGTCTCGCCCCTCTATTCGCACAGCCAATCCGTCACATGCTGCCTCGAAGCTTCAACACCACTGCGCCAATCGTCGAGCCCGTTGCGCAGCCGCACGTCAACAATGCACCGAATCCTACCGAAGACCAAGTCCGCCCCTTGGCCTTCAAGAAGAGCCACCCCGCCGAGCCTCCCAAGCCAATTGACGACTCTGTCAAGACTCTTCTGCCCCTCCTCGCCGCTCAGCCAGGCCACTACATCACTGTCCATATCCATGGCTTCCCCTACCTTGTCCAAGAGGGCGATCAGATTCGCCTGCCGTTCAAGATGCCTGGCGTCGTTCCCGGCGATGTCCTGCGCTTGAACCGCGCCAGTGTTATCGGCAGCAGAGATTACACCATGAAGGGTGCACCCCACGTCGACGAGAGGGCGTTTGAGTGCCGTGCTACGGTCTTGGGTACAGAGTCTGAGCCGCTGCGAATCAAGGTCAAGACGAAGAGGAGGCAGAGGAGAAAGCGCCAGGCTAAGAGCAAACATCGATATACCATCCTGCGGATCTCAGAGCTGAACATTAAGAATGTGGAAGAGATTGAAGAGGCTTCATCATGATTGCTGCTGAAGAGCTCATGAGAGGAAAAGAGAATAATGCGAATTGGGTGCAAAAATGGCAAGGAGAAATTAAATGATGTGGAAAATTTGATAAACGATGTCACGACGTTGTAAGGCAAATGTGTATCATCTAGCGTTCAGCATATATGGATATTGCTGGCTGTACAATAACAAGAAGGCGCAAAGATAAGAGAGAAGGAAACAAAACATTACAACACAACACCAATCAAGAATCAGGTACCAAAAACAAAGCCAAAACAGTCATGAGATGTGACATTCAATTCTACGCCATATCGCAAAGCAGCGTCTCCAATAGCAGACCTATCTCTCATCCAATCCCGTCCAATTCATAACAAAAAAGCCCGCTATAATTCAAAGTAGCGTGTATGTACACCAAAGAAAGACAAAAGAGTTGCAAAAAGATGTATGTAAAACTCCTCAACACCAAGCTGGTGATGCCATCGTGAACGTCGTAATAGAAAAAAATGTGTTCCTTTTGAACTTGGCCAACACCTTTACTTCCCTTGTCATAAGTGTTTCCTCAAATTAAGAATGTCCCAAAAGTTCATAGACTTTGATGTTCTTGTTCGTAGCTGCTCGTATCCTTTTCATTGGCGCTCTGATCCAAATTATTACTATTAATGAGGCCTGTTCCCCACTGCTTTTCTTAGACTGCTCCAGTATGCTTGTGGCCAGACGCTTGCACCTTCTGACTCTGTTGGCATGCGTTCTCGGCATCTTGTGACAACGCTCTGAATGATTCTTCCCAGCAGCTCTTCGTCGATGGGAAGAGCCTTGTCGCCAACTTCGGCAGGATATAAGAATGGGTCAGTGTCGTGAAGCAGTTCTTCGCATGTCGGGCGCATATGCTGGTCTCGGTTGAGGCAACGCTTCAGAGTCCTAATAAGCGAAGGGGGGACGGGAGCGCCGCCCATGCCACGAGAGGGGAACTCGATGTGGTGTTCCCAATTAATGATGGCCTGACATCTTGCCATCTGGTTGGCAATATGGCCAAAAGGTGGTAAACCATAGACCATCTGGTAGAGAATACAGCCCAGAGACCACACATCGCTGGGCTTGCCAAGCTTCATGAGCTTAGGGCGACCAGGGAAGCGACCTCCGCGCGGGTTGTTGGAGTCTAGCAGTGACTCGGGAGACATGTAATTGGGGGTGCCTATCTGAGTTTCGCGATGGACATTGACTGTCTCGTCGGTCTGAATGGCATTGGCGATGCCGAAATCGATAAGCTTGAGTCTGCCCTTGACAAGGACGAAATTGGCGGGCTTTAGATCTGAGTGAACAATGTCATATTGATGAACAGCGTGCAGGCACTCCAGCATCTCTTTCCAGTAGAACCGCACAAATACAGGGTCAAATCTGGAAGCTTCAGGGTTCTGGCGACTTGCCAAAAGAGCGTTCAAGTCTCGCTCTCCCATTTCCATGACCTACGTGATTGCCAATGAGTTAGTAAATCCACATTTGTTATAATAATAAAGCAATGAAAGGAATTACTCACCAAGCTGAGTACTTGCTTCTCCAGGTTCATCTCGTAGGCGAAGAGGTTAATAACCCGATCTACTCCCTCGAGCCTCCCGAGGAGATCAATTTCGCCCTTGTACCCCTTGATAGTCATTTCATCGGCATTCTCCAAGGCCACGCGCTTTAAAGCAAACATTTGTCCGTTCTCTGCAGTCACACGATACACCTTGGCGCTGCCGCCGCGGCCAAGGCAGTCAAGTCTCGTGTAAGTTTTTCCATTTACCCTTAGCACGTTCCTTCGCTGTTTGGTTGAAGTTGAAGTTGCTGCTGCGCCAGTAGCTGAAGTAGCCGCCTCCATAACAGACATCTTGGGAGGTGGAGGTGGAGCAGGTCGTTGGGGGGTATTGTTTGCGACTGGTGCCAGTGGTTTCCGTTCTGGTGAAGCCGGCCTGGCGAAGACGGGATCAATGCTCATTGGTCGCGCAGGGGCCTTGTCCATCGGATCGTCAAAGGAAGATTTCGGGCGCTTGTAAGCGGAGCGGATGTCATTTTCCTTTTCGCTTGTCGAGGGTATATTGGCGGGTATATTATGATAGAGCACCGATTTTCTGTAAGGTATTTCCTCCTCTTCTGCATCCTCCTTCTCTCTTTCTAGGGGTGCATATCGCTGCGGCTCTGGTTCAGGGTCAAATCCACGCGGCGAGGGTCGCCCAGATCCGGGACGGGACTCCATGCTAGAGTAGTGTCTTCTATGAAGTGCTCTAGCTGAAGCACTTGCACTAACAGGGCTTCCAGAGTTGAAGTCTCGATTACCATCTGCATAGTAATTAACTTCTGGTACATCCTCCATCGGTTGGTCTTGGTCTTGATCTTGCTCCTGGTGAGGGTTGTACTGATCCATTTCTCCTTCGCCTTCAGCATCCTCTTCACTCTGCCGCCGCCTGCCACGTCGTGCAGGGCCGCTCAGAAACGTCCCGGGGATCTTGCCGGCACGCTTGATGCGCATCGAACTCTGCGGGTTGCCATTATCATCCAGCCGACCTTTAGCTGAGGCATGTCGTGAGACACTACCATAGGCTGCAGGTGCCGCCGTGTTACGTGCGACAGTCTCGGGAATCTCGTAGTGCTCGTACTCATCCATCTCTATAGCAGACCTATCGACGGCAGAGCGATCAAATGATCGCCCCGATGATACACCGGCTGAGCCTGGCTTGCTACGACTGCCCGAAGAGTTGGTGGAGATTCTCACGACGCGGTTCCCATTTGCAGGTGTGTTGATGTCTGTTGGCGGCTCTGGCTTCTCATCGGCGGACTTATCCCTACTAGCTGGGCGACTAGACTGCTGGTGTCGCTGTGTTGATCGAGAGAAGGAGCTTGAGCGTCGTTTTGAAGGCTGGATCTGGCTCAGGGTTTGCGGCGTGTTGCTGAGCCTTACTACTCTTTTCCTTTGTGGGGGGCTTGTGCCATGTTCTCTGGCAGGACTCGAGGTCCTCGATGTTTTGCCCTCGGGAGCTTGCCCGCCGATAGAGGCTCGGTGTCTTCCGCGCTCAGACATGGATGATATTGACGCCCCCAATTGGCTGGTCCGTCTTCGAGTTCGTGGTGGTGAAGGTGGACGCTCCATGGCCTGGGCGGCAGACTCAGATCGGCCATCGTTCAGAAGCGCTTTGGTGAGGGCGCTCAGCTTCATAGGCACCGGGATCTCATCCTCGGAGCTGTCATCGTTGTACTGGTTGGCGTTGCTTTGGGATTGCATCGCTTGGGCCTGCTGGCTCTCGCTCCTGGTCATGGCTGATCGTAGAGGAGGCTGGCGTAGAGCCTGTTGTCGCTGCGAGACCCTCCGGACAGGGCCGGCGGCCATTGGGGTCGGCGATGCAGCCGTCGCCATGGTCGGTATCTGCGTGCCGGCGGTCAAGCGGGGATAGAAAAAAAAATGGTATTCGGTGAGCAATTCACAGTAGGCTGTTTGCAAATTAGATTAAGAATACTTTATGTGTGCCGCTTCCTCATTCCGGAGGACGGAAAGCAATCAAGAAACTGGAAGCTCTATTGCGTAGGGGTGCATGTTCAAGGATGAAGAGAGCGGAGAGAGCTAACTAGAGCCAAAAGATTATTTTTGCCTGGGTGATGTTTGCGAAACAACGCTGGCCAATCAGCGCCCGCCCGGTTGCTGTGGGCAACGTGCAATTCCAGGAACGGCGCCGGCGTGGCACCAGCGCTAGTCTGCAAGGGTGGCTTCTAAGTGCGACAAGTTGAAATGGCACTGGTTCATGTTGTTGGTCCGGCTGTGCGTCAATGAATATCTGGCAGTGATGATGAAGCTGCGAGATGGGATTTTTGCCTTGTCTTTGCAGATTTATGTGTGGTTGTGGCGATGCCGCATGTGACGTGGAGCTAGCAGGTACCGGTACGCACTACTTGGTATTTGAGCCTAAAGGGCAGCTATATGAGCTGTTCGTGCTATCAGCGCTGCTGTCTTGGTATTTGTTAGCATTTGAGGCAGAAGAGTGCTACAGACATTGGCGCATTATGCGCTGCTCCCCTATCAGATAATCCCATCTTTTTACATCTCGGCAAGAGAAATTCCAGCTGAAGTCGAGCGTTGCTCATATTTTGGGTAGACTTACCTGTGTAAGCCGCAACGTGCACGCCGTACCTCTACTTTGATATCCAGTGCCGCTCCGAAGGCCTCCGAGTACCCGCCCAATTGGGTCCCAAACTCCGCCGTGCTCTGTGCATTTCCTTACAAACCTCCAAGTTACAGTGGCATCTCTCCGTATCCAGGATTCAACCTCCACTAACTATACCGTGGCCTTTTTTTTGATCCACGTCCCCTCCTTCTTGGCGCACATTGCGCAAACATCTTTTGTTCATCTTCTATAACGTGTCTATATTTGATTGCTCTTTTTTACTTTTTACTTCTTATTTCTTCCTGAAGATTTCCATCCGTCAATGCTGGCGACATGGCGGCTCTTCGAGGCGGGAGACCAAGCTCTCGCGCCATCTCCCTGATCCTGCTTCTCGTGGCCTTCTTTGCTGGCGTCAGCCTTGCTTCTGTCGGTGACCAGCTGGAGGATTTCAAACGATGTCTCGACGTGTGTCCACATTACTCGCAATTGGCTGGGAGACTTTACTAACGAGTCTCTGAACAACAGGTCTGCAAGCTCGAGAACTGCGGCCCTGGCAAGGCTGAAACTCCAATTCGTAACTCTCCCTCCTCTCTTGAGCTCGATATTCGCCAAACAACGAAAAGCACACCAAGACAGGAATCTTCAGCTAATTAGACGACCAATAGCCCTCTCCCGCCGCCTCCTCCTCTGGGACTGCCCCGCCGAATGCGACTACACCTGCCAACACATCATCACCGCCTCCCGCGTCGCCTCCGATCTCAACATCGTCCAGTTCCACGGCAAATGGCCCTTTTACCGCTTCATCGGCATACAGGAGCCCTTCTCCGTGCTCTTCTCCCTCGGCAACTTCTGGGCGCACTGGCAGGGCCTCAAGAAGATCCGCGACCAGATCCCGGCCCACTACTCCATGCGCCCATACTACGAGGTCTTCTCCTACTTTGGCCTCGCCGCCTGGACCTTCAGCTCCATCTTCCACACCCGCGACTTTGCCGCCACCGAGCAGCTCGACTACTTCGCCGCCGGCGCCAGCGTCCTGTACGGGACGTACTACACCGTTGTGCGCATCTTCCGGCTCGACCGCAAGACGCCGCGCCGGCGCTCGGTGCTGCGCGTGTGGACGCTGCTCTGCGTCCTGCTGTATGCCTGCCACGTCGGATACTTGAAGCTCTTCCGCTGGGACTACACCTACAACATGGCCGCCAACGTCGTCGTTGGCATCATCCACAATGCCCTCTGGAGCTGGTTCAGTTTCCACCGCTACCGCAAGCTGGGCCGTACTTGGGCCATGTGGCCTAGCATCGCAGTGGCGTGGGTCATGTTTTCCATGAGCATGGAATTGTTTGATTTCCCGCCCTGGTTGGGCTGCATTGATGCTCACAGCTTGTGGCACCTAATGACGATTGGGCCAACCGTTCTGTGGTACAAGTAAGTTTTGAGCTACGTAGCAGTGCACTCTTTGTTCTAAACTACGAAATACGTTGCTGACTCAATTCACCCAACAGTTTTCTCGTCAAGGATGCAAACGATGATCTTGCCGGAAGCGAGAGATTAAAAGCTTGATAGGTAGGCATGCCGACAAAAGAGATGGAGATGCCAAATTTTTATACTAGTTCAGTAAAAATAAAGAAGGATGATACATAGAGAAAATATCCAGAGGCGTTCAATTTTGAAGAATATTTGAAGTATAACCTTTACTTCAAACTTGCTTGAGAATTAAAAATAGCAATATACCCTACAATAGCCTCCTTCAATGGGTATCTCCTCCCAGAGCCGAAAATCCAGTGCGTTTCTGTTTCCCGTCGCACATTTTGTTATTCGTATACCCAGTCCATATATAAATAAAATAAATAATTGATAAAAGATGATGAAAGGTATTCCTCTGAATCCTACCCGCCAGAATCATAAAGCCTCCAAAAACTCCACAAATCCATTAGACTCCAATTTTTTGAGCCCGTCCAACGGATCTGTTTGCTCCTGATCGAATTATCAAGTTCATATAGAGATTGATATCTTTGTAAGGAAAAAGAAAGAAGCAAGGGAGTTGAACGGACAAAAAGTGATTGATAGTGTCATCGCATCATCACAGCAGAGGGCGCGAGCAACTATGAGCTTAACAAGTCTCGCACAGACAGTCCTCGTCCGTCTCTGTTGCCGCTCGTCGTCCCCCGCCTGTCGCTATTGAGCATCAACAATGCCGCAGTAGCCTCTTGGTCGAGGTCACTCTGCGGAAGCAACGCGGGACTAGTCAACGTTGACCCAGAAGCAGAAGTGCTACTGTGCGTGTAAGAGGCAATGTTGTTGTTGTTGTTGTTGTTGTTGTTGTTGACAAAGCTCTGAGGCCCAAAGGCAGGAGATGTTGTGGTTGATCCGCTGTAGCTGTAATGTCTGTGGTCGGTCGAGACCGACGAGTATGAGTGCTGGCGATGCCGAGAGTCCTGAGCGTAGAGCGCAGGCGAGACTGAAGGCCGCTGAGGAGCAAATATGGGTGATGGAGCCTCGGAATCAGTCATTTCGACATCTGCAGACGGATCTTCTCTGAAAGTTGGGTGGAATTCGCGAATAGGAGGTAGGGGGCTATGTGAAGCCTCTGGCTGGTTCTGCAGAGACTGTTCTTGCTGGGCCTTTAACTTGGCGACGCAGTCCTCTAGGTAGCGGACATATTCAATCGAAGCCTGATGACTTGTTAGTTGGCAAATTACGCTGCGTATCGTATGACTCGCTATTCGTGGGGAACATTTTGTGGACTGCTGATATACCATATTGGGGGCGGTAATGGTAGTAAACGAACCTGTAAGATGGCTAGCTTGTGCATTTCGCCAGTGCACGCCGGAATCATGCTCTTCAGCAGTGCAAACTCCTCATTCATCTTGCTTCGTCGTCGCCTCTCAATCAGGCTGTGGGCAGTCTTTCTTGCGATTTTGCGCCCGGCGGCGCTGGTTGCGCTGGGCTGCTTCTTCTTCGATTCGCTCTTGGCCGAGGCACTCCCGGCACCGGCCCCGGATTCGGAGCCGGGAGCCGAGTTCTTGGCGCTGGCTGCCGCCGCCTTGCCGCCCGCCTTGGCCGTTTCCCTTGTGGAAGTCGAGCTCCCGCTGGATTCCTGGCCTCGGGGCTTCATCTGGATAATCTTCCTGGAGCGCGTAGGGGGAGGAGGCAGGGCAAACGTGGTCTCCTTGGCCTCTTTATTTGTTGCAGCGGACGAGCGTCTTCGGGACTTGACCGTTTCGGCCGCCTGCATGGGATAAAGCGTCTTGGGCGATGTGGCAGTGTCCAGGCCTAGGCTTGTGGGCGAGAGCTTGGAGTCGACTGGTGAAATGCGCGAGGCATCGGCATCGTGAATGGCCGGAGGGGGCAGCTCAAAGGCTAGTTGGAGAGAGGAGAGCTGCTGGATGCCATCCTTGCCCCTGATATCGGACGAGGAGCCAGGAGTAGGGGGAAGTGTTGGACGAGGCATGGCAACCACTTGGGATTAAGTACCCTCGAGGTACTTCCTGCCCTTATGACAAGTGCTCTGTGTAAGCAGGACCTGTTTTGATGCAGACTACCAACAATACCGGGCCCGGGAAAGCCAAGCTGGGATCGGTATCTGGGACTAGTTCTCAGGCTATCGGCCACACTCCGCGATCCGCAATCGCACGTTTCCGTAGTGGTCTCGGGCCTGATTTGCTCGCATCCACTAACACGCGAACCTGAAGCCCACGGCAGGGCCGTATGGCAAGCTACTTTGCCGGAGTGGTACGCGGCACCTGGTGAGGCGCAGCCAGAAGGCCTTTTTTCCGGCACTAAGTCTGCTGTAAGTAGAAGCTTAGATGGTGACGACAGCGGCACACTACCCACCAGTATGGACAAAATCAAGATGGACTTAGAAAAAGCGCACCGAGTCCGCGGGCGCCGTGTACGTGGACTGGAGGGAACGGCAGCTTAGACCGAAAACTCGGGGTGCCGTCGATGCAAGGGTTTGATGCAGCTGGGTGGTTTGGCAAGATAAGCTATGGCTGGAGCCTTTGGTGGTGTTGCAGACGGCCTTGGCTGCGTCTGTTTGTCCTCGTGGGCGTTTCTGTCTCTAGCGGGACTGTGGTCGTGTGAGAATTAAAAGGTTTGTATCTCCTTTCCCGGTCGAGTATGCTGTGTAAAAGAAGAGCCCGTTTTGTTTTGTATTAGGGGTTGAGATTCGGTGGTGTGGACTTTGGCTTGTATCACGGCAGGTTCACAAGACAGAGTCGGCAGCACGAGACCACTTACGCACCCTGGAAGGCAGAGAGCAAGGGCCAGAAGCAACAATCCGCGGAATACGGAAATTGGTAAGAAAAAGGACCAAAAAGAGAGATGGAAAAAAAAGAAAAGAGAAACAGGTGAGCGTAAGAGAAGGGAGGATGGAAAATCCGCTTCGCTCATGGCAGCTTCTCACTATTTCACTAAGGCGGCCATTTCTCTCCTGATAAGGCCATTCCCCTACCCGAAGCGCTACACTACAAACAATCACTGAGAAACAGAAGAGCGGGCAGACGCCATTTCCCCCAGGCGAATCTGCGTCCAAGGGCTCCCCAAGACCAAAAACCGTCGACGAAAACGTGCCTCTGCCAATTGACCAAGCATCATCGAGAAAATGGTCGCGTGCTCCCCATGGTGTCGCCGCCGAGCCGACGAATCAGCGGCGCGGACGGGCCCATGTGGTGAGCCTCGACCCTGGGAGCAGACGCCAATGCAAGCTCTCTGTGCCGCAAATCTTGGCCTCTTGTCTGCCTCTTTCTCTCTCTCCAGCTTGTTTTACTGCCTTTTATCCCTCGCTGGGTGCTTTTGGCCCACTTGCCGTCGACATGGGCGGTTTCATCCTCTTAGACCTCGCCGGTGAGTCTCGTGCTCTCGTGCTCTTCCGGCCATGTATAAGCGGCTAAGGGACCATGGGGGAGCCTAATAAAACACAGTGAAAGCAGTCAACCTGTCTGCTATGGCTGGCTATTGCCTGTGCTATGCGTGGCATTGAGTGGTGTTCCCAACGCCATGGCGCTCTCCGTGGCTGTTTGCGTTCAATCCTAGCAGTTTACACGCATGGCACATGCTTGTGCGTCTTTTCGTATCGTGTACCTTCTTTGTCTCTTCGCCAAAAGCCTCACAAAGCAATGCTTTGATGACATCTGCACAGACCAAGAGACCCTCTCTGACCATCCACTTTTATTACAGCTTCTCCGGGGTTTGAGCAACCCACGTTGGATGAGCTCGCGTGTCCAGTGGCAAAAATTGTCTTCCAAGGGGCCGCTATTTCGGCTGGCCGATTTCTATAGCCAGGTCCCCTCTGTATGTAAGTGGGAGGGTGGTGGGTTTGCGCCACGCAATACCGGCGTTTGCGCTAGAGAAGAGAGGAAGATAAGCAAGCGAGTTCTAGAAATCTGCATGGGATTCCAGCTACTAAGCCAAAGCAGCCCATTGAGCTGGGAGTAGTGGCTTGCAGGAATGTCACGTCACAGTTTGACAATTTTATAACACCGACTATCGCTTAGTGTGTCTCAGTTCTTACTCGCACAGCTTGTCATAACGTGGTTGAACGGAGGAAGTTGCACGGAAAAGCTCAACATGTGCTCGTCCCCAACAATGCCGTAAATCAAAGTCCGTTCGAGGTACCGGCATATAAGGTGCAACCCTCTCCACAACGGCAATTCGGCAAGCCCATATTCCCCAGACTGTGCGGAATATAAAGTGGGATGATTTGGGGGAGGAGAAGACGAGGAGGAGGAGCGTCCACTCAGCGTTGACTTACACTTCTCGCTGAGAGCTGCGCCTCAAACGTACCGTCAGTAACATGTAATGCAAAATGCGGTCTCGTCTCGGAATTATCTGCTGTAGCAGCAGCTCGGAACATCCGGACGTTTGAAATAGTCAACATGGCGCCCGTACTCTATAGTGAGGCCCTTGTCATGGAAGGCCTGTCCAGCTCGGAGCAAGCCTCGTTTATACGAGGAGGATGGCACACTTTTTGAGAGACAAGACGCGTACCTTATTTTATGTTTTTGCCTTGTGGCCGATCCCCAATGCCAAGCTTTTTACTAAGATTCTTAGTTGTATTAATCTTATGAGCTGTAATATTTTTACACAATCTTGTTAAGCTTCTTTGAGTCATTCGCCGTACTGTTGAATTTTTGACAAAACCACCACCTGCTAGGACTGGTAATTACTCGTGTGATATCGACAGCCACGCGGCTGAGCGTTGTGTGCAAGGAATAAGATTTTTCACAACAAGGCGCAGCTCAAGTACAATCATGCCATCTTCGATTGACTTTTTCAATTCAATGCTGCGTGAGATGTCCTCCCCATCCACTAGAAATTTTATGCGGTCAATTCAAGACTTTCACAACGTGCAGTTCAAATACAATCATGTCATCTTTGATTGGCTTTTTAATGCTACATAAACTGTACTTTCCATCTAACAGAGTTTCTATGAGGCCCAATTGCGGCATAGATGAAAGAGAGAAAGTATCGCCTCCATCTCAGCATACGCTTGGCTAAAGAAACCAATGAATTTCAAGTCCCTACTGCCAATGTTGGAGGGGCTGATATACTGGTTTTTGGAGTTAAGCGTGTGCAGAAATTAGTGCGAAATACCCTCCCTTTCATCTAACAATAATATAAGTAGCAATACTAAAAAGACACAACGCCATCCATCAAGTTTAACCCCTATTATATACAGTATTTTATATCAAGTAGAGCTTAGGTAACCCCTACTTAAACCTCATTGCTAGGATACAGCACCTTTGTGGTAGTCGCAAACTCCTCCTTGATCGATCGAATGTTGACAAATCTCGTCAACAGGTTTGCGCTACCGGCCTTGTCGTCGGTGCCGCTGGCTCGGGCTCCGCCAAAGGGCTGCTGGCCAACCACCGCACCGGTGCTCTTGCAGTTGATGTAAAAGTTGCCCGCGGCGTTGCGTAGCTTCTCCTCTGCGAGGCGCAGTGCCTCTCGGTCGCTGGCGAAGACTGATCCCGTCAGGCCGTACTCGGAGGTGGAGTCGACGAGCTCGCAGGCCTTGGAGAAGGCGTCGGGTGCGGCATCGTCGTAGACGTATAGGGTGAGGACGGGACCGAAGAACTCGGTGGAGAGGTACTTGTGAGAAGGGCTGGAGGCGCGGTAGACTGTGGGCTGGACGAAGTAGCCCTTTGATGAGTCGTAGGTACCGCCGACGACGAGCTCGAGGTCCTTGTCGCTCTTGGCCTCATCGATGGCGCCAGAGAGCTTCTTGAAGGATGCCTCGTGGATTACGGGGCCGACAAAGTTGGCGTGATCCCAGGGGACGCCCTGCTTGAGGTTCTTGGTCTCGGCGATGAGGCGCTCCTTGAACTCGGGCCAGAGAGACTTGGGGACATAGGCGCGAGATGTGGCACTGCACTTTTGTCCCTGGTACTCAAAGGCACCGCGGACGGTCTGCACAGCGGCGTTCTCGACATCGGCTGATGGGTGGACCAGGTGGAAGTTCTTGCCGCCCGTCTCGCCCACGATCCTGGGGTACGATCCGTATCTGCCCTCGGCAACACCCTGGCCAATGGCGCCGTACAGCTTTCGGAACACAGCCGTGCTGCCAGTGTAGTGCAGGGCCGCAAACTGCTTGTGCTCCAAGACCGTCTTGGTAATCTCCACGGGGTTGCCGGGCACAAACTGGATGACATCCTTGGGGAGACCAGCCTCCAGCAGGATGTTGTAGACAAGCCAGTTGGACGCAATGGCATAGTCACTGGGCTTCCAGACAACCACGTTGCCCATCAGGGCCGGGGCGCCAGGCAGGTTGCCCGCAATGGCTGTGAAGTTGAAGGGGCTGACGGCGTAGACGAAGCCCTCGAGCGGGCGGTACTCGAGCCTGTTCCAGACGCCCGGCGAGTGGTGCTCGGGCTGCTGGCTGTACAGCTCCTCGGCGTACTTTACGTTGAAGCGGAAGAAGTCGGCCAGCTCGGCGGCGGCGTCGATCTCAGCCTGCCAGGCGTTCTTGCCCTGGCCGAGCATCGTGGCGGCCATGATGTCGTAGCGGTACTTGCCGGCGATGAGGTCGGCGGCCTTGAGGAAGACGGCGGCGCGGTCGGCGAAGGGGAGCGATTCCCAGGCCGGCTTTGCGGCGAGGGCGGCGTCGATGGCCTTGGAGACGTCGGCGGGAGTGGCAGTGTGGTAGGAGGCGACGGTTTTGGAGTGGTCTGAGGGGTTGAGCTGTTTGGAGAGAGAAGAAGTTTTAATCTAGAGGGCTGCTGTTAGCTGTGATTTGCAACTTTTTGGATCTGAGAGTTCGTATATGTCCTTGTACACGACACAATCGTCTCTTCATCAGAGTTCAACGCACCTGTTGGCCTCCCACGACAACGGGGACTTCCAGAGGAAGCTTCTGCTGGAGCTTCTCCACGGCCGCCGTCAAGCCCTCTCGCTGCTGGCTGCCCTTGGCATAGTGTTGCTGTTACACGGACTCGACATTAGCATCAATGCCAAGATTCCTTGATTCTCTTGGATCCTTCACTCACGTTGGGCTCGTTTGTAATAGTCGGAGGTCTAAACGCCGCGAGTGTTGCCATGGAAGCCCTTGCGGTTCGGCACCCGCAGTTGCGCAGGCCCTTTGCGCCGGCTCTTCTCAGCATAGCAGACTGCATTGTGTATGAAATAATGGTGGAAACGGAAAACGCTATTCTTCCCTCGTCGTCGAATATGGTATCACAAGCAAGAAAAAGATCTACAGAGAAGAGAAAAAGGGAAAAAGCTGGAAAAGAAGAGGCTCTTACCCCAATTTCTTATCTTTTTATCCTGCCATCATCGTGTGTTCCCAATAGCTGTCTCGGCTTATCGCGGGTTAAAGACGATTGGGGATGAGGGGCAGTGGGGGCCACCACCATGACGTTAGCAGGCCTCGACCCTAGAATTCCCCAGATGCGAGGCGATTAAGCGTCTGGGGATTGGCCAATTGGGGCACCGACGTCGGCCAGTGGCTCCGTCGAGAGCCGTGAAGCATTGGAGATATCGGGCGCCGGTAGTTGGAGGCTTTAAATGGTGGAGTTTGTATGGCGAATGTGTACCTGGCACTAAGAACATCATACGCCACATGGGAAAAGAGACAAACAATTTTTTCTCCTCAACTGCGCTTAATCATGGTTCAAACGATTTGGATCCTTTTAATTGCGTACTAGAATACACTGAATACACCGCACACCAAACCGTCCAATTCTGGCGAAGGACAACACGCCGAAGAAGGAAAGTTATTAGGTATCTATTACAGCACTCCAGACGTGCTCCGTCCCCTGCCTTGCATCATTGGTATCTCCCATCTCTTGGCCATACTGGCATTTGACCAGTTGCCATAACGTCCAACGCATCAACCCTTTTCCTCTGCAAACATCCTTGGGGGTATCTAATCAGGAGATCGAGACTCGTTCAACAATCGTCGGGCCGTTCATCAAAAACCAGATATTTATCGTTGCTGCCGCTCTGAGTGGCTAGTGGCAGTGGATACGGCTCTTGAGGACGCTTCAGTTCTCGGACGATATGTTAGCAGCGGCACGGTCAAGCCGTAACTCTCTGTCAGGCCTTCTGGATTGTGCTGGTCAATCTCGATATTGATGCGAATATCCAAGCTACCGTCGTGGCCTTGGCCATGTTGTGCGTCTGAAGCTGCCTTGTGCTTCGTGCCAGCCCCAACCTCACCATGATGTAAGGGCGAGTGGCCATCAGAACCCAGGAATGAATGCGAAGGGGCATCGGCGCCGGACCCTGGCACAAAGCCACCGGGGCTTCTTGTAGGAGAATTCTCAGTCAGTAAAGCAAAGTTGCGGCTGGGCATCGTGCAGCTATTGTGGCTAGCCGTCCTGGTGATGTTGTTGCCGGGATCCTTGTCGAACAGATCCAACAGAGTTTCGTCCGTCTTGGAGTTGAGATGATGGATCTTGTTTCGTCTTGCCAGGAGGTTGGCGACAGCCTGTGGCGGAGGCTTGTTGACGATGGCTGACGAGACTACGTTGACCATGTATCTGCTGTCTTCTTCGGTGGGAATCTTGAGGCTTGGGTTGGAGTAGAAGCGGCCCAGAGCTGCCAAGTGGACATCACCCCCGAGAATAGTAGTTCGTACCGAAAACTCGGCGGAAATCCTTTGTAGTTCTACAACCATTTGCGCGCGCTCGATTTTATGGGTCTTGGCCGTGTAGTGATCATCAAGATCGTCGAGAAGATCTACACTTCCGTCAAAGTGGTTGAAGAAGCCACCACCAACGCCAAATCGTCGGTTCAGAAGCTTGACGGGACCAATGAGTGGGCTTCGAAGGATATTCTCTAACCAAGTCAAGCGCTGTGATGATTTTTCATTAGTACTTTAGCCCATGGGAACGGACCAACGTGAGAGGTGACAAACGTACAGGATAAGCAATAGGAATACCGAGTAACAGAATCAAGTGCTTGATAGGCTGGCCGGATCTAGCGGCGGCCTGTAGCTCATTCCGTAGTCTCTGGAAGATGAGTTCATAGGTCTCAGGATAGTTGACTTGGTGTCGAGTGCGCTGTCATCTTGTTAGATATCGAACTAATGGGCATAGAAATCTCTAGTGGCTTACCTCAGTTCTGGCGTCGATGCCAAGCAGAGCAATACGAGCACCCAGTCGGGCGTACATGTTAAACGAGTGCTCCGCAACATAGGGTCCGGGTTTCTGGCCAACGATATACTGCGGCTCCGTCTTCTGCGGTGCAACGTAGGTATCAATCAGTTGATTAGGGTCAATGCCTTGAGTGCCATCATCGTCTTGAGTGGCAAAGTCTAATAATGCATTAGCACCTATATATTCTATGTATCCTTGATACCATGAGTAGAGTCTTACCGGATGTGTATGTAGACGGTGGTGGAGGGAGATGGTGCTGGAAGAGCATGTAGTACTTGTGGGCGGTACCACCGATGCCACGGAAAACGTCACATTGCATGAATTTATCGATATATGACCCAAAGCCGTCAATGATCTGTGTAAAGTATTAGCATGGGCTTCCGTAATCAGGTATCATAGACTATGCTCACATCATGGTCATCCCAAATATTGATCTGTGGGATCTGGCCGTTTGCGGTTGAGAAAGGCTCCGTATTATACCATCTGATGTAGTTCTTCAGGTAGTAGTCGTCGCACTCGGCACGAAGCTTCTCGGGAAAGGGATATTCTTGTCGCTTCTTTGGGTTGCCGATTTCAGTCCAGGTACGCAAAGGGCCGTTAACCCTGATGCCATCGTTGTAGATTTGGTCACCACCACCAATCATGACGTGGATCGGCGCGGCCGCATGTTTCCGCATAACGTCCTTCCACAGACACGGGCCGCTCCATGCATCTTCGTCGGTGCCGACACTGAAGCCGTTGCAAGAGTAGAACATCATGCGCATGGATTCGTTAGCGGCAGGGATGTAGAAGCTGTTGACTCGCGGTTTATGAGTGGTGGAATATCGCAGGCCCAGAACTTCATAGTCGTATCGAACCTCCACAGATTCGAGCGGCACGCTGAGGCCAAAGGCCCAGAATGTGTTTCGTTTGTCCGAATAGAGGCGCTCTCCGTAGACTTGCGCGTCTTGGATGTGCCCCATCTTCTCGTCACCCTGTCCCATGGCCCGTCGCAAGACCAGCAGCGGCTCAAAGAGTGCTTCTTTGCCGCCGCCCTTTGTCACGACAAGGACACTTCCGTACCAGTAGCCCTGTTCCATGCGACGATAGTTGAGAAGAGGACCACACACGATCTCTTTGCCATCCGTCTCCTCCTCGTCTGAATGGCTTGCGACAGCATCTTCGGCAGGCTGTCCTTGGCCATGAGCCAGCGAGATGGGCTGATAATTTCCCGTGGCTTGTCCGTGTCCGTGTCCGTTCACCTGGGGCTCAATTCGAGTTTGGTTGAGATAGTTGGCCAATTCGTCGGTTGTGCCGGCAGTCGTGGGATCGCGCGCCTGGAACTGCGCCTCGTGGCGGGCATATTTGGTCGACTCTTGATGGCGCCATTTGCTGCTGGACGCGTATGGGTTTTGGGGGTCGAATTCTGCGACTCGCTCGCCGTTGACGTGTGAATCCATGGCGAGACTCTACGGCGACTCTTGCGCCGGTAAATTCGACTGTTTAAATACAAGTTGTGGCAGAGCAATTGTCGGCAGTCGGCGAAAGATGCTGTGCAGATGCGACTCCGAGATTCCCCCCAGTTGGCGGCCTCTGCGATCAGCTTACCCACGATGATTTTATCGATTCTCCCGTCGCGCACTTTTGACGGCTCCAATGCGATGAACGGGCCGCAGACGAATTTCCGACTATTCCTTTGACAGATGCAAGTTTGCCTTTGTCTGGGAGAATTGGGCTCCCAACAAGCTTTGGCGTTACGACAGACGAGAGGGCTTCGAACTGATAATAATCGCCCAGTGGAGCACTACGGGAGCTTGGGGAGCTACTCGATCGCTGTAGCGCGTGCTGAGACCAGGATCTGGCGACCTGCTGGCAGGGATCGCAGCAGCGCCAGAGACATAAACAGGCCTGGAAGGGAGCTAAAGGGGCAGCTAGTGTGGGCCGGGCCCTCGCCAATGACGACAGGGCCGCTGGCTGCTCGAAGATTTCCGCTGATCGTGGGATGCTCTACATGAAGGCGTGCAGCGTGAATCTGGCACGGATGACGGCCGAGATAACTGCGTGGATGGCTGCTATTTCTTGTGATTGCTGTTTGTATGATCTACCAGCAGTGCCTCTCTCTACGCGTAAGAACTCTCTAGACGGCACTACCATCTGCGCGGGCGTTGGCGCAGCCGTAGTATATGGACCACTCCACAGCAGGGAGCGTCAGATATTGCAGTGGGATGAGATGATACGATTATGCCAAGAGAGCCGCCAAGATCCTCCGAGGTTGCCAGAGCGACCCCCTCAAGCCTCTCACGCACTCAAGTCACGCACACACGCATGCCAGCACCGCTTGGACGAGCAAACGGCCGTCAGTTGAACAGGTGATCAGGGGTAAGACAGACAGAGAAAACGCCCCGAGTTGTGGAGAGCTGATTGGACGGGCGCAACTGCCGGGACTCGGCGAGCTGGTCTGGATTCAGAGCCCTGCAACTTGTGCGGGAAGCTGGGCTGTTGATTAAACGCATCGTGAAACCCGGCGATGGACGCATGCAGTTGTGTTGCGCTGCAAGAGGCATCCGACGAAGACGGCGTTGCGCAGCGAGCTGGAAATTTAAGACAGTGGACAAGCTC